GAGTTCTCCTAGTGGCAAGGGTGCCTTTCTCTCCCTGATCTTGCAGTGGTAGACACCTAAGGAATTTGAAAACATATTGCAGGCACTAAGAAGGATAGTGGCACAGTGGGTAGGAGAGCAGCCAGGCATAAAAGTTGAAATAACCTTTGTGGTCACCAATGGTGCACCAAATATGGTATTGCTTTCTATTAAGAAGACTTTAAGTGTGCACGATATTTTGTCTGTTTATAAAGGATATAATCCCAGAAGGGAGTGATTTTTTTATCATAAAAAAATGCCAGGTACATGTTAAGGTCTGCCAGCTGCTTAGACAGGAAGAAGAGAACACAGGACGTCTCCAGCAATGTCTTAAAGGACCACTCTAGGCACCCAGACCACTTCAGCTTAATGAAGTGGTCTGGGTGCCAGGTCCTTCTAGGGTTAACCCATTTTTTCATAATTATAGCAGTTTCAGAGAAACTGCTATAATTATGAATGAGTTAAGCCTTCCCCCTAATCCTCTAGTGGCTGTCTCATTGACAGCCACTAGAGGCGCTTGCGTGCTTCTCACTGTGAAAATCACAGTGAGAGCACGCCAGCGTCCATAGGAAAGCATTGTAAATGCTTTCCTATGAGACCGGCTGAATGCGCGCGCAGCTCTTGCCGCGCGTGCGCATTCAGCCGGCGGGGCGTAACGGGGGCGGAGAGGAGGAGGAGAGCTCTCCGCCCAGCGCTGGAAAAAGGTAAGTTTTTACCCCTTTCCCCCTTCCAGAGCCGGGCGGGAGGGGGACCCTGAGAGTGGGGGCACCCTCAGGGCACTATAGTGGCAGGAAAACGAGTATGTTTTCCTGGCACTATAGTGGTCCTTTAAGCAAGAAGCCAGTACTAGGTGGAACTCTGCTTTGGAGATGTAGAAAAGCTTGTGATCACTTCATTGGGATCGGTAAGACAGCAGACAGAAAAGAGTAAACAATGATTGAGCAAGTAGTGACAGTCCTTAAAAGTCTTTTAAGGATGTCTCTGAGAACTTAAATCAGAACACTGTGGGTCTGGGTCAGACTAGTTCACACAGCTCTCAAGCAAGATTTACTGAGATATTGAAGTGATTTTTGGTGGCATGAAACTTGGCAATGTAGCTATACTAATAAGAAGACTTAAGGAGTATTGACCGTATGGATAAAGACCCTGAATTGATGCTGGACACCATTTAAACCCAAGTACTTAAGGCAAAACAGTACTCTGAAGAAAAATCTTGCCAACCTGCTTAAAGAAACTGATCAACAGGGTGCTGGAGGTCCAATAAAATAGGAGCATGTCGGTAACCTGACAGTTCTGCAACTCCAAGCAGCAGCAAAACTCAATTTCAAGGAGCGGCAGTTGGGGTGGGACACACAGAAGCGCAATCAAGAATGGAGAGTAGTGCCTCAGAAAAGCAAAGTAAAGGCTTACCTTGGCAAAACTCCATTGTGCCTTATCGCACTCCCTTTGACCTACTGGGATGAAAAGATGAGTGTTTGGCATGGAGACAATTCACTGTTTGCATCTATCTAGTCTTTCTCAGGTGTCAGCCAATGGTTTGGAATTGGACTGGCTGCTCTGAGGAGAGAGTGTAAGTGGGTTGCCAATTAACCACTCTCCCACATCAGTTCCCTGTATAGCTGCACCAACTTTGTGGCAACCCCTGCTACCATCTGCCTGTGACACTGGCAAAACATTAGCTTGGTAGCGTAACTTCTTTATAAAAGGTATTCCAATTCAATGTAAGGCAGTGTTTAGTAAATTAACCCTTACATTGGTCAAAGATCAAACTGTTCGAATCTGTGCATTTATTTTTCGCTCCTTTGAATCCACATACAAACTAATAGTCCTAGATTTACCAGATTTGGGTGGGGGCGACTTTGGGTAAAGGTCATTAAATGAATTTTGGGCATAAGCCCCAAGTGTTTTTTGTCTTTGGTTATAGCCTCTATGTTTATGATTTTGTAAACATGCATATAAGTAAATACCTGCTTTCAGTGCATCTCCTGCATTGTCCTTGCTATGTGGAGAAAGTCCAAAGCATCTTCCTCTCGCCTGAGACATCCATATTTATTGGGTTTACAGGAATATTGTTCCTTAGTACTGAATTTGGTAGACAATCTCATGCCCTAAGAGATTCAGGTTGGTGTGAGGCGATAAAGCTGGGATGAACTTCATTACAAAAGATCAATTATTACTTAATTTGATTTTAATTCTGTAAATAATTTTAGTAATAAGGTCACCGAGTGTAGCTGGTGCCCAGGGGCTCAGTGAGTAGGTGATGGCTCTCAACTTCTATCAGTTGTGTAGACACTTGTTTTCCGTCGCTTATGTTACTATATTTTGGGTTATGCAAAAATATCAGGTTTTCCCTTAAAAATGTCTCTCCGTTCACATGAAGACAGCTGTATTAACAAGGGAATTTTCATCTAATATATTATTTTCAAAGACCTTTCTAGGATTCTGGAACATCATGACAGTTACAATAAATTTTATTTTTAGTAAACTTAATGAAGAATGCATTCTGTGAATCTATTGGGGAAAAACTACAAATAAAATCAGGGACAGAAAATAGGTTGATGGTTTTGCATTTATATTAATATACATTATAGATATTCAAACTAATCATACAGAGAAATTCGGCCAGCATTGATGATCAGCTGACTGTCTTCTTTTGTGAGGGCTATGAAAACCTGCCATATTGTACGTATGCATATGATCAAGATAGTAAATTTCTAGCAGCCGGCATGTCTTGTAAAGTACTGGTGTGTTCTCCGGGCGATAATCCTGATAGCAATCAGTGTGAATTTTGTCGACAAACTATTTTAGTCAAATTTGAGTAGACTATAATTTTTGAGATTTAGTTGACTAAAACAATTCAGATTACTAAAATACAACTAAAACAGCATTTTAGTCAAAAGACCAGGACTAAAACTTAATAGAAATTTGTCGCCAAAATTAACACTGCACAGAGGGGCTGCGGAAGGGGCAAAAGAGACAGACCAGGCTGGCTTAGGAGATACAGCCCCTGTTTCTTCATACCTCCCCACTGTTCACATTCACTGGTGTCACAAATCCTAGTAAAATTCAATACACTGTGAAATGCTCTATGTAACTTCATCCTGCAACATTAGAATATCAATGGTGACATCTGAAAAGATCTGATCTTAACTGGCTAATATTTTAAGCCACGTTTCTCTAACTAGCTTTCTCAGAAATACACTCTGGAAAAGTGAAACCACCAACCAGAAAACAATCACCTGTTTAAAATCTCTGAATAGCAAAGAAAAGTACATCTGTATCCCCGAACAAGCCACAGCTGCACGAAATGTTTTCATGATCATTGCTTATATGCATACATTTATATATACAGTTAAAAATGAATTATTCTCTCTCCCCATTGAAAATCAAGGTTATTGTCAAAATGTATAGACTTTCAGATGTTTGCAATGAACAGATCAAACAAAAACAATTGGAATAGATCAACACCACGAATGCGTCAAGTGGTTTGCCCTAATTCAACAGAAAATGCAACTTATAATAACTTCTCTGGTGGGATTTGAAGAAGGCAGTTGCAACACGCAAACCCAAGATTATTACTGAACTGGAGGCCACTGCTCATGATCAATGGGCTACGATTCCTCGGGAACGCTGCCAGAAGCTGGTGTCTGGCTAAGCATCTCATTTGCAGCAGGTCATAACAGCAAAAGGGCGCTCTACTAAATAATATAGATGCTTGCCATGGAGTCACATCAGTTTGAGACTGAAGAAGTTGCAATTTCAATTGCATTTGGGGAAACCACCTGAAGCATTCGTTGATCTATTTCAATAGCTTTTGTTTGTACATTTTGACAATAAATATGATTTTCAATGGGGTTAAATAATTTTGATTACAACGGTATAGACACACACACTTTTATAATATGTAACACTTGAGTATTTTGAGCTCTTTAGGAAACTTTTTGTATTTTATTTTTAAAGTAGGATTTAATCTAACCCTTCCTAAATGGTCTTACTCTCAGCTCCATCCCAGATGGCTATTTTTTTTATTGGCAAATCTTTCCTAGATAGTATGACAATAGTGATTTTATTGTTAAAGGTTTACGTAAACTCATGGAATTTTAATCTACGATGTATTCCTTCCTGCTCTGTAGAAGTATGTGAGAGGTATATAATAGCATTTCTATAATATGCAGTAAGTTTACATTAAAACTAAATAATTAAAATCAGCTGATGGGTGTTTAGAATGATTCTGCTGGTATTGTTGTGAATGTGTATTCCCAATATGTCAACATATGACTAAGTGTGAATCTGTATTTCAATCAATGCTGCGCGTAGTCCGACAACTTCAATACATGGAAAAGAAAAACAGGTTGCGCCAAATAATATGAATTCAAATGAGCAATGTTGTCTAGGGCATACTTGAGATTGTCTTGTTGGTGATACACTACCGTCCCCCAAAAAATGAGTTTTTACTATGTAGAAGGAATCTTGGTAGAACCGATACCTAAACCAACAGTCTGGTATCCTCACTGATTCAGGCAGGGTCCGTGATATGTAAAGACAAAAAGCATACAGGAAGAACCAGTAGATGAAAAATATTATTTGGCACAACCAGTTTTTTTTTTTTTTGTATTCTCCCCAACAATCTTGGATTGTTGGGGTATTCAGTTACAGAGCTGTATCATCCTTCTAGACAACTACAATAGTTAACCACTTTAATACCGCAAGATTGACAGAAATTGTGTTTATGTAAATAATCACTTTTTTCCTTCTAATTATTTACTATTATTGTAAATATCTCATGTGAACACCCCACACGCCTAAAGCACTTCAGCATGTAAAGGTCAGTTTATGTTTAAATCACAAAGGGGATCATTGAATATAAAACACGTTTTATTGAAAAATCTATGCATTTCTCATTGGAGTTCTTTTTAAAACGGCTAAATGAATGGAAAGAAAAACCAGCTCAATGTTTCTGTATTCTACAGTTTTTCCAGCCTGATTTTTTGTTATCTTGCTAAATTTCACGTATTAACACGTACTGCAGTTTTTTTTGTTCGTAAGAAAAATAATGACACAGGTTTCAAGTTTAGTTATGTTTTATTTTCTAATAGGTACAATACTAAAATAAACACAAATTAAAAAAAAAAAATCTTAAAACAAAACTGTACAAAAAAGCAGTATACTACATTTTAATTACAGAACAGTCTACTGTCCAAAAGGCACTAATCCAGAATAGGAGATACAATTATACAGGACTCATTTTAACTAATTTGTTTTAATACAATAGAGTGCTTGTTTCTCTCTGCCCCTTCACACACAGAAACAAGGACTTTCCTACAATTACATATCGTTATAGTTGAGAGCCCTGGCCAGAAAAGGTGCAGTACTTCTCCCGGTGACGCAGAGACAAAGAATTCCATCTTAATAATTTGTCCTCCATATTCCGGGCAATTAATGTAATTAAATGACCGCTCTACACAAATCAAGTCATTCACCTTGCTATATGTCTACGGAGTATTCTATTGCAAAGGCAGTTTATAACAGAGCATATTTCTATGAGAAATCTGCACTTTTATAAATCGATTAAGACGCTCCTTCCTGGGAGGATTTCTTCCTCATTCCGATAGCTGAACTTCTAGAGTGCACCTTTCTTCAACAACTGCCACTAACCCTGTGCACACACATCCGCGGGGTTCAATTATACCTAGTCCTCTATGCCAATTTCAGCGTGCTCCATGAACCATACACACCCCCTCCATGCACTCTGCCCTGGCATAAAATCAAGGCCTCTCAATTAGAAGCCTCTGATTGGGCTTGCAAAGACTTAAGTCTGAGATCTGCAGCTTTTGCAAGTTGTTTTTAGATATAACCCAAATCAATACATGCATAAATACATGGATGTATGAATTGGAGGTGTATCTACTAAACTGCTATCTGTTTGGAGATTTGCACCGTGGAGTGTTCTTTAAGGTCCACAAACAATTTACAACAATCCAAAGCAGATTAAAAGTCCACATGATAAGTGTTCACCAGGGTACATTAAAAACATTTGCACGTAATGCCAATGACTAGTAAGTAGTGTTTTTACAGCACGTAAACAGGTCCTATAATAAGACTACTCTATAATCAAGCGGTTTCTGGATAATGACCAAAGATACACACTAATCTGCTCATCAAATGTGAAGATCGGAGTTTGTGAAATACAGCACTAGCCTAGACATTCGCACACAGTCATTGAGTCTACTAAACTGTGTCTTCTCTACTGCAATGGTAGATCCTGTTCATTGCCTGTTAGCCATACTGTTATGATAGTTTATGGACTCCTTGTTAATGATCCACCATTAAATCTAAGTTGGAAGTCATTACCAAGATTAAACACATCATTCCTCTAGGAGTCCTTTGTCAAGAGATGTGAATAGTGTCAACGCCAAGCTGCCAGGTATTAGTTAATGAATTAATGATACACTTTTGATTTTCAACTCGAAGGATGGTAGCTGTGGCAATAAATGTCTTATCTTCATTGATTAACATTTCAAAAACAAACATACACTGACTTGCTCAGTATCATCATGGCTTGCGTGGGAAAACCCCCAAACAAAAACTCAAAATCTATAAAATCGGAATTTACAAGAGAATTGCATTTTATTGGCCACAATATCCATTTAAACAAAAAAAAAAAAACTAAACAAAAACTCTCCAACACCACATTTTTGGCATTTGCAGTTCCCTAATCAATACTCTGCCTAGTTTAATAAATAATTTCTATGTGTGATACAATCAGTAGTTACCGGACAAATGATTGATTTATCTGCACAAAATTATCAATTTCATTTAAAATTGGATATACCAATAGCTCGGAGGGGGTAGAACAAAGCAATAATAATAATAATTAAAAAAAAACAAAAAAACATATATACAAATTTACAGATACATTTCTCACGTTTGACTTGACCAATATGAAGACGACAGCAAGAAATACACATTTATAGTTTAAACAATCAGCATAATACATGATGCCACGGGCATGATTTTAGAATGTGCACAGTGATATGTCCCTGGAGGATGGTGAGAGGTACTGCACCTTTAAAAAAAATAACGTTAAAACACACAGAACACAATGACAGGCAAGCTGAACAGTTAACCCCTTTATTGGCAGAAGGCCTTTGCAATTCTGTGCAATACTTTCTGGAAGTAAGAGGGTTAACCAGAAAACAAGTAACAAAGTATTGGATTTAAAAAATTTATATAATAAAATCAAACCAAAATCAAAGCCTTTTTTCCCTCAATGCTCTCCCTATACGACATCCTCCTTCTGCTTAGCAGAAAATTGTACGTACACAAAAATACAAATACACAATTTTTTGTAGAACAGTGTGATCTTAATATATTTATATATATATATTTATATGAGTGGCAGGTTAGTTTGTAATAGAGCTTTTTGCATTTTTGGCTCATATGCAAGGCTTTATAAACAGAGCGTTAGCTTTCCATTCAAAAATGGATTTTCTTTAATTAGCTTTCATGACATTTGTTTTTGCATTAAAAAAGCAGCATCCAATTTGCAGTAGGAATAGTTGTGATGTCTGGAGGGTGGTGGGAAAAGTCTATCTGTGGTTGGTGGCAGCGGTGGGATCTACATTCTTGAACTTTTTTTTTTTAATTCCCTATGGAGACATTGGGAGACTGTACAATAGATTCATTAGATTCATGAAAGAGGTAGAACCGTCTATGGATATTGCCTTAAGCATAAACACAGGACAAGTAAAGCAGAGGTGATCACTACAGCCTTCTAATACCACCAAAATTTAGATTTACGGCCTACCTATTCATGTTCAGACATAACCACACAAACGGTACACTGAGGACTGGTTTAATAGATTACAAAAACATTTTACAGACAGTGAAACAGAGATCATATGTGGATATGGACTGTTACCTCTGATTATCAGCAGAAGGTATTGGACATGTGCTAGAATGGGAGAGAAAAGGAACGTCTTCTATTTCTGAAACCAGGAAAACCACACACTGGCTACAATATGATTTAAAAATAACAAAACCAATAATTGGATGGTATGTCACTCTCACACTTAAAACCAATTGCATTTATTTTATCTGAGTAAAAGGTAGCATCACGGTTACATATCACTAAATATTAACACCTTCCAACCATTGGTATGATTCTAGGTAGGTTTCACAGACTGATAATATAAACATAATTTAATTGATAGGAAAGTTCAGGAGAAATTAATTTTCGAAATACATTCCAATCTACGAGCCCACCCATCACACTAGGCAGGTTAACATGCACCAATTCTGTAACCAGACCTGAAGGGTGATACAGAAGCACTCAGTGGAAGTTATGATTTCACAGACTCCATGCAGTGTGAAGACCTCTAATCTCAGGGCAGTGCAGGGTCGATATAGCCCACCGTCACCTGAGATTTTTACGTCAGTCCTTTCTCGCTTATTATAATAATAATAATATGCTGCCACAGGATCTGGGGAGACAGTTTCATTGCAATTCTATCTCTCCGCTCCTCTCCTACCACAACTTTATTGGCACGGAGGCTGAATGAAAACCAAATTCTAAAATAGAAGGCAAACTATATTAATGGAACAAGTGTGATGTATTAACCCTCAACGCCATTATTTTTCCATTACACCAGGTTCCCTGTTAGAAGTACTGAGAGGGAAAATGTCAGATTATAATTGCAGACTGGCTCCAAAGGCAGCAATGTTTAACATTTCTAAAGATTTTAAAAGCAAAGAACATTTTTAAAAAGTACCCAGTATTCAATATTTGCCAATATAGACTAAAAATAAATCCCCACTCAGTCGCCAATGTTTTTTTTTTTTTTTTTTAAGGTGTACAATAAAATGATAAAGAATTGCTCTACACATATTGGACTAAACAGGCCGGGTCTTTAAAGAGTTTACTTACTCTATCCACGTACACTAGCTGTAACAGAGTACACCTGCTGGCACTGTTTAAAGAAACACACACAGCAACAAGTGTTGTGGTCCTCACTTTCTTGATTTAATCCTCTGAGTGTGATCTGCAATGCGTTAGACACATATCTGGCATCCAATGTCTTACAAAGTACGATATTATATTAAATAATCACTAAAAAGAAACTTTGTTTATTAAGTTATACTTAACAAATAACGATGTGTTAGATTGAACTAGACCCAATTATTTTATGTGTACTAATATATTTTTTCATTCTATAGCTATGTCCCTAATAATTTATGCTGCTAACTTTTTTGCCATTGCGTTCTCTAATGAGAAGTAACTCCTACTAATAAGCCGAGCTAAAACCACCACCGCTCCCCTTCTGATGCAATTATTTTACTGTCCCCAGTTGTAGCTATAGCTAGGAACAAAACTGTTGGTATCCAAAATAATGGTGTGAGATAAATAAACACAGGGTAGAACCAATGAATGGACTATGTATTGAGTAAAATCAGCCAACTTCTTAATCCAGCCAGGAAGACTGGCTTGATGCTCATAGATGTGTTTAGTAAATATCAGCTCTCTGACATCAGTAGCCAGTTTAATAGTATTTTTCATGCACTGCCTCAAGACCCCCCAAAAATAAAAAAGTAAGAAAGGAAAAGTGTCAAGGAGGTAGGCACTTAAGAAGTCACGTAAATTATCAGTAAATGATATTAAGTATTATTTGAAACCATACAGCAAATATGATGGGGGAGGTAGGTAAAACATCTTCCATATAACTTATACTGGCCAAAGTAGACGTGGAAATGGAGTATTAAGATCTCAGTATTGTACTTTGGAACGTGCCCAATCCGCTCTCATTCTCCTGCTCAGAGGAACAGCCTGGAGTATGGGGTGAAGACACCTTCAAGAGGTGAAACCAAGCAGAGTCAAAAGCAAACTCTCTCTCCAAACTCTTATTATTTTTTTTAACAAAGACTTGATGCCAAACTCGGCAGGTTACCAAATGGGTGACTGAATTTCACAGTTATTCAGCAGTGTTGTTGCATGGTTCCATAAACTCCTACACAGAGAGTTGGGGACAGGTCACGGCAAAAGGCTCCTTTCTAGGTCATGTCCCCTCATGACCTACCAATGAATAGCGTGCTGCTGGTGGTCTCCACAATGTCAAAGAAAGCAGAACTGGAAACAAGCTCATTCTGCACAGCCAGGTATTCAATACATTACTAATAAGGGGTGCAGCAAAGTTTTGTTCATCAGTTTGATTTATCTAGGAGGCACAACTCTCGTTCCCTACGTAGGCAGAGTACTTTACTATTGTTTCTTTTTTTTTTTTAATAACAGGAGGCTATTTTGAGAAGAACCTGTTTGATGTAAAATAAAACAAGATACTTAGATTCTCCTGCCACACATCTGAGGCGTTGCGCCTACCTCCTCCCCCACAACATCTATGACTGATTTCAATTGTTATGATAAGTGTTTATGAATAAAAAAATTCCTGCATATACAGGTTTTGAAACAATATGCAGGAAAAATTTTTTTATTTATAATCCCCATACCTACAAAGGCATGTTGGATTTTATTGGCAATAAAATTGAAAAATAAGTCTATATCATTACAATACAAAGAAGTATGTGAAGAGGTTGATTTGAGTCGCAAATGGAAAAAATTCCTAACATTGTAGACTTCATCACAGTGAATTGGTTAAATAGCACAGTAAAAAAAATGTTTAGCATGGAACATCAATGGTATGATAAAAAAATTCTTAAAAATCCATATTAAAATGTAACCCTCCTCCCAACAAAACACCACTACTTGTCCTATAATAAAGCATAAATGAATAATGCATTACACCATATAGACGGTTATGGCTATGGACCTCCAGCTATTACACCATATAGACAGTTAGGGTTTTATACCGCTATGGACCTCCAGCTATTACACCATATAGACAGTTAGGGTTTTATACCGCTATGGACCTCCAGCTATTACACCATATAGACAGTTAGGGTTTTATACTGTTATGGACCTCCAGCTATTACACCATATAGACAGTTAGGGTTTTATACCGCTATGGACCTCCAGTTATTACACCATATAGACGGTAAGGTTTTTATACCGCTATGGACCTCCAGCTATTACACCATATAGACAGTTAGGGTTTTATACCGCTATGGACCTCCAGCTATTACACCATATAGACGGTAAGGTTTTTATACCGCTATGGACCTCCAGCTATTACACCATATAGACAGTTAGGGTTTTATAACGCTATGGACCTACAGCTATTACACCATAAACCTTGGACAGCCAGAAAACAGGTAGCAGACAGTTCCAGGCAAACAGTAGCCTTATAAGTGCTGCAGGTCTGATATTACGATATCCCTACCAAAGTATGGCCATTCACGGTCTCACCGCAGGACAGAGGAATGAGATTTCTACGCCATTTTAAAACAGAGCGGACTGGTGATCTGAAGCAAGCATTTGCATCTTTTCGCCTCTTACTTATTTTTGAAATCAGTTTTGCATTGTGTCCATGTTTCACATTACATTAAATTTTCACAGGTAATGGGTCACTAGCCAAACGAACATCCAAGGAGTTGCAGAAGGTGGTATTAAAATGTATTAAGTAAATCAACGCATAATGCAAGAGATGCAGTTAAGCAGGAAAAGCATCAGTATCCATATTGTGAGCGGTACAGCGGGGAATAAAGTCCATGAAACATGGTGTTATATATTAAAGATTTATTTCTCTCACTGTAATTTTATACAGTATTCTTATTTATATTTTCTATAATTTGAATGATTATTGTATTATTTTCTAAAGTCACGGTTATAGTTTATGATGGTGTCAGGACAGTTCTGTCCCCCAACCGATGCCATGACCAGATCTACATTGGGTTTTACAAACCGTTTAGTATAGCGGTAACTATGAAGATGCAAAATACTTTTTATACTAACAATGTTAAGATTGCTTGCAACTTGGAACTTGTTTTACCACTTTTATTATATTCAACCAAATAATAATCTGAAACTATTAGACAGTCACAGAGTTCGTGGATTTTATTTAAGGATATCTTCCCTGATAGAACGTTATACAGCCATAGAATACGATAGTCATGGATTTTATTTAAATAGCTCTACCTTAACATATACATCGTTCTCTATTTACATGGGTACATATACGTAGCTTATTGGACTTACTGGCTGAGAGAATAAACACGGAGGATCTGTATGGGTTGAATGCGGATCACGAGAAGAAAGAAGGCAATTTTTGAAAAGCCAGCTTAGTGTTTTAATTTGATTAAATATTGTAACAAATTGCAAAAAGCCAACATAATATTTAGAGCGATCACCCAAAAATTTGTATTTTACTTCAGCACAGTAGAGGCATAACGAAAAGCCACATATTTGTCAATTCTATAATACAATCTTTATACAATGTTCCATGGATTTACTAAAGTATGTCTATTATGGCAATAACAAGGAATATTATCTATATGGACTGGAAAGAGGATATTATTATTGTTACGCCATATGGTAAATACTTGAGTGCTTACAGTAAGTGAGAAACAGAATTTGGTGTAAATGGTTTTTGCCAAAATAAAGTTAAAGGAACACTTGAGCTAACTGCATTCAAAAAAATATATATTTATTTGTTTTGGTGTAGACTGAGCGGTTATAGGACAAAAGTATAAAAAATAAGTTTGGGTTGGTTTAAGAACTTTAGAACGTGATTAATAATAAAGTGCTAGTGGGGTAAGCAATGAATGGTTTGGGGTAGCACACCCATCAGGCAGTGATATGGCACACGGTTCTGTTTACAATAATTCGTTTTACTGACTGTATATAATGTATTAAACCTAGATGCCAGGAAGGACAGCAACACAACAAAGGGTTTGACCCGTGTATAATCCCACCACGTTACTAGGGGTAACACAATAGTAGCAGTTTTATTAGAATACAAGTACTTGGTACTTTCTTATGGTACAATGAAACAAAGGAATACAGAAACATAGACACAAACAGAAACTGGAGCCCCATTTTACATTACATGGACATACAGCATTAATAGGTCAACGTTTCCATCGTTACAGACTCTAAATACATTTAAAACACTGCTCTCAGATTTAAAACGGTCAGTATTTCTTCACAAATGAGACCTTGTTATAACCAAACTTACAACATGTACAAGATTTCTAATCGGCAACCAATCCTTACACTGATCCTTTATCATGACAAATGAGCTTTTGATATGTGACCGCATAGAATTGCGTAACGGGCATAGTCCTTTCAAGATTCTAGGTCAGTGGTGACAAAAAGGTAAAAACTACAAGTCCCATGAAAGCCGTTAACTCATCATGGAAGCTCTATTTCTACAACTTCTGGGCCCCCTGCACTGGGGTTTCGATTTCCTCATTTCGCCTATTGTCAGTGAATGAGGGTCGGTGTCTCCTCTAAGCAGGCTGCTGCCACTGATCCAAACAGACAGAATGACTGACTGTTGTCTGTAGAATAATCAGGGAACCCAGAGGCTCCCACTGGAGGGAGATCTAAACCACAAATCACAATATCCTTTACAGGAAAAGATATGGCCATTATAACTTAAAGGGACACTATAGTCACCCAGACCACTTCAGCTCAATGAAGTGGTCTGGGTGCCAGGTCCCCCAGGTTTTAACCCTTCAGATGTAAACATAGCCGTTTCAGAGAAACGGCTATTTTAACATTGCGAGATTAATCCAACCTCTAGGCTGTCTTCCTGACAGCCACCAGAGGCGCTTCTGCGATGCTGGATTGCAGAACGCCCATAGGAAAGCATTGAGAAATGCTTTCCTATGGACTGTTTGAATGCGTGCACAGCACTTGCAGCGCATGCTGCTCCACTCGGGAGCTGACTTCGACAGGGGAGGATAGGTTAAAGTAAGTAACTGAAGTGGTTTTAACCCCTTCAGTGCCAAGGGAGGGGGACCCTGAGGGTGGGTGGGTTCTAAGGATGCGATCGTGTCAGGAAAACAAATTTGTTTTCCTGACACTATAGTGATCCTTTAATAGAAAATATTAACTTATGCCAATGCATAAAAAGTCAATTTTTAGTAATAGTTTCCTGTTTAGGAAGAGGAGTAAAAAGGCCAACAAGAATGCAGAAATAAATACAAAACCCATTTCTGCCAGACAGTTAATAGAAGGTATCAAATTAAGTATTGTTTATGAAGACTACCTTCCATTTACTGAAAAGTAAATCAGATCAGAAGGCACAGGAAGTAAAACTGGGATCAATATTAACACTGACATCAAAGTCTACGGTGAGGTTGTGAAACTACCTTTCAGCTCACATTACACATTGTGTATAAATCAGATGTTGGAATTTCAAAGTTATAAGGCACCCAAAACGACATTGTTTTAAACAAAGTTTTAACTAATTTTACCAATGAAACCACTGTTTGAAATCATTAAATGATAACAAATAAAACCATATTTACACAGTGTATTCAAATATATAAAAGTAATCATCTGTTTGAATTAAAAAATATATTTGCAAAAAGCCACAGAATTGTAGCATTTATTTACAGAAACAAATAATATCACTTAGAAAATTCCGCCTGACAATTAGGATGGTTAAAAAACTTTAATAAAAGTAAATATTAAACGGTGTGGTTATAGCTCAGTACACACTACAATATATTTTAAATGTATTGCCTTTATTTTAAAATATTGAAATGTTTACACAAATAAGGACTATGCAACTGTGTTAGGGACTTTGTTTTTTTGAGACCACACATCTTGCTAATAATCTTTAGAGATAAAAGGAACACTCCAAGCACCATAACCACAACAACACACTACAGTGGTTATGGTACCTGGAGTGCTGTAGCACCATCCCAAAATATAAGTTAAATGATTTTAGAATCCGCTGATCGCTGCTCCCACCCTCCACTGCAGGTGAAATCTATCCGCTCTGAGCATAGTCTGGTGGTACACAGGAGAGCTAAGGGAAGCTCCCGAGCAGAAACGATAATCTCTCCTGGAGGCTACACGGAGAGGATGAGATTTCCCCCCCCAAAGACCTATTTGCCTGGAATTTTTGGGCAAGTTGTAGTTTTTCACTACAATGAAAAAATAAACGTCTCCCTCTATTTCTTGCTCTAGTCACAAGACACAAAAAGTACATCGTCAATATATTGGTGTTGAAATTCAATGTAGAAAGGTAATTAAGGATTTGCTAAGTGAAGCCTAAATGCCGATCAAGCTGAAATAAGAATGGCAATGTTTCTTTGAGTGAAATATCAACATGGTTATATACCCCAACGTGAGACTTCAAAGTGAATTTCAAATTCAAGGTAAAAATAGCCAAATTAGAAGCATTCTCTAAGTCAGCTATGCTTCTAGTTCGAGTACTTTGGCCTTAAAGGGACACTACAGTCACCCAGTCCTTTAACCCCGTAATGTACAACATCTCAGCCTTTTCTTTCTTACAGAAACAACAATGTTTACATTGAAGGGTTAAATCCCTTCCTGTTCCTGACCGCCATTAGAGGGACTTCTACAGCCGGACTAGTAGTAGAAGTAAGACTTGATTGTCACTTTCTCAATAAAGCTTGTATATAAATTTTTATAAAGCGATATCACTAATCAAGCTGCCTGCAGACAGGACATCCCATCAGGACACACCTTACTTACAAAATAAAGAAAAATAGCACTTTCTTTCCTGTGTGGGCTCGATAGCAAATCTGAAATACTAAACAGCTGCTCATTTCTGTATTATTAGAGCTGTGGCTATGATTAAAATGGCACGGGTTTATTAAGACACAACAACTCATCCTATTCAGGTCACCCGAAAAAAGTTACGGTCTGCCTGCAGAAAGAAAAGCATTATGGGAAAAGGTTATACATTTGTCATTTTATTTATTTTAAGTATCAGAGTGTATTGTAAGGCAAAAAAATTTAAATAAATGCATCCTGTAGGGCTCGGGGTAGATATACGTGATCAGCGTATTATGCTCCAACAGTGGTACCCGCTGCAAAGTGTTAGGGGGCAAAGCAAAGTCAATATACTTATTGCAGCTTCCTGCATTTATAATGAATTGTTGGAATTTGGTTTCTTAAACAAATGTCAAATGTATGCAATGAACAAAAATGTCAAATGTATGCAATGAACAAAATGTATGCAATGAACACCACTTCACTCCTTAGATTTTTTCCTCAAGTTTGCATTAGGTAAAAATAAAACACATCAATGGTAGATATGAACGAAAAGACGGGCACTGAATTTATTTCATAACCGCATGTTACGCTGCAAGATTACAACTCCATAGAAACTTTTTTGTATCGGTTAGCTCATGTTTTTAAAGAAAAAGAAAAAAATAATAATGACTATGTGTTTTTGCGAGCACCATAGTTTCTATATAAAACATGGCTTCTTCCAGTATCGATCAAGCACCAAAGATGAAAGTAGGAGCCAGCAGGTCGGCGTATGATTAACACTGTACAGATTCTGCTGTACATAACTAATTAACCCTTGCTGTGCCGGGACACAAAATCAGGGTGCAAACTTCAGAAAGGTTATAGTCCCAATCTCTGCACACACTGCAGCCAGTCCTGGGGCCTGCTAAAGAATCCCATTTATTAATCCAGACACAATGCATTTCAATTAGCCCGACTGGTAGGCAGTAATTAAATGTATTATTTCTTTGGGATTATTTAAAGGGACACTATAGTCACCCAGACCACTTCAGCTCAATGAAGTGGTCTGTGTGAAATGTCCCTCAGGTTTTAACCCTTCACATCTAAACACAACAGTTACAGAGAAACTGCTATGTTAACATTTGGGGTTAATGCAGCCTCTAGTGGCTGTCTTCCGGGCAGCCACTAGAGGCGCATCTGTGACGCTGGAGGCGAATTGAGAAATGCTTTCCTATGGACACTTTGAATGCGCGCGGCACTTGCGCATTCGGGCTCTTGTGATGTCGGACGGGGAGGAGAGGGGATTAAGGTAAGTGGTTGAAGGGGTTTTAACCCCTTCAGCGCCATAGGAGGGGGACCCTTACTGTGGGGGCACTATAGTGTCAGAAAAACCGCTTTGTTTTACTGACACTATAGTGATCCTTTAACATCTTCCAGACAGAACTTTAATACCTTCTTTCTAAAAATACTAACCTTACCTGTCAAAATCTCACAACTCTTGTTGTCCCTCCTGCTCCAAATACTAACAAGATATACCACCATCAAGCAAAGGGGTGTAATAAATTAGCAAGGAAATAATTACAGGAACACAATAACCTCATAAATACCAAAATAAATGTATAAACTGTCCCTGGTGCTATTTAGACTAATGGGCTACGGGTAGAAATTAAAAAACTTAAAGCAACTGGCTTCCCATCCAGCGTTTTCATGGTGTCGCTGTTGCCGCCACTTTGCCTCCTTGACAGGTAATTTAGATTGATAACCGTGGCAAATTAAATACTTCTTTATAGAGAAGCATTGATATGGCGCTATATAAATAATATAATAATTGATGGCCCTACTGCGCATCATTTCGATTCTCCTCACAGATAAGCATTACAATATTCCCTATGGGGAGATTTAACTGCGTTTGTCATGATGTTAAACGTAAGGACTGTACATTTTCTAAGGTCTTCACTAGGAAGTGCCTCTAGGAGCTGTCTGACTGATCGTCCAACTAACAACCACTAGAGGTATTCTGACTGGAAAATAGAAACATTGCTCACAAACAGCAATGAGTAGACATGTCAGGGGACCAAAACCACTACATTCATCTTAAGAGTGTCCATTTAGGCAAGCCAAGAAGTTTGCCGAGGTTGGAAATGATCTACTTAACACAAATAGAAGGGAATGCAGGAGGCGAGCATATTACACTGAATATCGGTATTGTGGTGCTTTCACAATAATATAAATAACGCTAACATTTCCAGATATTGGCACATTGCCGACTGACGCGTGATCAGTCACTTCGTATCATTAACACTGTAGCAAGTCGAGATTGCCTTCCTTACTATCACCAGCCGTGGCTCAGTACACAGATCATTTCAAGCTGCCAAATGGAAAAATAAACAAGGCCAAACAGATCACGTCTCATCCGCTGATCTAGCTTTATGGTCTGCACAAAACACAAACACAGTTTAACAAACTAGCAGCCTGGTCCAAATTGAAGATATGGCTATTTAATCTTTCATTGAATCACAGAGGTTTAATTCTGAATAATGGATTGATAATAAAATATCATGTTAGTAGCACTTACCTATAGACACCACAGACAAACAAATGCATCAAGACCGTATTTAGTGGCACATTCCTAAATATTTGTTACGACCTCTCATTACTTGTGAAACATTACCATGTTAAAATTTTACTAAAATGTGAACAGTCACAAATTCAGTGAATTCCAAATATTAGGCTACGGTTTTTCCAATTTGGCTATTCCGACCGATAATTAGCAATTTCTAAGTATTCACACTTAGTGAATGTTTAGTAAAGGTGAATTTGCTTGCCGATCTGTTCACTAAAATGGGCCCCAGCTCCTCTAACATTTGCCTAGATCAAGGTAACACACATTGCTAGCTACCCCAAACGGATGGACTATTTAATCCCACTGCCTCCCCACCCATCCATCCTTATTAATCCCTGGATCGAGAACATCAGCATTAATTCACTGGGGGGTAATCGCAAATATTTGGAAAATTGTTAATTGATACTCTTACCCAAGTGCTCTTCTAGACTCTAGAGCAGGAGTAGAATAAAGAACGGTTCAGGCATTCCGGGATAACAAAAGTAGCAGCTTTATTGGGGCAAAAGCAGCAACGTTTCCACCCTACCGGGCCTTTATTAAGCTTGATAGAGACCCAGTAGGGTGGAAACGTTGCTGCTTTTGCCCTGATAAAGCTGCTACTTTTGTTATACCGGAATACCTGACCGTTAAGAGGCACTGGCCAGCCCTGGCTTCAGAGCAACTGGGTTATTTGGGGAGTGCAGTATCCAGTACGTCTCTTCAAGAGCAGGAGTAGGCAACATTCAGCAATCGAGATATTGTGGTCTTCATCGCCTCTAAAGTTATGGCTGTAAGTGCATTATGGGAGATGTAGTCCACAGCATATGGAGTGCCAAAAATTGCCTAATCCCTGCTCTAGAGCATAAACATATTCTGATGTTGAATAAGCCCCGTCTTAGAGACTGCCAATACTCTTCTATTTATGGACTACATTCCCCAGAATTCTAGGACAGTAATTGAAATTCAAGGAAATACATTACACCAAAATGTAAGGGACGACATTAGACATCCAAACTAAAATGAAGAAACAAAGTGCAACCACAAACTATAATGCTTTGTGCATATTACCCATCACCTGGTGTCATATATTTTGCCAGCCATACGATGCACACTAATGACAGAAAGCATGTCTTAACTTGGTGCTAGGAATTAGATAATTAGTAGTTCGGCATAGTCAAAGCTTTGCTGGGCGAAGAAGTAATAGCTTATTATCAAGTGTGTGACAATTGGGGTGGGCTTTTGTGTGCAGGGGAGACCCATATTCTGCTTCACCATGAGAACTACGATAAGAATAAGCTGAGCTGGTAACAATTCATGGAGTTCATCATTTAATCATTTTTTTCTTGCTTTGTTAAATACTTTACCCATGTTTTACTTACTGCACTTTTAAGTAGATTTAAAAATGCCATTTAACAAAAATCCAGGAATTTATAAATTACAGACACTCCTCACTTACTGACTGGGTTCTGTTTCTACGACCCGGTCGTAGAACAAATTGGTCGGTAAGTGGGGAGTTGAGGGATACCCTGCTCTGGTGCGTTCGTCTATGTTGTGGGAAACTTCCCCGAACATAGACAAACGCACCAGAGCAGGAAACATCTCTAATTTATGTTCTGGGAAATTTCAAATGAAACGAGTTTTATCCCATACACTGACGAATCGTTACCTGTGAAGCCTTTTTTTTCGATAAATTCAATAAATCAGACTCCACAGGTAAATCTCAGACAAACTGATTCATCCGCATAGGAGGTAAAACTCTGTTGATTCAGATGAAGTGGTACAAACAACTTTTTGCACAAGCCTAAAAATCTGATTAAAACAGATTTTTAGCTGTGACTAGAGGAGTTGTTGAATGTTTTCAGTGGAGTTGTTAAATGCTTAAATTTTACCATTTGATTTTCAAGTCACTACAATTTGCCATATAGTGAATAAACCCTCATGGAGTAGTGGATTTTAGAAGGTGGTTGAGGAACAACACAAAGTTGCAGGTAAAAAAAAATAAAAAAATTGTGTTGTTGGAAGCATCAACTAACTAATGCAATTTAAAGTAAAGCTTTAAAGAAAAAAAAAATAGCTATGTTTTACTTTCACGGTTGGCAGTTCTTTCTTTCATTGCATGGAATATATGGCTTAACGAACGTTAAAGCAGCAGTGGCTTAATGCTACGAACAACCCCAGTCTATGGACCAACACGGATTGCAATCCTTGTACTACCTTATTGAAAACATAGCAAGGAAATTAGCTCATTATCTCTATTCAAACCTGGCACCAGCGAAAATAAGATATTTGTAACAGTCCCTGGAAAATAATCATAAAATGTTAAGGCTTCTTGCCACATTCTACCAGACAGAAGATGAGCATATTCGCTTTTCATGGTGCACTCTCCCTTCCACGGTACATGCCACCTGCTAACACAGGCTGAGTTTGGAAATGCCTTCATTTTCTCCAAGTTCTGTTCTAGGACGCCTTCCCTCCAATGTCCTCATGCCGAATACATATTATTCACATCACTTTCTTATGGTATTCCCACATCAGCCCCCAATCAAAAGTTATACTGCCTCTTAATCTTTGAATTTAAAAATAAAAAAGCCACTTTTATCAGTAAATATAAAATATAGATATTTTACATAGAGACACTTACATTGAACTACAACAATATACAGACTAACAGACAATTAAATGGGTTTGCACAGAAACATGTTGCAAATGGGATACTGCTTAGAAGCAGGTCAAACAGACAATTTTGTTACACTAAATATGAAGCATTTCATCTCTGCGGATTCAAAAACATCCATTTCCCTTTCACAGAGTCATCACAATTAAAGGGACACGGTAATAGGACACGGCTTCATCTCACTGAAATCATAGTGTCTGATGTTCCCTGGCACTGTCTTTCCATTCAAGAGTCCATGGCAGAGTGTAATCTCTGGGGCAGGCTGTGGGTGGCCAAAGACCCTTATTTAGTGTTAAAATGCTTGAAAATTGTTTAAAACTGAATGGAGGGACAGTGCTAGAGAACTTCAGGCCCTGTAACCAATTTAATGAGATAAAATGGTCCTGGAGTACTTACAGTGTCTCTCTAATAGACTACTCCCTCTAACGTTCTGCTTTTTAGAAAAGCTGATTTGCCATTACTTTGTGATCTTACAACAAGGATACCACACAAAATGATAAATAATAAAACATACAAAAGAAAAACATTTTGATATCAAATACAGCGCTAATATGTGAGTGTAATATTATATTTAAGAGATGGCCAAAAACGGACAGCCCTAATTGTTGTAGATCACAGCTCCCATGATGCACGCCAACCCTGAAGACTGGCAAAGCATCATGGGAGTCTAGCTCTTCTATAACTCGGGTCCATCTGTTCACCATCCCTGATGTTCTTTGATTCTCAACCACATAATACAGCAGGTCCTCAATGGGACATGTCTGCAGAACAGTATGTAGTTAAAATGGCTGAAGGAGGAATGTATTTATTTTTTTTTTTAAATAACTTAATAGACATCATTCCCACTATTCCAATGTGTAGGGGGGACATTGTGTTTGTTTTTTCTCTTTAATACGCATCAAGACAAAAAAGTCTTGTGCCACCATGGTACAGATATCGAAGCACCATGACCATTATTAAAGATGGCACCCAGGAAGCCTTCTCAATTACGGTTGCCAAAGGTGGACACATGGCTCTCTAGTTGGTTAATACATATCTCAAATAATGCTCAGGGTGTCTTGATTTCATCACTTTTGAAATACACATTGAATGTGTTGAGATTTGACCGTCCCAACACACTTTTATGATGACTGCCACACTAACAGAGAATCATGGAGCTAGAAATCTACAAAATCCGGAGAGAATAACAGGAGCCAGTTATAGCGTTTCATCCTAATATTAGTACTAAAAAGCGTTATATTATGGTGAGTTTGCATGTAAATGGGTATTTAGCCCACAGTACCTGGTTACATTGCAATGGAAACTTGCAAGAAGATGTGGTGAAGCATAAACGTGGTCAGCATTGGAAGATTGTAGATAGACATTATACAATGCCGATGGATGACCATACAAGATCCTTGGACTGTAGAGTTTACATGGGTACATAGTGAAGTATTGTGAGAGAAATGTTTTTAATAGTTTTCCCAGGTTCTGGAATACGGAAACCCAAACTTAAAAACCAAGTTTAGCAGAAGCAGTACTATTGTTTCCCCAGATCATCGGTTTCTCAAAAATAGAGGGGAAAAATAAAAATCAGCCAGTAGAAACCCCTTGTTCTTGATCAAGGGATTATGGGAAGGGACTAGAAGGAGTCTGACCTCCAACATAATGTATAACTTTAGCTGGGGATTTGTCAGGAGGACGTTGGGAGCTGTATTTACATATGGTTTGCACTGGTCTTTGCCATCATTAATATATAGCTTAAATGGTCCCTTATATTTGATAATGTCTATAACTGAAAAAGACGTTACGGAAGTTAAAATGTCACAGACGGGCTGGAAGCACTTTTTTTAAATTGAATGACAAGACGGACCAGTGAAGATGAAGGAGAGGGGAGATTATTGTTGGAACTAATACTGAGAGAGCATATGCGAAGGGTAATCGCATCAAGCCATCTTCACAGAACGAGACCCTACCAGCTAACTCGACGTACATGAGACGGCAGTTATATTGTAAAGAGGGACACATATTAAGGGCTGAGGAAAGATTGCTAAGGTGCTACGACTAAATCTAAGTTAGTTTTCGGATTGACCCTTCCCATTTTCAGTCATCGTCGATGGCCTCTGTCTTGATCTCGTTGGTACCTTGCCGTGCTAGGGCTAGGATGGTGTGGTTCACAGCTGCCATTTCCACTGCCAAGGAGATCGGATCTTGATGATCACTATGGCTAGTACTGTCATCCTAAGCATGTAGAAGTAAAAAATAAACAGATAACTAGTTAATTAACAATATATGAAAATGACCAGGACACTATTCAGGAACTTCTGGATGTGTACAAAATAAATCTAATTAGAATGTCACTCTAGTTAGAGATGTTTAAAAACTCATTAATTGAGTAGAATATGACCTGTTCTTGTACTGTGAAGAATCACAGATTATTGCCTAAAATGTGGCTCTATCACTTCCCATGGTTCTCTGGATGCCAATTAGATGCTTTGTGTTTGGGTGCCAATATGGAACTGGATCTTTAGCAGTGAATCTAGCATGTCAACCCTTTCATTTTGTTCTACAGATTCTGCTCAGAAAAGGGAGAAAGTCTCGTCAGGCACCTCTGAACCCAAAGGGAAGAACATTGGTATGTGAGTAAGCCAGACGAGAAGGCATATTATAATAGGTATAATAAGTATTCCTTTCATAGAATTCTGTAAATCGTTTTATATCACTATGTAGTTATTATATTTATTGCTTCCTTCTTACAAACTGACTTTCTGATCGAATTTGGAAATGGTGCGATACAGGAATGCAAACTGTATTGTTGTATTTCTTCTTACCATTAACAACATTTTGACATCATTGACATTTTGCATTTTATCCCTATTAAGAGTCATCTGGAACAAGAATTAAGATAAAACCAAAGCCGAGATGCTCACCTGTTCAGAGTAATCGTTGCCATCAACATCGTCGCTGTTTGAATGACCTCCAGGACTTTGTACATCGATGCCATGACTCTCCAGGATTGCTGCTTCTTCGAAAAAAGCAAACATGGCCCTAAATTATCTGCGGTGGTGGTACAAACAATACTGCTAAATGTAGAGACACGAGCACAGCCTTGCAAGAAGTGATGGTCAAGGCCCAGGTTTGAGGATCTATTGCCGGAATTGATTCATGTATTTCTGCCAATTCCCTCTACAGACTTAAAATTTGACCTATGCCTTTATAGTGCAGGACCTCTTGTTACGGAAAGAGGGGCCGATTGACCGTCATTAGATTAAAAATGGGCAGTCACCTTTAAAGGGTCACACTAGAAAATCCAGCCAAACAACTCAATAGTTAAATATATAATATTCAGCCAATTTTCAGAATTCGGCAAAACATAAAATAACTTCTAATAACCCACTAAATAATCATTTAATCCAACTGAGCTGAATAGTAACAGGTGTGACACAGTAAGATCACATCTTGCATGTAGATGACAAACCGTATCTGTGGGTTGGGTCTGTATTTCGTGTTTCCTTTTGTGGTTACAAGTCATGGCCTGGATATCTGGGACACAGCCATATCATGGTTTGCCAATTACATAAAGTTTGGCAAAGCGTATCATGGGATGAACATTGAAATTTAGTTTTATTTACACTCACAGCACTGTTCACACAATAAAATCATCAGTAGTGTTTACTGAAACATGGCAATGAGGAACTGCCACTTCTAGAGAACAGAAAGTTCTGCTTTAAATGGACACAAAACACCAAAACAACTTTAGTTTATTGAAGCAGTTTGAGCATATACATCATGACCCTTACGTCTCAGTGCTCAGTTTTCTGCAGTTTAGGAGTTAAACCACTTGTGTTTGTGCGGCATTAGCCATACCTACTCTGGCTGTGACTCACACAGGCTGCATGAAAAAAAGATTTAATATTCAGACAGATCTTGCAGCACAATGTGTTTACTTTAGAAGGTATTGTCTCCTGTTCTGTTAATGGAATTTTACTCACACACAGGAGGCTGCTTCAGGCTCGAGTAGGCAGTTAAAGCAGGAGATTAGGAATTAAACACACTGTGCAATAAAGGAAGCTAAAGAATTCAGTCTTTTCCAGTAAGAGTGGGGGGAGGCTCCATGTGACTCAGACAACGCCAGTGCGACAGGGCTGCATAAACAGAAAAGTGAATTAACTCCTAAATGGTGGATATTAAAAAATGGCAGAAAGGGAGACTGCTAGGGGATTATCTATACAATAAAATTGCTTCATCAAGCTTAAGTTGTTTTGGTGCTGAGAGTGTCTCTTTAAGGTAAGAAATATGAGTAGGGCAGGGGGGAGGGAAAGCAAGCAAATGTAAAAAAATAAAATAAAAGTCAGAGTTTACAGAATGGCACGAAAAGAGAGGCAAATTCATACAAGGAACAAAAGGAATAGATAGTCTAGGATGAGAGACAGTGACATATACAAACAGGAAACTGGAGGGGAATAGGTGGTGGATATGAAATGACCAACGGAAGAAAGGGGGGAATGCTTACAGACAATAGAAAGAGGCAGAATCAACAATACCCCAAGAGCCGGAATAGGAAGGTTTAAAGATTAAACCTAAGACCGTGGAGAATAAAAATAAAATGATGTTTTCCAGTCTAACTTATACGATCCGGCATTGGCTCTCTGAGTGATGTGTCCTGGTACATTACCAATGTTGGCTCTTCTCTTGATCTCCTTCCTTCTATTGGCAAACCAGTTATATACTTTCAAGGATGTGACCCTCTCCAGATCAGACAACTTCTTTCCTATGGAAAAGCACAAGAAAAACATTAAAAATAATAGCGGTAAAGAAAATGTCCTTGCTATATGGGAAGCCTCCTTGTCTCATTGGCTAGAGAGATCTCAACCCATTCCAGGCGCATTGACCACGATTATCTGCAATGGTGGAATGGTAGGCAATAGAGTTTCAAAATAACTCAACCCCTAAATGCATTAAGACTTTGTTTTCATGACCTTAAATGAACGCAGGAAGAGGTTTTGGTATTTTTGTTTAAAGGAGCTTATTAAATATAGTTGTAGCTAATGCTGTCAAACTGGTAAAATGAGGATTTTGCGTTAAGACAAGAAAAACCTTTAAGGGAACGATCATGAAAATATAAATTATGTTGCAATATACGATGCTACTCTACAACGCTGAAGCTACAGTTGTCCTTTAGTGTTACATAAACTGTGGGTTTTGCTCAATTGCAGTCCCTCTGGAGCTCCCTCCAGTGGGAGCTGTTGTATCTACCCCTATTATTATTATTATAGGCTACAACAGAACAAAGTTTTTTGTTTTTTTAATGAAAGTTTTGCTTTAAAGAATTTTACAAAAGACAAAACAATCGATATTTGAGTGAACAAGATTATTATTTATTTTTGGAAGATTTATTTTATTCTATTGTCTCTAAATGTGACACAGGCTGCTTAATAACCTTCAGGGTAAAAAAAAAAAAAAAAACCAAAAAAACCCCCCACCAAAGCAGTTTTTGTGTGAAGCTTCTATTTGCTCGTACATTACCCGTCCCAAATGATGTCAAAGCCAATTTGGCATTCTGCGGGTTTAAAGCAGGTTGGCTTTCTACCAAGGACTTTAATAGGGAATGAATTATTGTTCAGACATAAATTATGCAGATCGCTGTGATTTTTACATAACATCTCAAGGTCTTCACTGAATAATATGTAAGGATGACAAACAAAACATCTTCGAGCGGCAGAGGGTGGCACAGCTAATTCATAGAACATTGCAACAGGGTCAAACGACTGAACTGCCATCTGCCTGGCATTTTGTCTCTGCTTTGCCATTTCCAGATATTTGTAATACTAACTGAATGGGAGATCCTGTTTGCAAGTGAGATATTACACGGTGGGTGATGTCACACTGTGTATCAGAAATGGTAACAGGAATTGTAAGGCTTCTAATCTCTAGTCTGCACCGGAGAACACGTGTCTCGGCTGTTTGTGACTACTGATATTCTGCAGCTGCCAGCAATAAACGACATGTTGGTCCTACTCCCGAAATGAAGAATAACTGGATCCTAGCAGTATAGATGGATGACATTTTAAGGGGAGAATGAAAAAGTCTAGATCATCAGTTAGGCCAATGGATAAAGTTAAATATAACAAAACAAATTACTTTTGGGAACTGTGCTCATTTTTATTTATTTGTTATTAGTTTTCCCACTAATTTCTCATAATTCTCTAAAAGGGTCAAAATGATAATTTCATGAGGTTTTCATTTCGTTGGTTTAAAAGTAAAAAACAAAGACCCTGAATTATAACGAATGACTGCAGATTGGAGGAAGCAGTATGAGATTTCTCTGGGAATAACCATAACTTATGCTGATTGCAATGGCTCCAGTGCACGTAGCTCATGTCACCAACTTTCGATACTGGTTATTAGAATCCATTTTGTTTTACTTGATTCCATTTTTTATAGAACGGTAATCTTGTAACAGCTGAGTCCTGTCAATGTTCTTTGTGAGGCTTGGCAGGGAGCAGGTGTGCCAAGGTGTTTCAAAAGACTCTGCCATAAATCCCATATGATTTGCATTTCCTCATTCACTGACTGTTTGTGGAATAAAGACAAGCAAATATGGAAGAACTTGATTGTCTTGTTTAAGTCCATTCTCCAGCTCACAACTGTTTATAACTGCAGTGACTTGGAAAAACGATACAGCTGTAAGCCTGTCCATTCGTGATGATGCTTGCTCTGTGCCTGTCAAGGTATTGATATGTGTGCTCATATTCCAGAAAAATTCCCACAAACCCTATCCCTCTCCTTCACAGCGGTTTAGGGGTGCCCATGAGCAAGAGTGTTGCTTTAGTGCTTGCATATAGACAAAAACCAGAGGGATTTTCTAGTGCAGCTCTCACTGCATTTAAACATGTCCTTCCACCAATATATTGTGAACCAAAACCAGGACTGTCCCCAGAGATTTGGTACTATTGGCCCACTTTGTAAGCCACATTTTCTTTTTGTGAAGTGTCTCACTTTAAAGGGGATCCAGGTTGAAAGTGATTTCTACCAATTGATTTTCTCTGAATTTCCTTGGTAAGTTTGGAACTTTTGAGTTTAGAAATAAGCACACTATTGCCATATAACCCTAGAAGTGAAGCATTGCACATACCTGGTTTCTGGATTACAGCATTGCAAGCATTTGCAATCTCTTCTCTTTTGGCCTCATCGGGATACTGGTTTTCATTAAAATAGCTGAAAGACAAATCATTATCTGCAGGCTATCTTATATAGTCACTATACATGCTCTTACATGCGTTAAAGGGCTGGGCTCAAGGCGCTTTTGTGACATATTTATTGAATTTGTACAATGCAAAAAAAAGGACTAATTTTACATTGCACAGTTACTGGCAAATACAAAATGATATACAGGTACACAGGGTACTATAAACAAGCAACATGACAAAGAGCAAGTACCACTCTTACAAAAAAAATAAGCAGCGCTAACAAGAAACGAAGATGGAGATATTTAAGAATGGAAGTAAGAGCAATGGAGAAAATTAAAAAGAGGAATAGGGGCAAAAGGTGGATATACATAGCATATCACAAGAAAAATTAAAAAAAAAAAAAATATAAGGTTTTCAGCTGCAGCTGTCCAATCAAGGATTGCTGGACTTTAAACAGGCTCAATTCCCCCTGTTCAAAATGGGAAAAATGGCTTAATATTTATTTATTACACATGTATAATCCAGTACAAATTCCCGTTATTCCATGTATTTCCATATTATGAATCAAGGAAGACAGCCCTCCTCACATATGGTCTGACCACAAAGGGTCTCCACCCTCACAGATTCGGAAACAGAAATGATCTAGAAATGTTATGAGACGGAACTAGCAGCATTTCTATGAAGATGAAAAAGCACATTTGCTAGTAACAACCAAACAATAGGGCTGGCCTTCCAAACATGGGAATATTCTACATTAACAAAGCTCTGTATGTACCTCTCTCTATTATCACAATTTTTTTTAATGGTATGTGTCAAGATCAACATCCTTCTTGGGACCACTACTTCCCACTTCACAGAAAGCAATTGGACCCCAACAGAGACTGCCAAATTCCCCTCCAACTTCTGTCTCTCTCTAGTAGGTCTGCAGCAGAACACTAGATCTTGTCAACAGATTCTCAGAATACAAAACCTTCCCCTTAAACATCAATTAAATTAAACCTGGAGACAATCTCTCTTCCACTCATGTTTAACAGCAGAATTCCTGCTTTCTACACAACCACCAGAAACATGGGACAAACACGGCATTTCCTGGTCACTTCCCCGTAATAAAACACTTTCCTTTCAATTATTAAACGTATTGCTCGATGTGCTTCTGACTAATAAACCGATTATCTGGAGATCTTAGACCGTCATGGGAATAATTTTAGAAACTGATTAGTTTGAGCATCGATTAGTCAACGGACTGTATTCAATTCACAGTTTTTATTCTTTCTCAGTAATTTTTTAAGTTGAACATGTTAATGAGCTTGTTTCTGTCCTGGAGACATATTCTATATACACTTACATACCTACAAACGGAGCCAGAAAGTTAACAGGCTCTGCTCACTCACAGTCATTCAAGAAAATTCTGAATATAAACGGCTATCCGATATCACCCCTAGGAATCCGTAACTAGCCAGGAAAGATACCCACACGTCAACATAATCTTCTGCATATGGAAAATGTATCTTTCATTCTATATTTTCCTTGTACTAAGAGGTGGCTAGGATATCTTCAAACACGTCTATGTGTGTACCTCTTCGCTCAACGCATGTTACATACAACATGGCTGTTGCATGTCGACAGTGGAAAAGGTGATGGGTTGCACTCAATTTGAAAGCACTTCTGTTACAAACGGTTGATAACTATTGGGGTCCACCTTGATAACACGGGTCTTACGCCATAATACAGTCCTTTAATAACTACTATGCGTTTAGATTTTTTACATTTGTTCAGCAGCTGGTTGTTTTTTTTCCTCTGAAAAATCGCCAGGTGACCTTGGCATTTCCACAGGAATTTTAGGTACACATCTACATCAGAAACATTAAATGTTCCCTCTTTCTTGCACAGAAAGGACCAACTGGTTTGATTTTGATTGGCTACAGACATCACATGCTCTCTGCAGCCTAGTAATACCAGATGACCAACTCTGCATGTAAAAAGGGTCACGTACTGCAGTGGTTATTAGATTTTAATTACTAAACGGATTAAATGAAAGTGTAACTACTCTATTGGGAATATATTTTTAAATAGATTTAAGGATATATAATTTTGCCAACAGGGCCAATTTAGAATCACATGCTTAATATTTCTGTAGTAGACAGAAGCTACCGGGACTAAAACATCCAATCACATAATGTTGATTTTTGTCAGCCTGTGTGACAGGATTAAAAGGATACATTTATGAAAATAGGAGATGAACGTTCTAAACAGCTGATTCAGTACTCTCAATTTCAGCCCAAGTTTCAATTTAAAAGATTGCCTCAAACTCCCACAATGTATTCTGAGGTAAGTCAGGAAGGAGTTACCAAGGTTTTTATTCTCTTGAAATTAATGCAGGACTAAATTGGATCCAGTACGGTTAAGATCAACGTATATTATTATTACATCAGACACTTGGCACTTTTCCACGGTACATACAATGCCCAAAACCAACTTTTGGAACAGTAACAATCGATAAGAGACGACAGAGTGCACTAAACCAATAAAAATCAAAACACTGGCAAGACTAGATACATATCTGCAACCTCGGTCTGCTTAGCAATTGTATTTGAGAAGCTCTGCTTAGTCATGTTGGGTGGACTCCTTGGGGATGTGGGGAAGGTGGAAATGACAAAGTTGCCAGTACTTGAAAAGAAACTAAAGATGCACAAATAGCAGAGACCAAACTCTGATATTGCACATAAAGAGACTGACAGAGAGATAGAGCAAGATTAAGCATTAAAACAATGTGTGTTTTGGGAACATAATGCCTTGGAGGGGCTCTGGAGACCAATACAGAAGATTGGGTGGTTTCTAAACGTTCTGAGAGAGTGACAGATGGAGAATGTATAATGGTGGACAGTGTATTATGAGAGAAAATTTCACTAATGTGTTTTGGAGACACCATAATAAACCATGAGACCCCCGGAGGCATTATATTCCCATAATACACATTACATTACAAGATAACTTCAGATCAGGATTAGTGTTGGGGTAGTGAGCTGTCTTTACTGTACATGAACGTCTCAGTGTTGGGACCAAGAAATATATGCCCTTATAGCATAAATGAGATCATTTTAAGGAAATCTAGATGTGCAAGTAACTCCCGCACAGAAATATTACTGATATCTATCCTGCAGCTTAATAAGAATGAAGCAATTTGTTCTATACCTTTCCATCACAGCCAAGCATTCCTTTCTCCAAGTAAACCGGCTACCCCGTCGTAACCGGAATGTGCCAGAGGTAGCAGTAACTGGTGGTGGCGTTTGTCTCCATTCTGTGTCGTCTATTGGGGTAGGGGCAGGCCTCATGCTTAGGGTTGCACCTGCAATACGGAGTATAAAATGGCAAAAATAAAATATTTACAGGAAGCTTTGGAAAAAAACACTTAACTCGACACAAATATCTACTTAGAAACTGTAACAAGAAGATTTATCACTAGTGGATTGTCCGACACCAAACAATCCCCTTATTGAAAGTTTCATATGCAATGGGTGGGTTATTCACTATATTGCACACAGACCAACATTTTACTGCTCTCGTGACAAATCAAGAGCATGACAATGAATATTCTACTTCTTTTCATCCACACATAAAGGGTGTCTGTCATGAATGTTTGTTAGAGTATAAACTTCCATCTACACATTGTGTTAGCAGATATGTATAGATTGGGAGTAAAATCTATTAAACACAAGGGACTGACAAGGGCGAGCAGAAAACACCTCCCATAGGCGTTTTCTCTGCTCGCCACAGAGCATGCGCGGTGTTTGCTATGATAACTATGACACTGCTAGCACTAGGTAGAAAGTATAGAAATAGACATGCTACATAAATTCTGCCACCCCTCCAAGAACACCTAGTCAACTTAGGCAATTGCTAAACAACATATCCCATAAACACTTGCTCACCTCAACTGAAACTAACGAAAGCATTGTGATTGGTTGAAACATTCCCTGGTCTTGGAAGGGCTCAGAACGCAAGCCTGACGATTGGCAGTAAATGCATATACATAAAATGTATTAATTATGACCCCATGCAGCAAGGAATGGTAGTAAGGAGTACATAAATACGGTACATTTACAAGTTGCAACTATGTCCACTGAAAATTTAATTTAACAGAATGTAATAAATTAGAAAACCAAACGTTATATACGTTTAAATCCAATAAACATCTCCCACTGAATTCCTTCAGATACCCTTACCTTGACCTTGTGCATCCTCTTAAATTAAGAAACGTATACTAATGATTTTGTATTTTAACAGTGGGAATCCCAAGAGTTGCTCTAAACTTGCCTGCTTTGCAGGTCCTGCATCATTTGTTGAGGACAGACTGGTAAACACACACTTATTTAAGTCCTTCACAAATCACACAGTGGAGACATTAAGGATCAGATCCAGCAGATATTTGGAGGTTTCTTTAAGATGATACAGAGAGAAATAGGTTTGGGCTCTTGTTAAGGTAATAGAAAAGATACGTCTTAAGTTAAGCTGCTTGAAATGTTATTACATGTGCTGCACTGCATCAGATTGCCTAATTGGTTGGAAATGTAATTTACTAAACCCACCAGGTACAGCTTGAGATGAAATCAGAAACAGGAGTTTGAGTTTCCGAAAAGAATGGAGCAAATTAAAATCCGCTCTGTTGTGAAGGAGAGCAAAAACATTACATTGAAAATCGTCGGGGAAAATAAGACCATTGAACATAAAGAAGTAGAATAGGGACAAAAACATCCTGCGTTTAGACACCAATGGGTTTCAGTGTTCAGATTAAGATGTATATAAGTAGGGCTATCTGTGATACCATAGGGGGAGTTTCAGCATAGTGCTTCATTTTTGTTTCTGTTTGTTTACACAGCCATGTTACAGGGCTGCCACCTACTCCATATGTTCCCTATTAAGGGTTCATAAGTTTGTAGGGGTTTAGAAAAAGTATTGGACTGATGTGTAATATATTCCCTGCTACCGACCAGGAGTAATGGGAGTTTGAACGCAGGACTTAATTTTATACGTTTGTAAAAACCAAACCAAAATAGAAAAAAAAACCTAAACATTTTAATATAGATGCAAAAAATGAAAATTAGGATCTACTCGGTTTTTAATATTTTGGTCATACTAAATGTTGGATTATGTGAATATTGTGCATAACTGCAGAGAATGAGAAAGAAGGTACAAATTTATAACGATCCAATAACTACTTAAAATGTGCCTCGTTGTGAGAAGCTTAAAACTGCTGCTATTTTTCAAATGAAAATCTATGTAGAATTATTTAAGTTGTTTATGAAAGGAAAGAAAAGTAATTTTATTCCCATCATCCAATTTCAGACAGCAGAGTATTTTTAAATCATCTGAAGCCTATGAAAATCGAACACGTCATGCTGGCTAAAATGAATACACTACCGTGCAATCTTTCCCCAGTCCTAATATCTATGCTAGATTGTCAACAGTGAATTCAACTGAGATGCCCCGGGATTTTACATTATTTGAAGTCTCTCTGGCCAACACCTACCTTTTTTGAACCTATAGCAACCTCTGTCATGGAACTAGAGTGGCATAAAAATGCTCATCCTACCGTTTCACTGTTCAGTTTCCGCTAATTTCACTTGAGTTCACTTTTTGGTATAGGAAGCCCTGTGAGCTTGGCCAGTAACACAGCAACACAGACATGTTCTATTAACAAGATTATTGGGTGAGTTGGGCCAAGAATATGTGACAAATATCAATTCTAAGCCATGTTGCTTAAATTAAAAACCTTGAGAATAACCTCAAAGTAATGAATAGTTGGAGAGGGCCGCGTCACATCCGACTCAGCACAATGTAAACGGTATCAGTGAGGAGATAAATGCACAGGAAGAAGTCTTTAGGGTGCTAAGTTTGCCCTTGCTTTCTATAAACTGCTGAAATCAACACAAGAGTTCTTGAAAATCACCTGGGTTAGTCTTCTCCAGCTGGTACCATCTGTAAAAGGCTCTCTTCTTCTGTTCACTCAAGTCCGATCCTTGCTGAAGCAACCAGTGGGAGATCCTGCTCTGACTGATACCTGGAAGAAATCAAGAGAGTCCCATTACTCACCTGGAAATAAAAAGATTAAAAAAACAGATCTCCCCCTTCACCTGTTAAAATTCAGACAGGTGGTCTGCTAAAGCATGATTGAGAAACGTAAACCACTTAACCCGTCTGAAATGTGATGAACACCCAGTGGGCTCTCAAAATATTGACCTAATGGTCCTCCACATGTTCTATATCCCTTTATATATCAGCTCTCCAAACTTCCTACCGTGGCATGAACATAGAGCAGAGCCTTTTGAGAATGAGAGGACAAAAATTATAGATGTCCTCCAGCATTATCCCCAAAAGATGAAAATGGGGGTAGTCACTACTCGTATAGTAAAAAATAGAAAGTGTCCACTAGATTGAATTTCCAGTCCACTCCAAAAAGATCTTAAAAGAAAAAATAGTAAATAACAAAAGAACTTTATTAATAACTATAAAAGGTACTTAGACAAGTATATCGTTGTAGCCTGATGAAAAAAGACCAACCATGAGAGAAATGCTCAATAGCTATGGTTGGTAGTTAAGCACACTGATTCAAAAGGATACAAATGTAACAATATGAGAACTAACAAAAAAAAGTAGCAATCCCAATCTTTATATTGTTACGAGCTCATGGAAGTGAATGAAACACTGGCTACAACAGAGCCTAGATAATCTACTAGTTGAGGAAAAATCTAAAATGACAATGAAGGGGGAAGTTATCACCATGGGTGACTAATCTTACTGATGTGAACTGGAAAACCAATATAGCTGCTGGTGCCAGGAGCATACATATTCTAAACTCCCTACTGGGATTGTCTCTAAAACAAGTCGTTGGGGAGCCAACTCGTAAAGAGGCCATACTAGATTTAGTGTTAACAAATGGAGATTTGGTATCAGATATTACTGTAGGTGAAAGTTTAGGATCCAGTGATCATCAGTCAATGTGGTTTAATATAAGAACAGTGACTGAGTCACACCACACAAAAACAAAAAAGTTTTAGACTTTAGAAAAAGAGATGTTTCTAAATGGAGTCCAAGAGAAATGGGATTATTTAAAAGTTGTGCTGCTGAAGGCAACAGAAAATTGCATTAGGCTTGTCAGTAAAAGCAAAAAATGAAGGAAACCACTGTGGTACTCCGCAGATGTGGCCAAAATAGCAATAAAACGAAAAGTTAGCATTTAGTAATTATAAAAAAAATAGAGTGAGGAAGATCGATCTATAAGATTAGGCAGAAAGAGGCTAAGCAACTTATAAGAGCTTTGAAATCACACACAGAAGAGAAAATAGCACAGTCAGTAAAAAAAGGGAGGGGGGGGACAAAACATTTTTTAGATACATATATGAGGTTATATGAGGAAATGAAAGTAAAACAAGGATTAGTTAGATTAAAAACAAAATAAGGAAGGTATGTAGAAGAGGATAAAGGTCTAGCTGACTGCCTCAATGAATATTTTTGTTCAGTATTTACAGATGAAAATGAAGGAAAGGGGCCTCAGTTAGGAAAAAGGACAAATTAGTCATTTGTTACATGTGAGTTTACAGAGGAAGTGGTTCTATTTCAACTGTCAAAAGTAAACACAAATACGTCAATGGAGACTGATGGAATACACCCAAAGTTATTAAAAGAGCTTAGTGGTGTACTAGCACAACCATTAACAGATTTATTTAACCAATCATTGTTAACAGGAGTAGTCCCAGAAGATTGGAAGTTAGCGAATGTTGTGCCCATTCACAAGAAAGGTAGTAGAGAGGCATTGGGCAACTATAGGCCAGTAAGCCTTACTTCAGTAGTGGGGAAAGTGATGGAAACCATGTTAAAGGATCGGATTGTTGAACATCTAAAAACACGTGGATTTCAGGATCAGAGACAACATGGGTTTACTTGAGGGAGATCATGCCAAACTAATTATTATTAATTTTATTTTATTTTTTTGGGTGCGGCAAATGCCACTTCTCCCCACTTAAAAAAACAAATGTAGTAAAATTATGATTTATATGTCCAGTGAGGAAGGACTAAAGCTGGCCTATGGGCTCCTGTTGGATGTGGAAAGTCCTATGGGGGAAAGTCCTGCTGCTGCTGACAGTACGCAACATCTGCTTTCTTGTTTCTGGGCATCTGCATCTCCCCAAGAGCGTTGACAGTGGAGGCCACTTTTCCCTTCTATTTGTTGGGAGGTATTGGTGGTAGCTGGAGGCCCTTTAAAAACTATGATGGGTCTTCTGCAGCCTACAGCACATGTAGTGTCCCCTCTTGGTACTATCAGGGTTTCCAGGGCTCCCCATCTGTACCTGACGCTTTGTTCTCTCAGTATTCTGGTTACGGACATAAACCTGCGCCTGTCCATCAGTACAGAGAAAGGTAGGTCTTTGAATACAGAGACCTTGTGTCCGTCCACTACAAAGCTGGGGAACTTCCAGGAGTGGGACATCACAGTTGCCTTTACAGCTGCGTCACGGATTACTGCCCTTATATCCCTGGGTGCGTCTGCAGGGGCAGTAGCTGCCTTCCTAATCCGGAAGGCCGACCCTATGGGCCGTGACTCGCCCTTCCCGGTCACCTCCACTGCCTGCATCACTCTGTGGATGAATTTCATCAGGGCTTGTGGGCCCACCATTTCTGGAGCAGCTAGCGGGTCTATTCACTAAACACTGGTTTCATTTGGCTTGGTTCTCCTGTATTCGGTTACTATGCCTCTGTGATTCCCTAATAATGGAATGGAAGCCAAATTGAGCTTAATGGATTCCTGCTCTTTTCAAATGGGTCTCATTAATGCAGTGAGATTCATGTGATAACTTAACTCAAGGTAAAAAAATTAACCTGGTAAAAGGGAAACGGACACTTCAAAAAATATTTTAAATATTACATTTAATTACCCCCTTTATTTAACAAAACCTGTATGTGAAGTATGACAAAATTAAATGTAGACATCCAGGTCTCTTTATCCTGCCACTGGGTGCCCTGTCAATCATTGTTATAATTGTGTACTTTGCACCTGGCACTCAGCACAGAAAAAAGATATTAAACAATATATTAATTTCTCCTCTTAATTTGCTATGTTTGACCTGGCATTGGATTGTGACTCTTAAGCTAAATCTTTCATAGAAATGTAAAAGAAATTGAATAGGATCAACCGATCAAATGTAAAGAATTCAGCTGTAATTTGACTGTTTTTGAACAGCGATTTAGCCGAATTAGAACTGGAATGAAAATCAAACTGCAGCCAAAAGGTTACTGAGTTGAATTAGTATTTAAAAAAAAAAAAAAAAAATTTTATTTTATGAGTAACTTGAAAAGCTGAAATCTGACAACCAAATTACATTAGTCTTGTTTCTGGGTACAGTTTGGTGGTGGAGTGAATAAGCCCTACTAGTCTAGTCGGTTCTGTGTGCTCCCAGACTCATAAAAACAGAAAATATGGGACGCCAAGTCATACATCCAAGATTTTCTTTGGTGAGAAGAACTATTTTTGATCTAATCTTTGATTTATTTTATACCATTTAATGACCACCTAAGGACTCAATCTCATGCTCTATCATCTCCCACACTTTGTACACTTTGACAGCATCTTCAACGATCTTCCAAATTCCTCCATGACTACATGTTACAAATTGTAGGATTACACATTACAATTACTGTTATTTGCTGTATAAATCCACTGATAGATGACTCCGATTAAGTAGATTACCGATTACGCCTTGTGTTAGTATAGATCTCCATTACCAAATCTAATTATAACTTGGCATAAAAAGCAGTACCAACACTCAGCGGGGGCTGCAGACACCATAAAATAACTTCTAATAGGCAGTACCCAGCTGGTGAATAGAGAGAGTGTAAGAATCTTACCTACAGAGGATGGCACATGTCTACAACACTGACAAAGGTTAACACAGTGAGGGAGTTTAAGCATGTGTGGGATAGGCATAAGGCTATCCTAACTATAAGATAAGGCCAGGGACTAATGAAAGTATTTAGAAAATTGGGCAGACTAGATGGGACGAATGGTCCTTATCTGCTGTCACATTCTATGTTTCTATGGGTTTAAAATACCACACCCAGGTAAAGATACGGGCACCACATTGACCCTGAAAGTTTGCAAAGAATTAAAGAGATCTCATTAGGAGTACAAGTTGACTTTATGGGATCTCTGTGCTGTTAATTACATGACCCAACTGTCAAGGGTGAGTTTTTTTTTCAGCCACTTACATTAAAATAAGAGGAATTAGAAGGAAAAAAAAATCTTTAATTAAAATGACTCATTGAAAGTGAAATGTTCAGGACAATGGGTCTTAAATCAAGGAATACATTACTATGATTGAGCAGGCAGGTTGGTACCGCAATGCAGAACCCTAGGCAATTCAGCAACATCTGTACCAACTCCCATTGTGATAAAATGCTCCCGTCTAAACACCGAGGTAGGCGGCGGGGGTCTTCCTTACCTGTTACTTGTGCAACGACAGCTTGTGATATTCTCCGGTTTGCAAGAAACGCTTTGATTTCTTCTTTAATGACACCGCTGTCCCTCCTGTCAGGGAGAGAGAATATGAGTATGGCATTTCCATACACGCAATACCATTTTGGTGTGATGTGTTGCAGTCAAGTTTTTCTTTAAAAAAGTCTCTTTAAGCAAACAAACTGCTTTACCTGGGAACGTGGAAGCAGAATGAGATGAGCTAAAGTGCCCAAACCACAAAAAAAAAACCTAAACAATGCTTAAAAGCTATAAACATTAAATCTTTCATTTTAACACTATATACAGATTTATTTTTTTCTACTACAAGAAGTGGTAAAAACTGTGAAATTGCTATATTTTAATTAATAACCATCCCTAGTTACAGAGAGATCCTGCCCAGGTAATCGTAATAACAGCCAATTCACGTTGTATATCATTGCAAAAATAAACAGAACAAATGGGGGACAAGGGAGCCCCTTACACCATAACCACTCCCGAAACACAGGCAGTTTGGGTGCTGTGACACATATAACAAGCAGTTAGAAGGAGAGTCAGTTATTAAGCCCATTCATCCTCCGACAGGGAGCGATATCTAGAACCGCATCTATATCTTGGCCAAATTAGGGAAATAAAAAAATGTTGCGGGGAAAGAGCTCCAAAGGGTTAAAATAATAAAATAAAAAGCATTGACTGTGCTTAGAGCCAGGGGCCAGACTAGCAAAGTGAAATGTCATAAAGTATCTTGCTGCTTGACATTTCCTTTAATGAGTGTCAGATCTTATCAGAAGTGTCATAACACAAGGATGGATGAGGGTAATTCGAGGCAAGTTGAATAAGGTGTGTGAGTGCCATATGGCATGTAGAAAGTTTCATTACTGAGGGGAGGCATAAATCTTTTACATCAGACATAAAACCTGAGCCATAAAAATAGGAAGAGGGGTGTAAGGGGGGAGCACAGATTTAAGGCAGAGCAGCTACATAATTTATTGGTAAATAATTCAAGAGGTATTCTGCAGAGAAACAAACATTTAATTTCACAGCCCTACCTGAACCTTGGTGAGCCTTTCTATAGTATTACATACACTCTGTTACCCGTTCTTTGACAGTAAAAGGCAGTAAAGATGGGGCACTGCAATCGATGGGGTGAATGTACAACACCAATACTTTTCGCTGAAGAAGCAACCTTAGTATTTTAGATAAGACGCTCAAGAAAAGATCAAACATATACCAACCTCTGAAGGTCACTACAGGATGACAAGAGGGAGGTCCTCCATTGGTGGCTTATGGGTGTTGGGTTTACAACAGGTTATGGAGGACTATAAATAGGCCAATGAGCTACTGAATACAGAGACGGCTTCAGTAAGCCCTTACTGTCAATTTATTTCCACATTTACAATTATATATTAGTTGCCTAAAAAACAAACTACAACACACAGCAAGGCTAAAACACAGGCACTCAAGTTTCGCCCGTAACATGTATTATACTGCTTGGGTAATAAATTATACCAGCACCAAAGCCAGGGATAGTCTGAATATTGAACTTATTTTACACCAAATACGTTGTTAACCCCATAAGGTGACATGTCATGATTCCCTTTAATTCCAGAAGTTTGGTCCTTAAGGGGTTAAGCATAGATTATTTCTAAATAATCGTGTAAAGAATCAGAAGACAATTCTAAACATTATGCATTTCAATCAGAGGCTGAAAAACCTTCATTGGAAGGATGGACAGAAAGTCTCACACCGAACTCAAGATTCCAGAAAAGAATCCTTCCATGTCTCTGCTTAGTAACACTAGAACAGAGATAGGCAACCTTTGGCACTCCAGATGTTGTGAACTACATATCTGCTGATGCTTTGCCATGGTTGTAAGAGCCTTACGGGACATCTGGAGTGTTGAAAGTTGGCTACCCCAAAACTAGAACAAAGAGGAACCTTCTATGGTTACAGAGCAGTTTAGAATGGTCAAGACATCAGTTACATTTCAGGCTGTATCCTGTTCCATAAATCCTTAGGAATAACCAATAAATTCAAAGGCTTAAGACAAAAGACCATCCAAAAAAAAAGATTTAATCAGCTCTCCCCACAATTCATAGTTAAAGTGATTACAAGGGACAGTTTAAATCAAAACTAGAGGCTCAGTCAATGCACTATAACAGCTCATTGTTGTGGTTGTGAATGTATGGAATCATTAGATAACACGGAATCATTTTCTGTCAAACAGCTTTGAAGGGGTTTGACAAACATTTTGACTCTCCCAGTACTTTCACAGCCACTCAAATTTACTTCCATATTAAATGTCCAGAGGAGGGACAGGCTAAGGACACGTGGCTAAACCTGTCCCAGCTCTCGCAGTCTTACGGATTCCCGGCTGCATTGCTTTGGGCAAATTAACCTTCCGGCTTATTCAAGTGGCTGCAAAGAGTTTTTTTCTTTGTAATCCGAGAGGACATCTTTTGCATTTATTTTAATTGCTCAACAACCATTTGACAAAAAAAAAAAAAAAAAGAAACCAAAACAGTGGAATCATAGCATCATAATGCCATACAATGAGCTATAATGGTTATGGTGCTTACAGCAAATTAAATAAATGTAAATATAATTCAAGATGTATGAATCAGCCTTCTAGATAAAACTAAAGGTCAGACTATAATGATTAGTGAACTACAAGTTTAATTGAAGAAAAGCAACTTATTTGACCAAACGGTTCCTGTCAAAGCATGTAACTGTATCCCAGTTTAGATTGATTGATTTTAACATCCCCCCAAAAATGCCTTGAACAGGTCACTCCAGACCCCTTGAAGCATGTTAGCTTGCTGAAAAGTATTGTGCGTGAAGAGTGTGTCCTTTTAATCTTGCAAAAAGTGCATATTTTAGTAGAAATTGACACTTTTGTAAATTAACCTTGTTACACCCCCCTGGCTTTCACTCAAACAAACAGTCCCGTTACTTCCGGGTTCGGTTAGCTCAGTGGAGATAAACCCAAGAGGCAGCAAATACTATCCATCCCTCTCAAACCACACCAACAACCACCAACATCTGCTATTGTACATACAAAGCAAGATAAACATTTCCGACTGTATCAATTAGTCCACTGTATAATATCACAGACCTTTACCAACCATAATTATTCTTTAAATGTAATATAGGACTTAAATTCATAGCAACCCTTCAATCCTCACACACACAAAAACACATTTTTTAGAATTAAAACCACCCTGCAGATAAAGCATTATGAAGCGCATCCCTGTAAAGCGTGGCCGTAAATCACAAGTACCATTACATAACACAACATCGGAACAGAAAACCAATATATAACCTGTCTGGTTTGCTAGCTGAAAAATTTGATTTATTTAGACTTTATTATTGATTGCTTCAAGAGCTGCAAAATATGTTCAGCAATGGCCCCGGTAGAAACTTAGTTTTTTTTTAATTAATGAAACAGACTAACCACAATTTTCTGTTTTACTTGCAACATCTCCCTTCCTGCCCACATTAAAATTAACATTTATTAGTGTGCAGGCCACTGACAGCCTCAAATGTACGCTTTGAGAATACATCTAAGTTTAAATCCCTGGGGTTTCACCCCCTAAGCACAGAGGTAAGTGTACAAGTCCTGACACAAACAAAACCTGGAATTTGAGCTATAAGTCTGTTCAACCATAGTTTACACTTTCCATGCACACATTCATTATGTATCAGGGGGCTTGACACATTTGCTTTGAATCTAGGAGCCAGCTAAAAAAGTTAGGAGCCAGTTTTTTGTTTTGTTTTTTACATTTTCAACGACAAAAATACAATTCTTAGAGGGACACTATAGTCACCAAGACCACTACAGATTAAAGGACCACTCTAGGCACCCAGACCACTTCAACTTAATGAAGTGGTCTGGGTGTCACGTCCAGCTAGGGTTAACTCATTTTTTTTTTTTTATAAACATAGCAGTTTCAGAGAAACTGCTATGTTTGCAAATGGGTTAATCCTTCCTCCAATTCCTCTAGATGCTGTCTCATTGACAGCCACTAGAGGCGCTTGCGTGATTCTCACTGTGAAAATCACAGTGAGAGCACGCAAGCGTCCATAGGAAAGCATTGTAAATGCTTTCCTATGAGACCGGCTGAATGCGCAGGCAGCTCTTGCCGCGCGTGCGCATTCAGCCGAATGGGAGGAACGGAGGAGGATCGGAGGAGGAGAGCTCCCCGCCCAACGCTGGAGAAAGGTACGTTTTAACCCCTTTCCTCTCCCTAGAGCCGGGCGGGACGGGGACCCTGAGGGTGGGGGCACCCTCAGGGCACTATAGTGGTCCTTTAATGTAGTGGTTCTGGTGTCTATAGCCTGTCCCTGCAGGCTTTTCAATGTAAACACTGACTTTTCAGAAAAAGGGCATTGTTTACATTGCTGCCTAGTGATACCTCTAGTGGCAGTCACTCAGACAGCCACTAAAGTGGTTCAATGCAGCGCATGCGCAATAGCTTTGCAATGCTTTCCTATGGGAGCTATTACTAGACAGCAATGTAAACACAGCCTTTTCTCTGAAAAGACAGCGTTTAAATTGAAAGGTCTGCAGGGACATGTTATAGATAACAGAACCAGAAAATGAAACGTTAGTTAAAAAAGACATGGCTCCTAACATTTTTTACCTGGCTCCTAGGTTCCAAGCATATTTGTCAAGCTCTGGGTTAATAGTTTACCTTTCTAGATTTTCACAGTGAGAAGACACCAGCGTCCATAGGAAAGCATTAAGAATGCTTTTCTATGGACTGGCTGAATGTGCACGCATCCAGCCAATGGCGGCCAAAGGAGGAGGAGAGTCCCCGGCGCTGGAGAAAGGTGAGTTTTTAACCCCCTTCCTTCCCCTTCAGCCCGGCGGTAGGGGGCCATGAGGGTGGGGGCACCCTCAGGGCACTACAGTGCCAGGAAAACAAGTTTGTTTTTCTGGCACTATAGTGGTCCTTTAAAGGAACATGCTAATAAATAATAAAAAAAATAAAAAAAGACACAATGGCCATGATGATGGCATGATAAAGATTCACATCATGTTGAAACGTTGCACCTGGAGTTTTTATATTGCTAGGCATACATTGAGAGATACAAGCATGTGCTAAAACTTTCTTTTTTTAATTACTTTTGGATCCTTGGGGTAAGGACCTTAACTCACGGCACAGGTACCAAAATTCTTGGAGCTTGAATAGTGCCCCTCCTACGTACTTTGTATTTAATGTGTAAAAAGCTTGTAGTGCTTAACCACCAGACAAGACTGATATAGTAAAAAGTCCAAATTGCCTATTTTGTTCACATGTATAAAGTCCATTTCCCCATTTTTATACATTCCATACAGAAGGGTAAATACGTGACCACATAGATCTCGCCGAGTATTAGAGATTGCACCATTATTTATATATAACCCACACTGAGTTTCATACAAAGGATGCAGAGAGACAAGGAAAAAAAAAAAAGCTAAAAATACATCCCATCTATTTAAACACCGCACTGATTTTAGACTCTGTCTGGGGTTTTAAGCCAACGCGAATACTGATGGAAGTCAAGTCAGATTCAGAGGCAAAAAATATACATATGACGTAAAACTGACGGCATCCCACAGATTGCCGGAAGCATAAACAAACAACTATCACAACTTTGATGTGCAGTTTAACATTTCTGCGACCGAACCTATTCTGAGCTTTGCTTACACTGCTAGAGGAATGTTAGCACTCTAAGCGGTCTTCTGTAAAACCCCATTTCCAGAGGATTCCCTGCTGGTCTGTAGTTCCTTTTCCCAGAAGACATACATTCAAGACATGCACTATCCTGCATGGAATGCAGTGCATAGGAATAGCTTAAAATAGAAACCAAAAGTTAGCTATTGGTTGTCCTATTTTGTTTTTTTTAGTTCAATTTAATTGCAGTTTTCTCAGGCACACTGGGCAAAGCATGTTAATTAGTTAACGCCTTTCGCGCCTTGTAACACTGACGGAGAAAACGCAGAGCATGCATGTCATAGGAAAACTCGGCAAGAACGCAGAAGCGCAGTGGAGGTAAGTAATTTTACTTTCTTCTTAACGCTGATAATAAAATAGCCCACCTATGCAGTTATTCTAGAAATGCTAAAACGTAGACATATTATGCCATTTGTCCCACAATTCTCCCTACATAACCAGTTCACGTATCTGTTTTAACATTAAAAAAAAATCTCTGATTGTAAACAGAAAAATATACGTACACAAATATTGTATATTTTAAGTTTAGTGATGTTTAATTTTCATGTTCAAACTATGATCATTCAGCTTATCCTAGATAAATAAAGATACTAAAAAATAAAATCCTACTTTGCACACATGTACCTCCTATATTACATTCACAATGAGTTATTTTGTAGTCTGCATGCACAGCAGTATGAAAATAAGCATATTTCTACTTAATGCTGGGGAAGTAGGAGAAGTGTAGGTGTATATAACTGGGGTATCATTTGCACCAAAAGAGCTCACAAAAATTCAATGATACGGACATATTTCTGCCTTCAGAACCAAGCAATATTATAAACATCTGGTATGTCCTGGAAAACTCGGTCCCCACTGAATATATGAGGATCAAAGGCCCCCTCTAGTAGAGGGGAGAATGGAGTTGGACTGAGGGGTTTGGAACTTCACCTAACTTTTTACTTGCAACATGCTTGTGTTCAAAAGGCTTTGGGAAGAAAAACATAACGGTATATATTCTAGAAACTACTTGGACCTTTGGTTAAACTGTCGCTTACAGTAATACGGGTCTACAGTGCTCACAAATTTTGAGATGATAGTGGCACAGATAATCATGGCAATGCTTTGGAGGATCACTTAGGGAGGTAACCCGCTGGTGAATTGCACAAAAAGAAATTAAAGGAACAAATAACCTTTTTGGACAAAAGCATACTTTTCCATAAGAGCGTTAAGTGGACATATTATGTTAGACAGGAAAACACCGCTAGAAACGGTCTCCTGAAATAGCTCAGGTGGTTAACCGTATAAAAGGGAGATGAATGCGGATAAATGAGTATTTATAGACCGAAGGAAACTGTGTGACTCTCAAAGCTGCTCAAAGGGTCTGTCCCTTGATTGTAGGAAGAAAACCAGTTTCATTCTAAAACCAAGGATCAGGTCTCTCGGAACAGATTCCAGAGCCTTGATGGCCTTGGGAATTCAAAACATCTCATCCAGCTTGGTCTGTTAAGGCACGAGAATCCAGGACAGTAATCATCATAGGTGATGAGGGAGCTCCACTAGGTCAGTATTTTTTTTTTTATTTTTTTTTGTTAGAACAGGATGTGTATATTTTTATTTCCTACATTGTTCTCAATTGTATCTAGTGTGGAACAGTAAACCTGTAGGGAGCGTGGAAGATTTACCTTCTGCTCCCGCTTGAACTGGCAGAAGTTCTGCTCAACATGTTCAGGAACCTTTGTAAAAGGAGAGAAAAATGTCTGCATTATAGTGGAAATCGAGTGAGAAGCCACAAGTATTGTATAGGGAGGAAATTTAATAATAACACTTAGAACTCCATGTTCAGATCGAGATCAGCAAGACCTTGTTTGAAAGATAGTGAACTAAATTTTCAAGTTAAAGGTGGATTATGGATAATCTGACCGGGTGATGACCTTACTCTATAGAGGCATGTAAAAAGGTCCTGAATGCATCTCCTTTCTGGTAAGGGGTCTACGGGCCATTTAAAGGGGTAGGTGCACTTAAACATATAGACCTTTTACCACCTGATGCTTGGTATAAACTAATGAAGGCACCATTTGGTGGAGTTAAATCCCTGTTGTTCCTACATTTTTCATAAAGAAATACTATTACCATTTATATGAATTATTTTGATACGTGAAATTGAAACATATTAATTAAGCTTTTATTAAAATATATGTCCCCCTCTAAAACAAATCACTATCTCCAGCATGCAAACAAGCAAGCCACTGTAGTTAAAACAGTGCTTAAAGCTCTTTAAATTGTTAAGTTAGGCAAAGAAAGCACTTAATTAAACCGAGAAATGAAATCCAGCTGCAAGTAAAGGCCACAACAGAATTTTAATCTATTTTCTAATTAAAAAAGAAATGAGAAATTTCAAAACCAATTACAGAGTTTGAGGGAGAAATCTACAGTATTTGTTTAGCAAATATATCCATATTCCGAGAGCCAACCCACACCAAATGGCAGATTGTTATCTATAATTTCCTATTTACACACAGACTGGTTGTGGTTGGTGATGCTTTAAATGGACCCACACATCTCGCTGTAGAGGTTATGGTATCAGCAGTGCTGGGGTGCCCTCGTAGTTAACATGTTTTAGAATAGTTTGACCCCCTTACCTGGGGTTCACTGAATGCTGCTCCCCACCTCGCCTTCCTTCCTGTCTGCATTGCAGGTCTATGTCATTGACTGATCACTCTCAGCCAATGAGCTAAACCTTGCACTGCCTGGCTTAACTCAGAGAGCTTCTGACTCTCAGAACAGAAGGGAAGGGCATCCAGTAGATCCCTGGTAAGAATTCAACCATTCTCAAATTGTTTTGTTATTTGCATAGGCGCACTGCGTGTACCATAACCACTACAGTGCATTGTAGTGGTTATGGTGCTTGGACTGTTTCTTTAACCCCTTAAGGACCAAACTTCTGGAATAAAAGGGAATCATGATGTGTCACATATGTCCTTAAGGGGTTAAATAAATCTCACAGAGATTGGGTTTTAGAAGTCAAACACACTCTGATCCCTCTTTTGGGTTGCTTTAAAAAAAAAAAAAGTCAGGTATCCCCTCTCAAAGCGGTCTGAGACCAGGCCAATGGATTCCTCATTGTTATTTTTAACTGGGCTAATTAAAGCTTCCAATGGTACTATAATTTGGGGAAATTAAAGCTCTAATTTGCTAATGTTCTTCTAATTGGAAATATTATTGAAGATATTTTGAAATGCATAACAGTTAAATTAGGGATTCTCATCAACATGTGATAATTTGCAATATATAACAAGGTGTTAACAGCCTGTCATAATATAAACATAGACCAGGCATCATAGTCAGGACATTTGGCAAGACACAAAAAATTGGAACAATCTTGAAAGTCATATGGACTAAGCAATGCTGGGCATAGGGGGAGAATATTGGGCAACCTTCTCCCCCCCCTCCCTACTCATATTAAATTGTACAAGGAGCAAGAGAGATTCATTTGAGCCAAGAGACCCATGTAACATTAAATAATCTTAACTTTATTCCACTTTAATTCACAACCAGAAATGAAGGAAAATACCAGTTTATTAAATATCATCCCTGATTAAATTCCCAATCTAGTCTCAGAACAGGTACAGACAGATATCTCATATTAATAACATAAATACCTGCTAATCACAAAGAATGAATTCATATAATTCCCTGACTAATCACCGCTGTTGCAGAGTGGTGTCAGAAGTCACCCTGCTCTCTGGGAAATGAAAAACTCAATTAGGAATAAGGCTTTCAGGTCAAAGATTTATAACTCTGCAAATCTCTCGCCAGTGTCAATCCGGAGTGTACATGCCACAGGAAGGTGATCCTACGAGGAGATTTACGCCATGAAGACTATTTAGCAACAAAAGGCCAGAGTTAGAACTTTATGAAAGGCTTAACTTCTGATTCCCCTGCAGGTGTTTTCATTAGAAAATAGAAGCCTCCAAGCATGGAAAAAAAAAAAAATAGCATAACAATACATGAAAAGAAATGTAATTGTCTTGATAGATGTAACTCATTCACTTATCTTATCTAAAGTGGAAAACATATACAGGACTGACCTCATTAACTCTTCCACCTTGTCATCCACATCCAGATCTTCCTCTGAAGCTTCATAGCTGTACGACCTTGGCCCAATGCTATTTGCATGGTAGCGAGTTGGAGATAACTTCCCATTGGATGTCGGAAGCCTCTCGTTGCTCTCTCTCCCATTCTGATTGGTAGTGCAAGGTTGTGGTGAGGTGTCACAGCTGTTGCTTGGAGAAGGTGACATACCACAATGAAGGGTCTGCGTGGAAGCGGTGGCTGTTGATGAAGATGCAGGGACATTGTTGGTGCTGTTGCTGTAGGAACTTGTTCCGTAGCTTGTTCTCCTCCCAAACTTGCCACTGTGTTCTTGGTCAAGACGATCTAACGTCTCCAAGGCGTGGAGAATTTCATGTTTGGTCATTCCCGTACGTCGCAAGCGTTGAAGCAGATCGATCTGCTCTATGGTAAATCTTGGCTCATCTGTGTAATGTGACATGGTTTTAGGCAGACTGCAAAAGAAATCACAAGTGGTTCACAGTTAATCATTTTTTTTCAGTGATCAAACTACTGATTTATTACACTTTTTAAATTAAAAATGAATAATTAAAACAATAGGCAGACAACCAAGTGCCCACTGACAAAAATGAAAGCCTATAAGCGGTACCCTTTACCCGTGCCGCAAAACAGAGAAGCAACCTAAATAAGCTTCACATATTACGTAGTGTTAATTAACCTTTTTGCTTACAGAGAACCAGAGTAGTTAATTGGAAACAGCTAAGAGATCCATTCTTCAACTGTAAAATGAGTTCCAGTGATCATTTTTTTAATTTTAATACAATAACTGCTAAATTTCTAAACACCACCTTTCGTAGACCTTGGCCATTGTGAAAGTATGTCTGTTGCATTGGGAAGAACAGTGACACTCCAATAACCAGCTACACAACTTTCAATTGATAATCAACGGTGTCTTATATAAAGGTAGTTTTCAATCAGTGTGCCATGGACACAGTCACTCCAGGCTGTAGCAAGCTAACTGCAGTTCTTAAGCAGTCACTCTTAAAGGGACACTAGAGGCACAAAACAACTTGAGCCTAATGAAGCAGTGTTGGTGTATAGATCATGTCCCTGTAGTCTTACTGATCAATTATCTGCCATTTAGGAGTTAAACCACTTTGTTTATGCAGCCCTAGGCACACCACTCTGCATGTGACTTACACAGCCTTCCATAAACACTTCCTGTAAAGAGTAATCTAATGTTTACACTTCCTTTACTGCAAATTAATTTATAATGAATTTAGATTTTGTTTTTTTTATCTCCTGATCTGTCAATAGCTTGCTAGACCATGCACCTTCTCGCAGTGCAGTATTCCCCCTTCCTTCTATTTTCAGCCTCTCCTTCAAGATGGCTGCTGGGTATACTCACCCCCATTTGGCTCAGCCAAACAATGCAGAAGTGTCCATTCTGCATTATCAAGTAGGCAGAGGAGGGGAGGGTCTCCGAGTCTGGGAGAAAGGATTGTTTTTTGTCAAACTGCTACCAAAAAGCAAAGGACAATCCCCACAGACTTCTGGTAGCATACCCAGTACAGTTAGCTGTACTGGTTAAAATGCCCCGAGTGCCCCACTGGCTTGCTATATGCCCTTGGTATTTAGAATTCTGGGATAAATAAACCAAAGACATAAGGTAAACTAACATTCAAACACCATAACCCGAGTGGAGAGCACATTTTGGCTTCCCGGTGAGTATGGGACATTTCTTTGGAGTGGATGATTTTATCACCATTGAATCAGATCACCACAAAGAACAATTTAAAAGAATAATAAATTAAATTTAAAAAAAATATATATGCTTTTTATAGCTTTGCTTGAAAATCTTTTCAAGAGGCAGCAAAAACATTTTATCAACCTCAAAGTCCTTATTTCTTTATTATGAAAAATGAGTAAGTATTGCTCCTTGTCAAAGGCTCCGAATGCAAAGAGTCGGGTGTGATTAATGATGCCTCTATAATTACTTTGCAAAGAAAGGGACTCAGAAATAAGAAGAGATCTCATGCAATGGCTAACTTTTATATTGAAAGGCATGTAGTTTATTAAGATTTTTTATAAGCCTGTGTGTTATAAATCTAATATATTATGCACCATTGTTCATACGCACATTGCTTATTAAACAAAAAAATAAATTGTTCTTACTAGACGAGGAGAGAGAGACAGAAACACACGATTTGCCTCTCCTTGTAAAAGGTTTATTTTGAAATGGGATGGTGATCAGGGTCTAAAAACGCTTAGTAGGAGGGGCTGTGCATGATCACGGAGAATTTTTCTCTCTATAATTGTCAAACTGCTCCAAAACAGTTTCACAAAAGAATGTGGGATGGCGCTCACAGTCCCTCTTTGCATCATGCACCTTTCCACACACAAATTAGACTGAGTTATTAATAAGACACTATAGTCACCAGAACAACTGCACCTTATTGTATTTGTTCTGGTGAGTATAATCATTCGCTTTAGGCTTTTTGCTGTAAACACTGTTTCAGAGAAAATGCAGTGTTTACATTACAGCCTAGGGATACCTCCACTGGCCACTCCGCTGATGGCTGCTAGAGGTGCTTCCTGGGGCAGTGCTGCACAGTGTGACTGACATTCAGTGTCTCCACCCTCTGCATGCAGACACTGAACTTTCCTCATAGAGATAAATTGATTCAATGCATCTCTATGAGGAGATGCTGATTGGCCAGGGCTGTGTTTGGCTTCTGCTGGCTCTGCCCCTTATCTGCCTCCTTGATGGTTTTAGCCAACCCTGTGGGGAAGCATTGTGATTGGCTCAGATCACCACTTCTGCTGATTTTATATCTTACTATATTTAGGGTGGCAAGAGGGGGCCAGATGGTGGTTTTAACAGAAATATAGGTTTGTGTTCCTGACCCTATTGTGCCCCTTTAACACACTTTAAAACTGCAATGGTCCCCTACAACTGCATTTGCACTTTATTGCTATAGTTTGGGCTAGACATGGGCAAAAATTTATTTTAAGCTACAAGTTAGGATCAAATTCTTGGCAATCAAACAAATAAAACCAGACAATTCAGTTCGTTCACAAACTAACTGAATTTCCGATATCGATTTGTAAAACGAATTTTATTCTGACAAAACACTTAAAACACATTTTTGCACAGGTCTAGTTTGGAGCCATTAGTGTTTATATTTGTCTTGATCATGTATTCCCTTCATTACGTCATTCAGCTGCTAGCTCGGTTGTTCATTTCTTTGCAGGTGACCTATTACTGTTTATCAGTGGCTGCATTTAAAGAGCAGATGTACCCAATTCTAATGTCCAAATGTACAGCTTTGTGTGTGCACCTCTTCACACATACTGTAAACAAAAAACCACCACAAAAAACCTCCAGATGGCATTAAACTGAGAAACAGGGATATATGACACTCAGGAGGGTTGCTAGATAATTAACCAAAACACCTAAATTAACCACCCCTAGGATTGATTTACGGATCCAAGTGGCACAAGTGAAATAGTCAACTATTGACACTACAGAGCTTTATTAAAAAGAATAATGTATTCACGTTAACTTAGCTTGGAAACTTAACCATATAGGTTATTATAAATATAGACACTCTTCACTTACCGACTGGGTTCCTTTCCTACGAACCGGTCGTAGAATGAATTAGTCGGTAAGAGAGGAATTAAGGGATTCCCTGCTCTGGTGCGCTTATCTATGTTCGGGGACATTTCCCCGAACATAGACGAACGCACCAGGGCAGGGAATCCCCATGACGGCCCGCACTTGCGCCTGGTCGTAAGTGCGAGCAGTCATAAAACAGGTAGGTCGCTAAATGAGGACCACCTGTATGATCCAATATATATATTAGAATAGAATTATTAGATTATAAAATTATAGGAAACTCAATTTCAGGAGGCCCCCACAGACCACCAGGTTTTCAGGTAGTGAAATCATTAGTTACTGGGTATATTGATCTTGGTGTGTCACAGTGTAACCCAAGGCAGGTATAAAAGCGTTATAGAATGCAGTCCAGCATTTATAGCATATTGACCAGATTTTATGGTCTAGGTTAGCAGTCGCCAACTCACCATTTTGAATCCCGCGGACCACCAACAGGAATGTTTATTTAAAAAGGTTCAAACATCTACAGAATAATGAACATAAAAGTTCCATTTTATTGATATGAAATGTACTTGTTTAATTATAATAAAATTATTAGTGTTTTATTTGTTGCTGCTTGTTTGAAATAAGTTTATGTATTCTTGGCAACAAGGAGGGTGGTTTCCCTGGGGTCTAGCGTGCTGGCTGGGGTGGATGGGAGTTGGGCTCTGGCACTCCCACCTCCTTCTCACTATGTCCTGTCTCCCGCGCTACTCCAGTTATCGGGGAGGTAGTGACTTGCGACTAACTTCCTCCCATGCTGGTGATGTAAAAGGGGGTTGCGTTATTAAGGGGCCTCAACCACCTCAACCAGGCCCCTGCTGACACATGCCCATTAGGTCACCCTAAGTGCATAGGCCACCCTTGTGTGCGGGTCTGTAGCCCACAACAAATATTTTTTTGAGGTCAGTGATCCTAAAATAATTTGTTGCGGGCAGAAGGCAAAAATTGCAAATAATATCCAAATGTTTCCACCAACCAGCAAAATCTTCTTGCGGACTATCAGTGGTCCACAGACCATCTGTTTCCAATCGCTGGTCTAGATGATGAATGAGCAAGACTCCTCTGAGTGAATGGAAAGCCTTGTTAGTGTCTACAGACTTGCGTGAGCTTTTTAGTCACACTAATTATGACTTGGAAGCGGTGAAGAAATCTATGGAAGCAAACATGGCTTGTTGAACTTAACGGGTTACTCCAAGCATCATAAACACTACAGTCTGCTGTACCCTGGCCTGATTCCCCAGTAATAGACAAAACCGTTTAACAACGGTTTTCCCCAATCACCTAGATCACTGCAGGGCTCCGATGCTCTCTGGCAGTCGGGTGATGCGCAGAAGTGACGGCTGTCACAATTCATTGGCTTAGAGCGTTTCTCATCCAAGAGCTGACATTCTGTGCAACGATCAAAGGACGCATATCCACACTAAACAAACAACAGAGGAACATATCCAGGCGATAACAAATCCTAAAAATCCAAGACTGGATGAGGACATCAAAATTACTCATCCCCTATACAGGTCTAATTTAACCAATAACACACTGATCTTAGTGATGTACCCCAGTAGTTATAATTTACACAAATGCAGGGCCCCACTGATTTCTCTGTCCCCTGTTTAGATCTCTACAGAGCTTTAGGAGGTGTCAGCTTGTTAGGTCTTTGAAGAAAAAAATAAATCAGGACCATCTTTGTATACTAGTGATTAACACTAAAGCAAGATTTTTTCACAAATGTTTTAAATTAGTATTTTAAGTAAAGTTTGGATGAATTCATCACGCTACAAACTGGATTAAAAATGAAAAAGCCCATTTGAAGAGTTGCATCATGGATCTATTGGAGAAGCACACTTTATTTTAGGTTTTCTTTCTGCGCTGTGAATCAGAAGTGAAAGGTTGGAAACTTTGCAGTGCAGACAAGATATTACGCCAAGATCCAATTTGTATAAAACACCCTGATCGAGACTGAGAGTGTCTCCAGGTGCAGTGCAAACAGGACTTAATGAAAACACATTTGTTTAAACATTGTTGAAAGGGACATGTTTTCCAAACATCCTGAATGCATGAAACCCAGGGCCCAACATGTTTTTACCACCGTACGTAATGCCTGTCATTAGAATATCCGTAATTGGTCCCTACAGAGACATCGTTATAAGCGTTCCCCTTTATCATCCATACTGAAAAATGGAAACAGAACTGCAGGAGACCATCACTTCCTATGCTCGAGAGGCGACAGCAAAATGAAGGACGAACAACAGTCTAATGACTTCAGACATCACAGCAACACCTCTATCCTTCAGTTGCATATGAAAGGAATAATATCCTCACCTCGGATTAGTCTAACATGTCTCTATAACTTAAATCAACAGATTACAAAAAATGCCAAAACACTAAAGATATTTTAAGATTGTGTTACTCCTTAAAAGGTAAACTCTAGTTACCAAAACTTCATCTCTGTGAAGTGGTCTGGGTGCAGCAGGCATGCCATTTTAACCCTGCAATGTACAACATTATAGTTTTTGTAGATACTGTGATGTTCACATTGCGGAGTTAAAATCAGGTCCAGCGCCCGTCTTCCTGACAGCCACCAGTAAGCACGCAAATGTCTTTAAAAAAGGAGCCGGAGACTGCAGAAGTGTAGTCCCGGCGTTGGAAACTAGTTCCAAAATGAGGATGGTTATTTTCTGGACTGTAGGTTCCTTTAACGGACGCACTCATTCGCTATGTAAAGGGAACTCAAATGGTACATATCCAGATGTTTTAACACTATAACTTACATGATCATGTATAACATACGTGATGGCAGGGCATTCTAAAGGTTGGCAAAGCATCTTGGGTGGTGTTGTTCTAAAATATTAGGGGGTTCCAACTTACGGGCAGCCCTGCACTATGCTATAATATAATCATAATAATAAAAAGTAATTTTGGAATATTTCCTAAAGCTCAGACAGGACAGTTTCCCTTTACATTCGTTTAAAAACTTGTTTAAGGCAGGTTTCAAAACACCACAAAAATCAATTCCCGAGCACTTTTCAATTACTGCTGCAAGTTTCACTCATAAAACAAGACCACTTTTCCTCAGATTGTGACACATCATCTTGTAATTGCTTCAAAACTGAAAACCTGCGAGAGCGAGAAGAATCCATGCATCAGAAAGATCCCCAAAGGAGGCTGGGGTGGGAGGGAGAGTTGTCTCATTTTTTGATTTAACAGTTATATACAGGTGAGAAGGAACGCACAATGTATATTCAATAAAACAAATATATTTTCTCATTCTCTCAGTTAGTATAGTTTATACAATAACAGATAAACCATTCTAAATTCTTTACAGTTAATGTAAAACTACTATATAAACTTAGTATAAGTGAAATTGTTAATGATCTGTATAAACCGGTCAGTGATCTATAAGCTAGCGTTTGGGATAGTTTAACGTTTGGCCGCTCAGTATGGTTAGCGAGATGGCCTGTTTTTTCGCCCACTGTTTATGAAGTTTTCCAGAGCACCATCCTTAAACTGATAAACACAACCTATAACACCCAAGAATGAATCAAATTGAAATGAGGGTTAATAGAAATGAGTTAAATTTAATGTTAGTATCACCCTTCACAGGACCTTTACCACCAGCCTGCTCAGTCCTCTGGAACTGCACCCTCAGACCCGTTCCAAGAGCGGTTACATTCTCTGCATACCTAGGGATATTTGCTACTTTCCTTAGTTTCCAACCCACAGAGTCTTGTCCAATTATTAGTCCATTGGCTTTTTACCTTCAGCCTAAGGTCTCCTACAGTCACCTTGGCTGCTCCCTCTCCCTTCCTTTAAACTAATAATAGGGATGACGATGCAATGCATGAATTTATAAAACATCGAAGGTAGAGTGAGTACTAGCAAAATAGTAAGAAATCACCTTACCTCACAGCGCTGCTGTCTGCTGACGGGCGCATAGCAAAAGATTCATAGACTGTGCCAGGAGGAGCTGGGCACCATGCCGAAAGATCTACAATGCCAGTCCTGGTCAATAGCGATGGCACACCGGGCACTTATTTTCTGTGTAAACTTTGCGATAGACAATCCAAGACCTGTGTGAGGGAAACAGAATATTTTATAAAAATGAATTTATTTGTTAACAGAGAGTAAACACGATGGTCTAAACAGGTACAATAAAGGGCTGCTGTCATTTAGGATACTCAGACACTGAAAATACTGGGAGATGAAGCCGGATAATTGAAATGAAAGAAAGCAATGTAATTGGCAGTAAAAAAACTAAGAAAAACTAAAGGAAAACTGAACAAGACAATTCCAAAATATAGTTTTTTTTTTTTTTTTTTTTTAAGAGCTTTTCACATTAAAACAAGCAAAAACAATAAATTATATATAAAGGCATTAAAGGACCACTCTAGGCACCCAGACCACTTCAGCTTAATGAAGTGGTCTGGGTGCCAGGTCCAGCTAGGGTTAACCCATTTTTTTATAAACACAGCAGGTTCACAGAAACTGCTATGTTTATGAATGGGTTAAGCCTTCCCCCTAATCCTCTAGCGGCTGTCTCATTGACAGCCGTTAGAGGCGCTTGCGTAATTCTCACTGTGAAAATTACAGTGAGAGCACGCAAGCGTCCATAGGAAAGCATTGATAAAGCTTTCCTATGCGACCGGCTAAATGCGCGTGCAGCTCTTGCTGCGCGTGCGCATTCAGCCGACGGGGAGGAGAGGAGGAGGAGAGCTCCCCGCCCGGTGCTGGAGAAAGGTAAGTTTTAACCCCTTTCCCCCTTCCAGAGCCAGGCGTGAGGGGGTCCCTGAGGGTGGGGGCACTATAGTGGTCCTTTAATAAATACTCAAACAAGCTATTCTTTTGCAGTTACACACCGGGCTGATCCCACCCAGATGGACAGTGTAGAACCTAAATGACAGGTAGGTCCCCTTAATGTCCAGGAGTCCTGGACAATAGTTTTGACTTTCTTTGAGGCCCGTCACGGAGGTCACCTAAAGGTCCATTTCTGACAAACATCCAGTTAGGAGAACGGTTTAACTTTGCTACTCGATAATAAATCATCAATAGGGATAGTCTAATCATAATAGTTATATTGCCTAGAATCTCTAGAAGCTTTCCTACGGTATTATATCTAGCGGTTTATAATAGGTTTGCCAATACCTAGAGCTGTTCACTACACACGGAGACTGAAGCCTTCACATTCACATAGCTAATATGGAATCTATACTTCCTCATTATCATCAATATCTTCCTTCCTGGATTGCTTTCTCTGACACAGACCATCAGTGTTGTCAAAGTAGAATGATGGAGATTGATAATAGGTTTGTAAATTCTTCTGCATTATCAATGTGGCAGGAGGGCACCTTGAATAATATAATCCTACCCAAACACAGTGCATCTAACCTTTAATAAATACACCATCCAGTATAACTAACTGTATTCTACCCTAAACAGTGCATCCAACGTGTGTGGGAGCCTGGAGTGTCCCTTTAATAATATAAACCCAGGCAGTATAACTAACTGTAACCTAACCTACACAGTGCACCTAACGTGTGTGGGAGCCTGGAGTGTCCCTTTAATAATATAAACCCACCCAGTATAACTAACTGTATTCTACCCTAAACAGTGCATCCAACGTGTGTGGGAGCCTGGAGTGCCCATTTAATAATATAAACCCACCCACTATAACTAACTGTAACCTAACCTACACAGTGCATCTAACGTGTGTGGGAGCCTGGAGTGTCCCTTTAATAATATAAACCCACCCAATATAACTAACTGTAACCTAACCTACACAGTGCATCTAACGTGTGTGGAAGCCTGGAGTGTCCCTTTAATAATATAAACCCAGGCAGTATAACTAACTGTAACCTAGCCTACACAGTGCATCTAATGTGTGTGGGAGCCTGGAGTGTCCCTTTAATAATATAAACCCACCCAGTATAACTAACTGTAACCTAGCCTACACAGTGCATCTAACGTGTGTGGGAGCATGGAGTGTCCCTTTAATAATATAAACCCACCCAGTATAACTAACTGTAACCTAACCTACACACTGCACCTAACGTGTGTGGGAGCCTGGAGTGTCCCATTAATATAAACCCACCCAGTATAACTAACTGTAACCTAACCTACACACTGCATCTAACAAGTGTGGGAGCCTGGAGTGTCCCTTTAATAAATACACCCACTCAGTATAACTAACTGTATCCTAGCCTACACAGTGCATCTAATGTGTGTGGGAGCTTGGAGTGTCCCTTTAATAATATAAACCCACCCAGTATAACTAACTGTAACCTAACCTATACAGTGCACCTAACGTGTGGGAGCCTGGAGTGTCCCTTTAATAATATAAACCCACCCAGTATAACTAATTGTGACATAACCTACACAGTGCATCCAATGTGTGTGGGAGCCTGGAGTGTCCCATTAATAATATAAACCCACCCAGTATAACTAATTGTGACATAACTTACACAGTGCACCTAACGTGTGTGGGAGCCTGGAGTATCCCTTTAATAATATAAACCCACCCAAAATAACTAATTGTAACCTAACCTACACATAATGCAAAATGTAGGTTACATTATGCAGGGCCTGGGATTTGTGAGCCTGAGGGAGGCAGCCAGTCAGATCACGGAGAACTGAGGCAGGTAGGGCTCACAAACGGAGGGGGTGGCCGGCTCATTTATTGCTGAATGAGGGAGGAAGGTCAGCCCACGGGGAGTGGAGGAAGGCGGGCGGCCGGGTAATGGAGAGCAGAAGGAGGCGAGCAGCTGACTGAGTGCGGAGGCGACGAGGGAGGGAGCTGTAATCTTCCTGCTATGCTCCTCTGCGGGACCAGCATAGGCGCGCGCAGCCTGTTGCATTAGGGTGTGCACCCTAAAGCACAAACACACATGCCGCGTGTATATGCATTTTTATACACACACACATACATACATACATACATACATACATATATCACAAATAATGGCACTCACCCTTCCTGATGTAATGAATAGTAAAGTGCCCTGGTGCAATCTTATGCTGATAAATAATAATATTGAAGAAAGATGCACTCTCCGGTGTTTTTAAGAATATTAAAGGACCACTCTAGGCACCCAGACCACTTCAGCTTAACAAAGGTTTACAGGTTGTTTGATCAGGGGGGCAGTGGCGGGGGGGTAGAGGGGCAGTGAAGGGGCGAGGGGCAGTGAGTGACAGGTAGAGGGGGTTTATAAATACCTGCCCTGGTGGTCCAGTGGGCGCCGAGGGGCAGTGGCAGGGCGGTAGAGGGGCAGTGGCGGGGGGAAGAGGGGCAGTGAGTGACAGAGGGTAGAAGGGGGGTGAAGGGGCAGTGAGTGACAGGGGGTAGAAGGGGGGTGAAGGGGCAGTGAGTGACAGCGGGTAGAGGGGGGTTTATAAATACCTGCCCTGATGGTCCAGTGGGCGCCCTCTCTCTTCAGTCTGCAGCTCCGCCAGGAGTGAGCTGCAGACCACATGGTGAGTCTCGCGATCTCCAGGCAGAGCGTTGCTGCGGCAATGGTCTGACGTGCTAGAGATTGCGAGACACCTCAGTCTGCAGCTCACTCCCGGCGGAGCTCCAGACTGAGGCTGGATCTCCGTCAGAGCAGACTGACAGGAGGGGCCTCGCACCCGGCGGCATTGTGGGCAAGCCGCCGGGCCCCCTCCTGTGTCGGGTCAAGGACCCGACATGTCAGTCTGCCCTAAGGCAGTGCAGCACGGAGGTGTGATTGGGGTGTGCCCAGGCACACCCAGCACACCCCGTGCGCACGCCTATGGCGCCCAGCAGTGATGCCAGGTTGTGACGTCACTCTGGCCCCTGTCTCACTAAACAGTGCACGAAAGGGAACTGTGCAGGGAGATGACAGCAGTCCCACTGGACCCCAGGGAAAGCCTGTCCATTCCAGCTCTCCAAAGGTAGGCTGGGTGGATTTAAATAAAAAAGTAATCGCTTGTGAGTGAGTCTGTCTGAGTGTGCGTCTGTGAGTATGTGTGTTCCCTCCGAACACATGGGAAAAGTGTTTTTGCGCACCTTTTTTCCCACGCCATGCTGGTGATGCCACATCTGGACCTACCTCCATGGCTGAGATCATCAATCTTGACGATCTAAGTCAATCCAATGCTTCCCCATAGGAAAGCATTAGGAGACTATTGCACATGCACAGCAAAATGCCACTGCGCCAATTCAACTTCTCATAGAGATATAGGGAACATTAACGTAGGTGCAGCACATTGTGAAGCCCTGATCCAGAAAGCACCTCTACAGGCCGTCTGAGTGACTGTTGCTAGAGGTGTCACCAGGCAGCAATGTAAATACTGCCTTTTGTCTGAAAACTGACTAAAGTGTCCCTTTAAGAATTGTATTCTTGGTGTTTATTTCTCTGGCTCCTAACTTTTCTAGCTGGCTCCTAGATTGCAAGAAAATTTGTTATTTGGGCAATGTCTTATCTCCAGTTTTTGTATATAAATATTTATTAGCAACAGTTAGTTATACTCCACATTTTTAGACACATTCGTTCTATCCTATTGCTGTACTATAAACTCCACAGTGCAAAATGAATGATTTATTGTAAACAATATTTTATTAAAAGAAAAAAAAAAAATATACAGAATGGCAAAATTAAGTGACAGAAACAGCATATTATATAGATCTATTTATCCAATAACAATACATTGGGCAGCTATCAAACATTAAGGTCACCTGACAAACTGTGAAATGATCACATGTGTATGGTAAACCTCTGAATTTCTAATGATGTGTTATTATGGAGAGGACAAATATTGATGTAGTTCCAGGAGAGGATATCACAAATATACCTTTCCCACCATTCTACCACCATCTCGGACTACAAATCCCACTTTCATCTATGTGCCCTTCCATGCTCCAACCCACGGCATCTCTTCCTTCTAAGAGTTTGCACTATGTTTTCGTAGGTGTGTTTCCATAAAAGACAGAGAAACATAGAAACATAGAATGTGACGGCAGATAAGAACCATTCGGCCCATCTAGTCTGCCCAATTTTCTAAATACTTTCTGGAAAATTCCCTCTCTTTGTGCTGTGGTGGTTATGGTGGTAATAAACTACTCAGAGGGACCAAAGGTGGCAGATCAGCTGTAAGAAGACAGACACTGTTAATTTGTTAAGGATACAATGTTCCAAATTAAGGATTTACATAAATCAGTACTTTATTGTCCTCCTGGTGGTGGAACCTGGCGTTCTAATTCTAATATGATTGTCATGACATGCAGTCTCAAATTGCCGGATACAAACAAACAATCTCTCTAGAAAAGGAACCGCTTTCATGCAAAGCAAGAACTGGGTTTAAGCAAAATTCTGGTTTGCCATCTTATCTCCCCGAGGTATGGGGAGGAAATAAAGCTATCAGAAAACAGATAAGTGGCAGTAACAGAATGGAAAGAACTACACCTTTAACATCTCCGAGACAGCGAATAATTCAGAAATGGAAAAGCAACAATCTGTCAGCTTTCATTATGAGCAATGCAGCACAAGGAGCTATCTGAACAAAGACATTTGCTCAGATATTGGAGAGAACAAAACCCTGTGTTTAATGTAATCAAAGGCCCTGCTGCAGCCGTCCGGGAACAGCATGAGTCAATAATACAACTGACACAATGAAAGGAAGAAACATTCACATCCTAATATTAGGAGAACTTAAAAAAAGGAATCAGCTGTCAGATGGGAGTCTTCAAGATGGACGTTCCTAAATGCACCTGCCCGTATTTCAATATTACACACAGGTCTGTCAGATAAATCCACAAGTTAGATACATACAGAACGTCTCTTGTTTTGCCCACCAGGGATAGAGGACTACAATTAGGGCTCCGTAGCTGTGTGTCTAGGGCCACGAGAGAAAACAAATCACATCCGCTTCCAATCTCAAGAAAACGTACACAAAACCTAATTTAACAGAAAACCAGGGAATTTCAGACATATTAAATACCAAAATAAACCCATATCAAATTCCATCATTAACCTGCACAAACAAAATTAGTAAATGCACAGATTCAAAAAAATAAAATAAAATATCCCTTGATAAGTCAATCAATGCTTGACATAAAGGGCTAGTACAGGGCTTAACACATTTGTTTGGAATTTAGGAGCCAGTTAAAAAAGTTAGGAGCCAGTCTCTTTTTTTTTTTTAAACTAAAAGTTTAGGAATTGCATTTTTCTCGTTCAAAATTATAGTCACTAGAATCACTGCAGCTTAATGTAGTTATTCTGGTGTCTATGGCATATAGCTGCCGACTTTTCAATGTAAACACTGCCTTTTCAGAGAAAGGGCAGTGTTTACATTGGGGCCTTGGGACACCTATAGTGGCTGTCACTCAGACGGCCACTGGAGGCGTTTCCTAGACGCTGGCACTAAATGTTCCCCATAGAGGTGCATTGATTCAATGTAGCTCTATGAGGAGATGCTGATTGTGCAGCGCATTTTGCTGCACATACACAATAACGTCCCAAAGCTTTCCTTTGGGAAAGCATTAACTTAGCGGAGATCATAAAGACTGATTATCTCAGCCATGGAGGCGGGACAAGCCATGGTGAAACCGGCAAGGCATGGTAAAAGGGGAGTAAAAAACTCCTTTCCCATGCGATCAGAGGAACACACTGTCAGACACACACACACACACACTTTTTTCATAAACTCACTAAACCTGACGCCTGGGATTTGTCGAGCCCTGGGCTAGGATACTGTTTCTTGTCTAACACTACAATGTTAGGTTGGTTGGCCGCTACTTGTTTGTCTGTCTGGATCTGAAAGTCCCACATGATCTTAGCTCTGTCATTCTCAGCCAACTTTGTGGAGTGCCCCATTTGGGAGGTTCAGCCCATTTTCTGTGCAGATATTTCTGAACACATTCCCGACAACTTGATTGTGCCTCTCAGTGTATGCTGTCCGTGCCAACATCTTGCTCCCGGACACTGTGCTGGATTGTCTCAAAGGCCTCTTTGCAAAGTCTGCACCTTGGGTCTTGCCTTGTGTGATAGACGCCCGCTTCTATAAGTCTGGTGGCTACATGAAACATGTGGGAACTTCATCTACCCTACCACTAAAACAACTTACAGAAGTTTTAAAACATTATCAAGAGGAAGCTAGTGTTACACACACACATCTATTATTAACCTCTGCTAACAATAAAAAATACAAAATTGTATACTTATTAACCATCTGAGTGCCAGAGCATTGCTTTGCAATGTTTGCGTATATATCCAACACTCAATGGATTACGCGTTTTGCTGCTCCTGAACCTTTTGACAAACATGGAGCTCTCAGACAATTTCCCGCATGCCATGCAGGCAGGGGGGTGGATTTACACTAATTTAGATAAAAGGGAGAAATTAAACATCCATAATTTCAGTGAACTCATTTATAAATGGCCGGTTATTTCCACACATCATGAACAGCGATTTGTGTAGCATTCTGTCCCCAGGAAAACAGGTCGTTCGTTGGATTTATAAACCCAGATTGTTTGTTCCTGTCACTTGTTGAAGTATGGTTCCAGGAAAGGACGGCAGCTCCGTATTTAGGAGAAGCAATGAATCTGCACTGAGCATCACAAGATCATTGCCCTTACCAGCGTGCGTTAGTGTCAGGACGGACAACAAAAGTGGATCACGGCTCTCAGAACACCCAGCAAGCCAATCAGCACACTATAAATGGCGTCTGCTGTGAAAGATGGTGTGGTGTGCAGAATGTCAGATGGCATTTTTACTAAGAAAACATGGGGAAAAAAATAAAATAACAAAACTGATGAACTCTGTGGCCTTAACATTTTTACAAAGGTTTTGCTCGGACAGTGAGTGTCAGTCATATAAACTTGCAGGTTAGGTTTGCTTTAATGGCCAACCCTGACATCTGGAAGTCTTCATTGCCAAATTTGTAGGATCTCAAATGCACGTTGTTTCTTTTTAATACATTATATAGTTTACAAAAAAAAATTACTGAAAACTCATAAAAATATGGAAATTGCTGCGGAGTGCTGAATATATAAAACCATAAACATCTGCCGGCTAGGTATTTATGGGATAAGTTCAGCAGAGTCACTGAAAGTACAGGAGTTTGTTGATTTTATGAAACGTTTCAGCAACTTCCAGTACAGAGAGATGGAATCTATCTGGAAAATGCAGTCTGGACATTAGATTCAGAGCCTTAATCCTGAAACATTCCCGTTTGTATAATTACAACACCTGGTTGATTTCGGCACAGAGGTTAGTCACCAAATTCCTACTATATTTTAGTGAATACAGCCCTGAAAGATGCATTTTTGATAACCATACGGATGAGCATCATGGAGTGGTATTTAACAAGCATCTGAAGAGCCAACACTTGCTTATCAAGGTGGGTTATCCTGATCTGGCCAACTTTATGTAGAATTTCAGGAACAAAGACAAATTAGGAGCAATTACATCCATAGAGATCAGTGTAAATAGCAAACAAATTCAGCAGCAAATCTAGGATAATCCCCAGAGTGTTAACAGTCTAACACACTGTGAGCATCTTCCTGGCACATCTTGCTGAGGACTGGCTTAATTTGGCCAGTAATAATCGGTGTGAAATATAAAATGTGCAGCAGGTTATCAGTGTCGCTGCTACTTTGAGAGATAGATGTTAATTCAGCAGACAGATATACATATGAAAGATTACATTTTCTAAAGAACTGACCCTTACATCAGAGGGAGATAATGTCCTCGTTATACTACATAAGTGCATGACAAATCAATAATAAATTAACACTTATTAGGCCTCGTAAGGTTAACGGTGTTAAAAAAATGAATAAATTTGTGTCTATTCATACACATTTTTTATGAAATGCAATTAGCATGATTTTGGGGACTATTCCTGTTATACAGCGGACACAAACTGCTGCAATTGAGACTAAATTATTGCATGAGGCTCTTTTGTCTGTAGAGAAGACGTCTTTAATGGACAATCTAAGCAGGAGATTTACTTGGAACCCTGTCCTCCTCTCAGCCACAAAAATAATGAGAAACTGCACTAAAATATCTGACCCAGTATTGGTGTGCAGTGGGGTACACTGCCATAACCACTGGGCTTTAGCAGATTTCTGTTATTCCTAATAGCAGTACCTTTATGCACAGTTGAATCATGGCTTTTATTCAATAGTGATTTGGAACTCAGAAGTGCTAGAGTGAGTCAAAGTCAAATACTGCAACAGTCCAGCTCTCTCATCCCATCACTGCAATGCTGCAACAGTAGGTGCCGAAATCCTATCACTGAACAGCATGCAAGACATGACGGTGTCATCCAAATATTTGAACATAAAATAAGGAACTGAAATTGTTCATTATCAAAACAACAGCCGGGGGGGAGGAGTTAGTGTGCAAAATAATTCCCTGTTTTTGTCAAACCACTTTAAAAAGGTTTGATATGGTCTGATAACGAATCTCACCCATAACTTAAATAACCACCCAATGCTACATATGGTTACTCCTAAACAGAGGCTATTGATAGGCTGAGAGATTCACCAATGGCAAACTTTCCTGATCAATGCAATAAGATGGTTATTCCAAAGGACTCCAGCCAAAATAAACTAATCATATGAAATAATGGGTTCTGGAGTAAATCCAAAACAGAAAAGCTTAACATCTACTTCCTAAAAAAAATTTAAAAACCAAAACATTGTCCGAATGCCCAAAATGGTCCTTCAAAAAACATGAGATGTGCCTCTTTGAGGGCTGTTAAATTAGTAATAAAGTGCAGTACACCTGCTGGCAATAATAATCTCTGAAAGAAAATGTAAAGGTAGGGAACGAAACAAGTTGACCTGCTACTGGTCTAGTTTCTAATTCTAGTTGGCCCCTTTTTTAGGAGCTCAGTGGGGGCGGGGCCTGACTGTAATGGCCACTGGATGTGTTTTCAGAGATCTCAGTGTGCATCTAACAATTTGCTCCAGTTGCCTGTATCTTTGACTCTGTTTTTGGACATGGCTGTGAAACCTGTGTACTCCACATAGACTGATTGGCTCGGGGTGCTCCCAGCTGTACTTAGCAGCTGTCCAGAGTTCTCTGCTGATCTCCAGGAGGCCTGTCGGGAGCTGTGGAAGGGAAAGGTGACCGTTCTAACCCAGCTCTATTGCTGATCCTCAGTGACATCAAGATGGCGCCAAGCCCCCTGCCCCTTTGGACTGCTAAAGGTGATCCCAGGCCTTACCTTGGCGGCTCCCTCACTCCACCAGGGATGTGTGTTATCACCCCAAGCAACAACAGCATACCAAACCTGCACCCTGCTCACTTACCATGGAGCAGTGTCCAGGCTGGACAAATTCTTCGATGACTTCTGGAGGAAGTGGCCTCCAAAGCCTGCACCACAAATCTCACAGAATTACTCACCTGAGAGTTCTTCCCGATTGCTTGAGGTGTGCCTGACTTAAAGGAGGACGCACCGGCGCTATCGAGGAGAGAGGGGCATGGATGGATACATTGTAGCTTGGCACTCACAAGGAAAGCACATGGATTCCTAGCAAAACATGGATGGCAGACCCAGCTACAAGGTGGGCCCGTTTTCAGAGGAAACCGAGTTTGTCTTACCTGCGCTTGGCTTCTTTCACCCGATGCCAACACTGGCAGAGCGGGACTACGACCTACACCAGGAGGGTGTGGGCTGGACCAGGACTGAGCGTTGCGCAGCCATAATCTCAATCTGCTTTCTCTAAGAACCAGTACAAGACATTGGTTAAGTTTTCTCTTTTGTTTTTTAGCCTTTTATGATACCGGTCAGACTATGTCGTTAAGCGGGGACACCTTTGTATCTTTAATTGTTGGGTAGTTCCCTATTCTACATTAGCTCCTTGTGGGAGAGCCTCCGCAGTGGGTAACTATTAATCTGTCATGCTTTCCAGATGCTAAGCCTGCATTTTTCCTTTAAGGACCACTATGGGCACCCAGACCACTTCAGCTCAATGAAGTGGTCTGGGTGCCAGGTGCCCCTAGTTTTAACCCTGCAGCTGTAAACATAGCAGTTTCAGAGAAACTGCTATGTTTACATTGCAGGGTTAATCCAGCCTCTAGTGGCTGTCTCGTGACAGCCACTAGAGGCCGCTTCCGCAATTTACACGGAATAAATCCCATTTATCTGTCCTCACGGAGTCCAGCGTCAAATAGAATCCCCATAGGAAAGCATTGAGTAATACTTTCCTATAAGCAGGTTTTAATGCGTGCACGCGCATCTGGCCACACATGCGCATTCAGCTCCATTCAGGAGCTGAGGTCGGCAGGGGAGAAGAGGTCACCAGTGCCGAGGGAGCCAGGCACTGGATTAAGGTAAGTGGCTGAAGGGTTTTTAACCCCTTCAGCAACGAAGGGAGGGGGGGCCCCGAGGAAGGGGGGCACTCCAAGAGCCTATAGTGCCAGGAAAACGGGTTTGTTTTCCTGCTACTATAGGATCCCTTTAACAGTGGCCCAGCATGTAATCACCATGTCTATCATTCATGCCTTTCTTTAGTTATACTCTTTGACATGGTTTACTTATCACGTGTGCAGTTTGTGTTTTTATAAAAAGTGCAGTCTACTCGACATATCTTGATAACTTCTGTAATGTTTCCTTACTACCTGTAATTATGATTGATTAGATTTCTTTCTTATGTGTTGTGTATTAATATTATTTTATATTGTACCCTATAGTAACGATGCAGTGTTAGTGGGCCCAGGACATACTTGAAAACGAGGGAAATTTCCATGTACAGACACCGGGTATAATCTGTGGGGTTTGCAGAGTTCCCTCCTTCGTTATTATACTTGTCCTCCGTTATTGAACAGGGTTATGATTTTGCACCGACTTGAGCAACTGCTTTCTACCACTGCACATTAATATGTTTTTTTTTTTAACATTTCTATGGTTGCTACATTCTATTGGATATTAAAGTTGTGGTGCACTTATCGCAGGTTTTTAAATGTACAACGTATGACCATTTAAAAAAAATTATATTTAAGGGGTTAATCCAAGCACCACAACCACTTCAGTGATTTAACATGGTCATGGGGCGTGGAATATGTAAGTACAGCATTTCACTATGAAACATGGATGCCAGAGGTGCAAGAGTTCTGTGCATGTTTAGCGTCTTTCGTTCACACAGCCCCCTTACATGCCACCCATGTCCTATCAGCCTGCCCTTCCTGACTTCTGTACCCCTTAACCCCTTAAGGACCAACGCTCTGGAATAAAAGGGAATCATGACATGTCACACATGTCGTGTCCTTAAGGGGTTAAATAAGGGAAGATGGTTGTACAGGTTCCCGGATTTATTCTCTACCAGCTCTTCACCAAATCATCTTCGTTCCAAAGACCCTTCATTCCATCACACCAAATCTTACTACTACCACCAATACTCAGACTAGGTCACACTGGACAATCATAAATGGCACTTCATACCCCTAATGCCCTTTAGCTTGCTGAATAGCTCTGTGTGTGAAAAGTGTGTCCTATTTTTTTTTTCTCATCTTGCAAAAAGTGCAGATTTCTATAACAATATACACTTTTTCATATATTAACCTTGTTACACCCCCCCTGGCTGTTAGCAGACAACAGGTCCTATTTCTTCCTGGTTTGGTTAGCTCGGTGGAGATAAACTTAAGAGGCAGCAATTGCTCAGAGCACCTGCCTTGCAAAGAGTTCTCATTGATCTGCATTCAGAAGTCTGATTGGACAGCCACAGAAAGCCTGGGCGGGATTAAAAGGGAGGGGCTTGCAAAGGCTACAGACAAGACAACTGCATGTTTTTTTTAGATATACCCACTATTAAAAAATGCATGCAAGTTTTCAATTGGGGTCTATCTACTAAACAGTGAGTTATATTTTGTATTTGGGCAGTGGAGTGTCCCTTTAATGTGTACCTGTCACAGTAAACAAGATATGCTCCATTTCATGTGTACAATTTAATAATAAATACATAAATCAATAAAATAAAAAGGATGTCACTCACCTCTATCTATTCATTCTAGGCATATAGAACTATACTACTTGCCAAGATTTCATCCAGTGGAAACTTGTCTTACAGGTGGTTCTCCTGCTTTCCTTCGCAGCAACTACAGTAGTTGCTGCGATAATTCCCAGGACAAGGGTGTCTTAAATATTAAAAGAAGAATATAGTGAGCCATTCCAGCCTGACTGGTATAGGAAAATAGCTCACTATTAGATAGAATGGGATCATTTGACAGCTACAGACTCTTGAAATCACAAGCGATACGATTATCATATAATTATTGCGGTGTGATGTGTCTGGCAGGTGCCGAGGAGCATTACGAATTGTGTGAATAACTCTGAATGTGATTTACCGTCGGTCTGGCTGAGAGGGATCGGTTCTTATTCCAGCAACAAGAGAACTGGTTCTGTAAGACTGCTTTCTGCAGAATATTCTTACAATCACTACTTAGTACGTCTTTGCTGAAGTTCCAACTAAATCTTACCCAGAAGCTGGTAACACATACAAGGTCTGTGTTATTTCCGACATTGTTTCCAGGTCTGTTTGAAATTGCGTTGCTTCGATAGACTTTACAAACCGTAATGATACACCTGTTCAGCCCAGCTGGGAGCTACATGGGGTAATAATTGAAAAGGTGCAAAGAAGTGGCTGAGCACAGCAGGAGTTGTAGTCCACGACAGTCAGGAACTCAGATTTAAGCCTTGAATTGCAAAGCTATGTGTTAGTGAGAAGCTGCCATTGTTCTCTATCAGATTTTTTGGAATCCAGCTCCATTTGTTGGTAATGGAAAAAGAATGGCGTCAAAACAGCAATATTTTATTAAAGGAGCACTGTATTCCTGACGCTATAGGATTAAAACCACCATTTAGCTCCCCCTGGCCCAATCATGCCTCCCTTAATATAGAAATCCTACTTGTATTCGAGTCTGCAGCTCCTGGGTTTGTCCCTGTTTTCTTTAGATCTACCCACTGCCTGCTGACATCATCAGAAGTGGTAGCCTAATCCAATCACAATGCTTCCCCATAGGATTGGCTGAGAATGACAAAGAGGCAGATCGGGGGCAGAGCCAGCACAAGTCAAACACAGCCCTGGCCAACCAGCATCTCCTCAATGAATCCTCTTGAATCAATGAATCTCTATGAGGAAAGTTCAGTGTCTGCTTGCAGAGGGAGGAGACACTGAATGTTTGGATGCATTTTAGGCAGCCATGACCCAGGAAGGATCTCTAACAGACATCTGAGGAGTGGCCAGTGACGTTATCACTAGGGTGTAATGTAAACACTGCATTTTCTCTGAAAAGACAGTGTTTACAGCAAAAAACCTGAAGGTAATAATTCTACTCACCAGAACAAATGCAATAAGCTGTAGTTGTTCTGGTGACTATAGTGTCCCTTTAAAAATAATTACAGTACAGATATTACTGAACTGTCAAGGCAGCACAAAGTATAGCAGTCTAGGACAGATTACAATTTCAAAGCAATGTTTGGGATTAAAAAGTACCCTTCCAATGGGTTATTTGTGATAAAATAATGTATCCTTTCAATATATTTGTGATAATAAAATATATCCTTTCTTGGGACAGACAGACAATTGGTTCCTCCGATTACTAGAGTCAATATTTTGGCATATTTCCAATTATCTGTCTTGCACTTTACCGATAAATTACTCAACTCTCCCAATCACCACATGTGGTCTTCCACATGTGGAAACTCTAGCTGCCGACCAATGAGGTGCCACACTGCAACCTCATGTCACCCCTCCTTTTAAGTCCCCGCATGCAGAGGGAGGAGAGACAGTGAATAATCTACTGTAATGGACCAATCCTTTCCATGGGATATTTAAGGTTACATTGATATGTAACATTTCTGTGGAATGTTTGTGATTAGAGTGGCTTTTAAATAATTAAGAAAAAAAAAAGTCCCACTATTACTCACAATAGTCCACCCGTGACACTAGATACCAAGGCTAACATTCCAGAGCTACACAGCAGCCACATGAGATTAGAGGCAGAGCCGTCAGTAATTCAGAGGACCGAATACAGAGCGACATTTTTCAAAACCTGTTTAATCCCTTAATGACCAAACTTCTGGAATGAAAGGGAATCATGACATGTCACACATGTCATGTGTCCTTAAGGGGTTATTCCTGAAGGTAAGGTTGTGTCCAGTGATTCCAATATGAAGTTGTTAAGAGGGCTGGGGGCCCAGAGGTTTTTTTGCTCTCTCTTTATTGAATAAAGGGACACTATTGACAACAAACCAACAAGGTTAATGAAGTGGATTTGGTGTACAGACCCTGCAGTTAACCTGCTCATATCACTTTGTTTATGCAGCCCCGGCCACACCTACCTGCATGTGACCTACACACTTCCTGTAAAGAAAGATCTAGTGTTTAGACTTACTTTATTGCACAATGTGCTTAATTTAGAATTTCTTATCTCCAGCTCCAATAGCCTTCTAGACCCTGCAGGAGCCTCCTGTATGTGATTAAAGTTTAATTAAAAGAGTAAGAGACAAAACCTTCTAAAGTAGTGATTGAAAAGTAACCTTTTTTCCCCATGCAGGCTGTCAGTCACGGCCAGGGAAAGTGTGGCAAGGGCTGCATAGACAGAAACAAGAGATTTAACTCCTAAATGGTAGTTGAATTGAGCAGTGCGACGGCAGGTGCATGATCTATACACTAAAACTGCATAATTAAGCTAAACGTTATGGTGATTTGCGGAAAACTTTGAATTCATTAGGATTTTTTACGTATTATCGCACAATGAAAATAGAAAATATGCACTTTTTGAAAAAATAGAAATGATAAATACAATGTTACATTTTTGAAAGTGTGTAAATGATTCAGAAATGAAATACCGGTATGTATTGAAATTAGCAAGTGAATGATAATTTGCAATTCCAGTGCTGCGGATTGGTTCGGAGGAGTTTGGAAAAAGCAGAGCAGACAGAATTCGGAGCGCATGTGGCTTTAGTAAATATGAGAATTGCCAATGCTGTCGGAATGCAGACCACATGGAGCGATGGCTGATGATGTCACTGCTTAGACCATCATGTTCTCATGCCATCGATGGCTTGTCGGTGCTGGCAAGGATGGACTTGCAAGAACTATTCCCAGAAGGGAGTGCTTGCAAGTCAAAATGGAGTTGCGCACATTCATATATTATTAGTATTATTTTATTATTTATATAGCGCCAACAAATTCCGTAGCACTGTACAATGGGTGGACTAACAGACACATAATTGAGATCAGACCACTGGACGTACAGGAACAGAGGAGGTTGAGGGCCCTGCTCGATGAGCTTACATGCTATAGCAAGAGCATCAATCACCCCCCAGAGATGGGTCAATCTCTGGACTGGAGGAAGTGTAATTCCCAGCTCTCTACCAGACAGGACTCATAGAAGGAGCTTGAAGCTCCTCTCTAAAGCACTGTTTGTTCTGTTTCCTAAATTACTTAAGGCTGTGGGGACAGCGAACTAGCAACATAACTATTTAACTTTAACTGAAGTATTTATGGTACTTAGAAGGCCCCTTTAACAAAAACTTCACAGAATTTGTAACTCATTTACATGCTTTCCTTTAAAGGAACAATGTCCCCAGCCCTTCTCTTGGCTAGTTAACCAGCATCGACTGATATGTGTCAACAAATTCTCTGTTGAAATGTTATGAAATTTTAAAAAATAAATAAAAAATAAAAACACAACATGTACGGTGTGACTTTGTTCCTAAAGGTAGCACTGCCAATGTATGCTCAGCTATATACACATTCCCATCCAAGAGCCAATTCTGTATTTATTCTCTCAGAGAGATGTGAAATCCAAATAACGTCAGGGCAAAACGGATTCACTGGCTTATAAACAACTTCAGATAGATTCTGGCTGGGTGATATGGGAACTGTATACACGGTATATACTTGTATCTCTTTGAAGTTTCATGATGTAGTTTAGCTGTGATTATTCCCAGAGTTTTAGCAAACAGACTAGGTTTAACCCACATACACACAGAAATAAATAAGCAAAAAAGACATTTCGTTTTACGTAGAAAACAAATAAAGGAAATGTTATGATTTTACAACTGATTTTTCTTAAATTTTATACATATATACTATCATACGTAACCTCAATTAGAATGACAGGTCACATTTTGTTTTATAGGCAGACAGTACTCACCACACATAGAGGAGCCACATAGACAGCCTGCGCCCATTCCACCCTGAGTAACTCCACAGCAGACGGCCTGTGCCCATTCCACCCTGAGTAACTCCACGGCAGACGGCCTGTGCCCATTACACCCTGAGTAGCTCCACGGCAGACAGCCTGTGCCCATTCCACCCTGAGTAACTCCACGGCAGACAGCCTGTGCCCATTCCACCCTGAGTAACTCCACGGCAGACAGCCTGTGCCCCTTACACCCTGAGTAACTCCACGGCAGACAGCCTGTGCCCATTACACCCTGAGTAGCTCCACGACAGACAGCCTGTGCCCATTCCACCCTGAGTAGCTCCACGGCAGACAGCCTGTGCCCATTACACCCTGAGTTAGCTCCACAGCAGAAAGCCTGTGCCCATTACAATGAGTAAATTCATGGCAGACAGCCTGTGTCCATTACACCCTTAGTAACACCATGGCAGACAGCCTGTGCCCATTACACGCCGAGAAACTCCACGGCAGACAGCCAGTGCACATTACAATGAGCAAGTTCATGGCAGACAGCCTGTGCCCATTACAATGAGTAACTCCACGGCAGACAGCCTGTGCCCATTACAATGAGTAACTCCACGGCAGACAGCCTGTGCCCATTACAATGAGTAACTCCACGGCAGACAGCCTGTACCCATTACACCCTGAGTAACTCCACGGCAGACAGCCTATGCCCATTACACCCCGAGTAACTCCATGGCAGACTGCCTGTGCCGGTTACACACTGAATATCTTCATTGTAGACAGACTGTGCCAAATCATAGACAATCTCCATCACAGATAGACAACACCTATTACACACCCCAATTGCAGAGGACCAACACTCATTACACACAGTCTTAATTGCAGACAGCAACCAACCATTATACAGTGTCCATCACAGAGCACATTACATGGAGAATCCCCAACACAGAGACACCATAACTACAGGGAACAAGCAGTGGTTGTTTTTATTTTCTGCTCCATACTTTAAAGGAACACTACAGGGTCAAGAACACAAACATGTATTCCTGACCCTATAGCGCTAAACCCACCATTTAGGTGGCTTGCCCCAACGTTAGACCACCTATAAAAGTTTAAAACTCACCTTATTTTCAGCGCTGGCTGATTTGTGACATCATCTAAATAGGCCAATTTTTTGCCAATCCAATGCTTCCCCATAGGGAAAGCATTGAATTGGCTAAAATCGGCACGGGGCAGGCCAAATGCCGTTTTGGCCAATCAGGACTTCCTCATTGAGATGCATGCAGAGCGTGGGGACGCTGAACGGCTTACTGTGCAGCCCTGAGTCAGGAAGCCCCTCCCAGTGGGCATCTGTGGAGTGGCCACTTGGAGGTGTCCCTAGGGGCAATGTAAACACTGCCTTTTCTCTGAAAAGGCAGTGTTTACATGAAAATGCCTGAAGGGAACTATTATACTCACCATTAAGCTGTAGTTGTTCTGGTGACTATAAGGCTCCTTTACAGATATACAAGAAGGGAAGACTACTCCCAACAGATACATCCCAGTATGGGTGACATGGCTGGAATGTATTTAATTCTTGTGATTTCTCTCCTAACCCCTCAGCCCTCCCTTATACATGTTTTATTTTAACGTTATCACACCAGGTATAGTCTATGTCTATTCTTTTAGATATCCTTTGTTCTACGTGTTTTATATCCGTACGTATTGTATTACATTTTCATTGCTGGATTTTTTGAGCTTGAAACTTACTGTCCTCATCCACATTTAAACAAAAATTGCTCATTCAATAACTTTGTTATCACAGCAGAAATAACAAATATAGGACACCAAACTTTTTTTTTAATGTTCAATGTCTAATTTAACACATTATGTATCCTTTACATCTTTATATGCTTCCCATTTCTATTCTGTTATCACTCATTTTGCCATAAAGACATAACACCAGTTAGCAGCCATGGACGGATCTGTTCCTTCCAACTTTACATCAATTTTATCTATGTTTAAATATAAACTTCCTCCTGCGTTTTACTCCACTCAGCAACGTGATTACATAATTCGATGATCGATTTGGCTTTTATTAGCAGATTATAAAGCCTGCATGCCTTTCTGATTGCAGGACAGAGACAGAATTCAATAGGTGACCCTCTGAGTTCCTCCTAGAGTTGTATTAAATCCTGCCCGGATCCACTTGCAGCCAAACAAATGCATGTTTTCTTTAGAGCTGTACCGACCTTATAACAACTACTGATATGCCAGACAGAACCACTAGCCAGCCTTCCTATAATAGAGCAGTTTACTAAAAAGAGTTGCATAGCTGAATCATTGCACTTGATAACTAACTAGAAAGCCTAAAAACGACACCCTCCCGCCACTGGCCCAGTATAAACCTCTCATCATACACTGACGGGGGCCTCAGTTATGACTTCTTTCGGGTGCATACTGCAAAGCTAGGCAAATCCTGGGGATTCAATGCTCCTAAAATGTTTTGCTTGACATGTTGTTTAACAAAGAGTACAGAACTAGATTTCCCTTAAAGTGACACTAACTACCAGAACTACTTAATCAATTCCTCATACTTTTGGGTTGGACAAGAAAAGTTCCACCATGTAGCATGTACCAATCATGTGCTGCAGGAGGAGAATCCATTAAAAAGGACACGCAGGATACCATAACAACTTCACTGAAATTAAGTTATGTTGCCAGGAGGCATGGGGGGGGGAGGGGGTTAATATAGACTTCAGTACAGCACCGGTCAGCTCTGCCCCCTAACTTCCATTGCAGTCTGAGAATTCAAACAGGAAGCCACAGGCATGGATGCCACTGGCTAACAGAGTGTCGGCTGAAGATAAGATAGTGCCAGGAACCTCCTGTCACCATAACAACTTCATTCTGATGAAGGTGTTATGGTGCCCGGAATGTTCCTTTCACTAGATCAGTTCTCTTAGGAACTCATCAAAATTAAAGGACCACTCTAGGCACCCAGACCACTTCAGCTTAATGAAGTGGTCTGGGTGCCAGGTCCAGCTAGGGTTAACCCATTTTTTAATAAACATAGCAGTTTCAGAGAAACTGCTATGTTTATTAATGGGTTAAGCCTTCCCCCAAAGCCTCTAGTGGCTGTCTCATTGACAGCCACTAGAGGCGCTTGCGTGCTTCTCACTGTGGATTTTCATAGTGAGAGCACGCCAGCGTCCATATGCGACTGGCTGAATGCGCGCGCAGCTCTTGCTGTGCGTGCACATTCAGCCGACGGGGCGGAACGGAGGAGGAGAGAAGGAGGAGAGCTCTCCGCCCAGCGCTGGAAAAAGGTAAGTTTAAACCCCTTTCCCTTTTCCAGAGCCGGGCGGGAGGGGGTCCCTGAGGGTGGGGGCACCCGCAGGGCAATATAGTGCCAGGAAAACGAGTATGTTTTCCTGGCACTATAGTGGTCCTTTAATGAATTGGTGTTCCAGCATCATGTCAGTGAGTTGTGTTCACTCTTTGGATTTTTATGTTCAATGCCTACAGATTAATGTAGTTGTTCTGGTGTCCATAGGCTATCCTTGCAGGCTTTTTACTGTTAACACTGTATTTTCAGAGATAAGGCAGTGTTTACATTACAGCTTAAGAACACCTCCAGTGGCCACTTCTCAGACGGCAACTAGAGGTGCTTCCTGGGTCAGTCTTGCACAGTACGGACGTTCAGTGTCTCCACGCTCTGCATGGAGACGCTGAACTTTCCCCATAAAGACGCATTGATTCAATGCATTTCTATGAGCAGATGCCAATTGGCCAGCTTCCCTACTCCCTTGGCTGAGATTATAAGGCTTGATGATCTCAGCCAAACCAATTCTTTTCTATAAGAAACCTTACCTCCCATTCCTCATCAGCATAAACGAGAAAAATGTTTGAGAAGCCTTGCATACCATTCTCACATGTTCATAGCTGTCCAATTATTGACTTCTCAATGACTATTACTACTTGAGAAAGCTTCGTAAGGGATACACTCTGGACAAGCATCTGCCATTTGAGAATAACTTCAGGGAGCTAAGCTAGGCAAAGGATACAGCCAGGAGAGTGTAATAGGCATGTATAAGGTACTAATTAGTATTTCTCTCAATGGGTGGCCATGGAAGGCTAAGAGTGTGAGCCAACACTTTCACCATTGCCTAAGGGACACATTTCTGTATTAGTGCTGGGGCCAAAGTAGGAACAGCCGGGCAAATAACTTTGGGGTTATAAGGCAGCACCTTTGACATCTAGCCCCACTTGATTTCATTGAGATGAATTTGTTATGGAGCCTGCAGTGGTCCTTTTAACCATTTGGGCTTGTTTTGGTGAAAAAAGTGCTTTAAGAGATATTGTCCCTATACAATGTGTTCTGTTTACAGACAGATCGTTTTTATTTGCACAGTTATATGTGAAATTGAATGTGGGTTATAAAACGTAGTAGTGATAATTAGATCAACAGCTGGGTGGTGATATCGCTTGTAAACAAAAATATCATCACAGTTCATCTGATCTGTCATCAGTCTCATCACAGATTCACTTATGAAAATAACACAGGAGCTGCCTTAGCTGTAACATGGCAGTGATGAGATACCTTTAATTTCTTGATTATTTCCATAAAAGCAAACAAAAATACAATTTTATAAATAAATATATATACACATACATACATACATATATATATATATACACATACACACACACACACACACACACACACACACACACACAATATATGAGAAAGTAATTTGAGAGTACAACTGTTTAAGACATTGGACATTATGTTCAATGCCTAAAAACGTTGCATTCACTAAAAAGTTAAAAAAAAAAAAGAAACTGAATGGAATTGGAATGGAAACAAAATAAAAATAACATACAAAACACACTTCATCATCTCATTTGTATGTATTTAAACACTGCTATTCACCCAAGTTATACCATGAATATAGCCATCCAGGCATTGGTTAATAACGATTGGGTAAGACAGGCCGACATTCTTTATCATACATCTCGTGGGGAGCAAGTGTAAACAATCCCGAATCTCTGTATCTTTGTGGGAAACACACACAGCTTGATGTGGAGATTCATTACTTTTCAAACTTTACTGTGGATATTTAACCTGTTCAGCCATTTGATCTGATCATGCCAATCGCTTCTTTATAACAACCCAGAAGTTTCCAATAATATTTATGGCGATTGAAAAAGCCCTCTAGTAGGGTGAAACGTGTCTCGGAATAGGAGGAAGCCTGCTGGACATTCTCTATTTTATTTTATTTATCTATATAGATTTATTTTGTATTCTAATGGTTACATTGATAGATAAAAATAAAATTTATTCTAAGTCCACTCTTGGTCCTCACCAACCTGCTCAAAGGAGGGAAGGTGTCCCCTTTATTGACACCCAAGCTGATCAACCTATAGCCAGGTACCTGGGCTCTAAATAAGGTGAGCACTCATTTAAAGTCACAGTATACTCACATTTAACTCAGGAGTACTACATTATATTACTATCTATTGTACCACTCTTATAGCTCCCTTTTCTAAGGAAAATTACCAACATTCCTAAAGGGGACGGTACTAAAGCGAAAGTGATCTGAGCCTATCCTATCCCATGCTCTGTACTATGTGAGTTGAAATTTTACTTCACAGCAACAAACAATTATACAGATTTACACCATCACCCCCTTTTATGTGTTTTCCCCCTTTCTATGTATATGTTGAAATTAAAGTTATATCATAAAGTCAGGATCAGACGACCCTTATCCAGGGTAGGTGTCCACAATATCACTGTATGCTTCACTCATACAGGTGATTTGCCTTTGGCTCTTCTTCCTTTTCTTTGGTTTTCATATTTTGATGTGAGTGTGAGGGATCCCCACAAGATTGTTGAAGCAGTCTTTCTATTCTTTAATCGGATATATTCTAAACACTAAAGCGCCTTTAACACACAGTCCTCTCTGGGTTTTTCAAGAAAATCCACCAACGTATTTAAAATTCGAATTTACAAAGCGCATTGAGCGATACTGCAGATATGCAAAAATATATCTGCATCTCCTTTTAAGAGCATATTCAGAATCACTTGCTGTAAGTGTAAATGACAACAGAGAGGATGAAAAAATATTTCAGAGTTTACCTGAAACAATTAACTGTAATGCATTACACACAGATGAAGCCTGAAAGGGGTTAAAATAGAGTCTCACACTCGTAAAGCCTTGAACCAATTATATCTGTTTAAAAATGAAAATAAAAGCCATGAATAATTCAGTTTTTGCATGGCTGCGTTATAGGAACTCCAGAGCACAAGTACAACATGTCCCCAAATCTCAAGGACTTCTCTGTGCAAATGTGACCCAAATGAACAAGGAATGACGAAAACTCCAAATTTAGCACAGGAAGTCTTGCAAAAAAAAAAGAAAAAAATGCAGACAGTAAATACGAAGCTATCTTTCTCTGTAACAACCCATCAAATCTCTTACAAGTTAGGGCAGACACACTGACTAATGTTTTATTAATAAAGGATGTTAGAGAACTATGCACTGAATCGAACAGCCACCTGTATGTTTGATGCAGACCTACCCTACATATGCAATAGGAACAAACATCTGTACTGCATACACACACACACAAAACATACAAAACAGCGAACATCACATCCATTTTGCACAAATCATGGCCCAAAACCCATTTCTTTTTTCTCAAACTGCATTAGAAACAAAGCACAAACTGAAATAGTGATTAATTCTCCAACTCCACAAAACAGAAACAAAATGATTGTAAATACAATAGTTTTAGCGTGCAGGAATCCGTATGCATATTTGAACTTGATGCAATAATGCATTTTTATAAAATAAACAATATAATTTATACTAACTCAATACGACCAATGACGTGCTTTACAATTACTAATTAGTCTAAAATCACACATGCATGATTAAGCTTTTATAGCAATAAGACTCCTAAACAGAGCAATCTAACAATGATCATATAATGCAAGACTGCATCCAATGCCAGGTATATTACAGTAACAAGAATATGCAAAGTGCTGCTTAATAACTATTTTACGAAAAAAGGAAAATTACACACAAAGAGCATTTTGATTATATAGAGAAATAGATGTGGAACATGTACCCACACCCATTTATAAATATACAAGTTGAACAGAAGATAAGTGCGCATTTTACAATCACTTAGCTCACACCTCACCTATTGTAAAAAGCAGGAAGATTTGCAGCTTTACTGTCAGGAGAGACGGATCAATGTGTTTATATTTAGTCAAAAACATCAGGACGGCACTTGCTGAATCCTTTGCAAATTGATGTGTGTGGCAATGACACAAACACAGGGCACGGGGAGAGACAGACACACAGCCTGTAATTTACACTAATTCTATGCCCGGGGGACCAATATACAGCCTGCTTGCTGCCAGAGGTTAAAATGTACAAAGCAGCCTGGTGTTTTACGCCCAATACACAGCAGCACCTGTCGGTAAAAGCAAAATTACTCATCTTTCTACGGACACAAAAGCGAAAATATAATTTCACCTGGGATTTGAGTAAAAACTCAGGAATAATTTGTCTGCATCAGATCATAAAGTACATAATGAGTCTGACAACCATGGGTTGAGAACATGCCCATGTGATTTACCAGGTACAAGAGTAGAGTATGGGGAGATTTTCTTTTTACAAATATAAAAAAACGTGAAGAAAAGTAGCTGTGTTTTCAATGTGCTTTTCCAAATAAATAACAATACAGATTTATTTATTTCACAAAGTTCTTTAGAAGCAACTAATGGCTCATACACACGAGAAACAATATTGTTAAACATCTGACAGTAACTTTAACCCCTTAAAGACACATGATGGAAATATTCCGACACAATTCCCTTTTATTCCAGAAGTTGTGTCCTTAAGAGGTTTAATTATCATTGGACGTGCCGTGTTCAATGAGTAGATATATTTTATAAATGACAGCAATCCCATAAATAAAAACACTGAACAATAATGCTGCAATGTATAGGTATACAATATTATATAACCACATCAAAACTCAATGTAATTATTACAACAATGCAACTATCAACTAAATAAATAACATACAATGCCGTAGATAAGAGTTCTATATAATAGGAAAAGTGATAACCTGCATGCACCTCACAAATTACAGCTCCCCAAGGTACACGTTTATGCACATCATAAAAAGAAATGTTTAAGAAGACAGGAAGCGCCCCAAAAAACACATCACTGTGTAAATACACAAACATATGCTCAGGTCTTCAATATATACATCTTTAAAAAACATGGAATCCTTGGGATGGGAGGAATCTAGCATGCACAGGTACAAATCGAATCTTAAATACCCAAGAGCATGCACAGTTTTAAAACATACAAAATACAAACTTACAAGGACATGTACCACCTAAAAAACAAACATTTAACACTCCAGATACAAAATCTAAACAAACATGCACATCTCTGGAATACAAGTTTAGCTTCAAAACACACATAACCATGCAACAGCTCTCAAAACACACACGCACGCACCATGCAACAGCTCTCAAAACACACACGCACGCACCATGCAACAGCTCTCAAAACACACACGCACGCACCATGCAACAGCTCTCAAAACACACACGCACGCACCATGCAACAGCTCAAAACACACGCACCATGCAACAGCTCAAAACACACACGCATTCATGCAACAGCTCTTTCAAAACACACACATGCACGCACTATGCAACAAAGCCTTCAAAACACACATGCACGCCACTCCATGCAACAGCTCTCAAAACACACACAAAGACGCCACCATGCAACAGCTCTCAAAACACACACTATCAACTCATGCAACAGCTCTCAAACACGCACACACACCATGCAACAGCTCTCAAAACACACACGCACACACACCATGCAACAGCTCTCAAAACACACACGCACACACACCATGCAACAGCTCTCAAAACACACACACCATGCAACAGCTCTCAAAACACACACACACACACACCATGCAACAGCTGTCAAAACACACACACCATGCAACAGCTCTCAAAACACACACACCATGCAACAGCTCTCAAAACACACACACCATGCAACAGCTCTCAAAACACACACACACTATGTAACAGCTCTCAAAACACACACACACTATGTAACAGCTCTCAAAACACACACACACACACACTATGTAACAGCTCTCAAAACACACACACACACTATGTAACAGCTCTCAAAACACACACACACACACTATGTAACAGCTCTCAAAACACACACACACTATGTAACAGCTCTCAAAACACACACACACACACTATGTAACAGCTCTCAAAACACACACACACTATGTAACAGCTCTCAAAACACACACACACTATGTAACAGCTCTCAAAACAAACACACTATGTAACAGCATTAACAAATCCAAAACATGATCACGCCAGATGTAAAACATACAAGAACACACAGCTATAAAACACACAGACAGCAGCCCAGCTCCACTCTAGTCTATGCAGGTGCCATGCAAGTGAGGTGACGATGGCAACAGACAGAGTTGAGGGGAATTTTGCAGTCACTGGGTGGGCAGGGTGGACGAGGGGGTCAGAGATCAGGAGTGAGGGGGTATCAGAGATGGGGAGATGAGGGGGTCACGGATGGGGGTCTGAGATGGGGAGTGAGGGGATGTTAGGGATAGGGTGTATAGGGGGGGCATCTGATATGGGGCGGTCAGGGGGAAGGTGGGGTGCCATGGATGTGTGTATGGAGGGGGTGTCAGGGGAAGGTAAAGCTGTTGATGTGGTGTGTATGGGGGGTGTCAGGGGGAAGGTGGGGGTGCATGGATGGTGTGTGTGCTGGGAGGTGTCAGGGGAAGGTGGGGGTGCCATGGATGGTGTATGGGAGGTGTCAGGGGAAGGTGGGGGTGCCATGGATGGTGTATGGGGTGCTCAGGGGAGGTAAGGGGAAGGTGGGGGTCCCATGGATGGGGGTCTCAGAGATGGGGTAGTAAGGGGGGGTGTCAGGGGGTAGTGAGGGGAAGGTGGGGTCCCAGAGATGGGGTAGTAAGGGGGTGTCATTGAGGGTTCTCAGAGATGGGGCAGTAAGGTGTCAGGGGTGTAATTGAGGGGTCTCAGAGATGGGGTGTCGGGGGTAATAAGGGGGGTGTCATTGAGGGGGTCTCAGAGATGGGGTAGTAAGGGGGGTGTCATTGAGGGGGTCTCAGAGATGGGGTAGTAAGGGGGGGGTGAAGGTGTCTGTCTGAGGGTCTCACCCCAGTGATGGCGGCTCCCCGGGCTGCTCTCCCAGCGGGCAGGTCCCCGCGCGGCCTCCTGGGGGGTGACGGTGCCCGCCCTCGGCGCCCAGCTCACTCTCTAACCCTGCGATCTCTCAGCCAGTCACATCACCAGCTGCCTTGTCTTTGTCTGCCTCCAGCCGCCATGTTGACACTTAGCATCGCGCAGCTCCCAGCCAAACGGCCGCGGACTCTGGGACTTGTAGTTTCCTGCTCCGCTGGGTTCTCCCCGGGGAGCATGAGCGAGAGCGGAGGGCGAGGACTACAACTCCCGGCATGCAACGCGGCCAGCGAGCCGTCCCCCCTCCCAGCCCAGACAGAGACAGCGAGAGAGTCACACACACTGCGTGTCTGGGCTGCTGATGTCATACGTTGGACTGACGCACGGAGCGGCGGCAGGACTACAAATCCCGGCGTGCTTTGCGTCTCCAGGAAGCGAGCCTTACTGTGCATAGACAAGTGAGCAATGAAGCTGGTAAGAGTTTGATGCTTTTATTTACATAATCATGCCTCCCAGTGATGTATTGCAATGTATTGATTTCTGTTCATTTCATGTATTATTGTGGGGCCTGTCAGTGGGCACATGGTGTCTGCAGGGTATACTGACTGCAGCCCTGAGCTCTGCATGTGCTCTCCATGTATTCCATGGGATCATTGCTGGAGCACACTGGAGGCTATTAAATCAGCAATCACCATGGAAACCAGCAATCACCATGGAAACCACCAAACCAGCAATCACCATGGAAACCAGTAATCCAGCAATTACCATGGAAACCAGCAATCACCATGGAAACCAGTAACTCAGCAATCACCCTGCAAACCAGTAATCCAGCAATCCCCATGGAAACCAGTAATCCAGCAATCACCATGGAAACCAGTAAATCAGCAATCACCATGGAAACCAGTAAATCTATGTGGTTCGGTAAATGGAGTTTACCGAACAAACTGTCGAACAGCCAACCACCCTGCATGTGGCGTGTGCTGCTCGTTAACCACCCAGAAGCTGTGGTTAGCAGCAGTTTAACTGACAAACGGCTGGGTGGCTGGCGTTCCTATAAGCGAACACGGTGGTGGCCATTTTGTTTAGCCGAACACGTGCAGCTGTGTTTTGACGTTGAACGCCTGGAACTTTTCGGCTACTATTTCCCACGAACACCGCTGAGACTTTCACTTTCCGTGTGTTCGGCTAAATACATACGAACAGAGCGCTATTTCTTGGGAATAAACTACAGAACGAGACGCTTTCAATGAAAGTATGCACGAACTGATCCGTTCATGCAATTTGTACATTATTTGAAGGAGAAGATAGACCGGCAGCACAGCCTAAATCTGTGGAATTATTTTGGGCATGAAAGCCATGCTTGCGGTCGGTCAAATATGACTTCCACAAAACTTTTGAACCCATGCTCTGATCTGGGTGATTTTTGGATATGCTGTTCTCCCAGATCAGAGCTATCCAGGATATATAATATATTTATGTGGATATGTTGGTGTTTTGGGTAAAAATTGATATTTTCTGCCTGTGGATAATTAGGTTATTACATTAGCTAGCTTAATTATATCACAGGCAGAGGAGAGGGCTTGCTGACTGTATGTGGTAGTGTTACTATACCAATTATTGTTCCTATATGTTTATGTCCCTTTTTTGTCTCAATTTACCATCAGGTCCAGGGGGTGTGCCTCTGGCCTGAAAATATGTATAAAAGAAAAGAAAAGCCCTTGCACTCAATAAACCAGACCTTCTTACCCTCAACTCACAACCTCGTCTTGTGTTGTAGGGAACAGCTATATCACACTGGGGATTGCTATACTCTGTATACTCCCCTGGATCCCTGCTAGCTCTTGTAAGAGCTCTCTTCAGCTATACTCTCTTGGAGGAGAGATCCTTCCCACACGCTCCTGGATCCAGAGGTTGGAGTCCTAGGGTGGGAAGGAGACGGCGAGATCCCAATCAAGCTACGGCGGTTCGTGGAGTCTGTGGTTCTTCTGGTGTCGGGTGCGGTGCTGATTGTCCTTGAGATGCGCTAGGAGCATCCGTCAGCGGAGGTGTCCTTTACAGTAGCGTTACATATATTAGTGGTGCATTTAATTATGCAGGGTGTTGCAGTGCTACTAAATATGTTGGCACTATACGTCCAGTCACTTGCAGATATAACAGGAATATCACTTTTATAGTGTGATAAAGGACCACAAACGGTACTTGCAAAATTTAGTGGATTAATCAAGACGTGACAAACCGGCCTAATCCTGAGAATGAGTGGAATTGTATTCTTGATTGATCAGACATGGTCTGTGAATAAATTGTCAGTCCGCATTTGGGGGCCTTTGCTGACATGACTGAGTACAATGACACACCTATTCAAATTAAAGTTTTCTCTATGTAGCCATGCTTGCATATTATAAAACCATTTTATAGTCTAAAATCAGCAGTGCTACATGGTCCTCTATGGATTTTTTTTTGATTTTTTTTTTACTTTTGGTTACCATATATAATGACAACAAACAAGTGTTCTCTTAAATAAAACCGATGCCAATGGGAAAAATCACTTTTAGTGACCACGCACCTCTTAACCATCACTGACATCAAAGGTTTTAACGCAAAAATGTACAGTGCAGTAAGATCTGAAAAGGGAATATGTTTTAAAATGTCTTTAACCTATATATACTTGGTTGCCGTACACTTCCTAAATGCTTAATTTTTTATTTTTTTTTTATTTTTTTCATTTCTAGGCTTTGTGTTTTTATTCTTTTATTTTTAACTTTTCAATAAGCAGAAAATGTCCATGATTTGTTCTTATTCAGTCCTCTTCCCTGTGAATAGATTCTGTTTTATCAAGTGGTTGTCTCCCTATTTAAATGAAATTGAAGCAGGTCGTGTAAAGGGCAGCGGGGACTAGTCCCCGAGAACAGATCCTGGACAGGTTAAGTGCAGTAAAACCGTTGGGCAGCAGTTAATGCACTGATAATGGGAGGTCAGCGATACAGGAGCTCAGCTATAGAACACATTAGCCTTTAGTTCTCCGTCCTGTCACCAGGCCAGCTCCATCTTTTCATCTCGCCGAAAGCATTCCTTCTCTGCTGATATTCAGAGCACAATCTTTAATATTTAAAATTTCTATTACTCCAAGCTGTGAACAGATTTCTCACGGAGTGTGTTTTTTTTAAATTTACCTTGTTTCAGTATTGCCTTTCGGGACATCCTACACTACCATGCAACATCCTCAAATTCAAGTCCACCACCATCATGCTAGACTGCAGTTTGGACATGACCTCGTCTCTCAGCTTCCTCCCGCTGCCTCTGGTCCACAGGTATGTCACCTAACATGTGGGTCTGTTTTACAGTTGCAGTTTGGCTGTTGGTGAATTGCTGAATTAGTGTGTAAATATATAAATATTTGGCTGATTTGAACAGCCGTCACATGTAACCTCTCATATTCCTCCTAGACAATATAGATCAGGGTAGGCAACCTTCCAGATGATAACCTTCCATAATGCTGGCAAAGCATCAGGGGAAAATGTAGGCCACAACATCTGGAGTGCTGAAGGTTGCCTTCTCCTGATATGGACTTCTGATCGATTTTATTATTGGGTTGGACTTTCAAGACCTACCTTGAACGATCCAATTCCAAGACGAACGCAAGTGTGGATACAGGTGGTCCTCGTTTTGCAACCTACCTGTTTTACGACGGCTCACACTTACGACCAGCTCTCTCGCGGGGTGGTAAGTGCGAGCCATCTTAGGAATTAGAGGGACTCCCTGATCTGCTGCGTTCGTCTATGTTCGGGGACATTTCCCAGAACAAAGCGTTTTCCTGGCACTATAGAATCCTACAGTGCCCCAGCTCCCACAGCGCTGAAGGGGTTAAAACCCCTTCAGTCACTTACCTGAATCCAGCGCTGGGTCAGGCTCCGCCCATGGTCATCCCCCACCATCACGTCAGCCGGCGGGCGAGACATACTGCGCATGCGCAGCAATGGCTGCGCTCACATTAGGATTACCCTATAGGAAAGCATTATTCAATGCTTTCCTATTGGGGAAAAATCTGATGCTGTAAGTCCCCATGCAGAGCGTGATAATGGACCAAAGGTTTGTTTCAAACCAGGAAGCCCTCTAGTGGCTGTCTGGTAGACGGCCACTAGAGGTGGAGTTAACCCTAAGATGCAATTATTGCAGTTTTTTTAGTAACTGCAATAATTACTATTGCGGGGTTAATTGTGATGGGACATTGCATCCAGATCGCTTCAATGAACTGAAGTGGTCTGGGTACCTACAGTGTCTCTTTAAGTGAATAACCTTGTCTTGTTAGTGATTTGCCAAGCAAAGCGTTTCAATTCCTTGATATATAGGCCATCATTGCATTCCTTATGGCTTCATGGAAAAAAATAATTATTATATAAAGCATTTCAGTATGAAAATGTTTGATCCATCACAATTGCCACACTAGATCCTAAGCTGCACCGCATGCCTAGTAATTTATACCAGTGCCCTTTAAATTCCAACTGTAATGTATCGGACAGTGTGAGAACCGCTCCTATTGGCGTTCTAATTCTTCACACTTCTAATCAGTCAGTATTCTCCTGATGCCTGCATTATTGTGCAATATTGACTTATTGAAGTCCCTGACACAAGGAGTGGGAATATGTCAGTTTTAAAAATATTTTTTTTTTAAGTAGTAAGGTTTTAATAATGTGTCATGCACTAGTCCAGCACAATATCATGGCACGGAAATTCCTACTGCATTTTACATATTTTTAAAAAAATTTTTTTTTTTTTTTAGCATTAAACGAGTCCCTCTATGAATGTACAATTTAGCTCAACTGAAAGGTTTTATATTTTTGAATGTTTACAATAATCTATGTAGTATGTGTTTAGATCATGCCACTGCAGTCTCACTGCTCAATTCTCTGCCATTTAGGAGTTAAATCACTTTGTTTAAACAGCTCTAGTCACACCTCCTTGCATGTGACTTACACAGCCTTCCTAAACACTTCCCGTAAAGAGAGATTGAATGTTTACACTTCCATTTTAATGCACATTCTGTTTAATTTTGAAATGTCTTGTATCCTGCTGTAATATCTTGCTAGATCCTGCAGAAGCCTCCTGTGTGTAAAGTTCAATTTACAAAGCAGGAGATAAAAACCTTTTAAAGCAAGTTAGCATCTGATTGAAAATTTTATTTTTATTTTTTCCTTTTTCTTCATGCTGTCTGTGTGACTAGGGCGACAGAAACAAAAGTGATTTTAACTTCTAAATGGCAGGGAATTGAGCAGTGAAACTTCGGAGGCCTGATCGATACACATAAACTGCTTCCTTTAGCTAAAGTTGCTTTGGTGACTATAGTGTACCTCTAAGTGTTAGTCCTGATCTTTATTTCTCTTGTATAGCCAGGGGCTAGTTACAACCCTGGCACCTGCGACCTAGGCAGCTCACCACTCTTTTCCAGGCTGCCTAATGTTAATTCTGTGCACCAGTTGCATCTGTAGTCAGAACGCACGACCGATGTAATGAGCTTCTTCCCTTGCAAGTGCACTCCCAGCTTAAATCTCCCTTTGCCAACTTTCTCTCGTTTGTTTCCTGCCTCACTATATTCTTCGCTTCATCTGTTTTTGTGTTTTGTTTTTAAATTTAGTTAATTTTATATTTTTGAATTATTAATATTCCCTCCTTCCCGGGCCAGAGCTTGAGAATGGTCCAAGTAAAAGCTTCTTTGCGTAGAGAGTCAAAGGGTATATGAATGGATACCAGTATCAAAAGGAGTAACTGTGGCTTTTTGGTCAAAATCAGGTTGTTCTGTATTCTTTTCAGGATCACAATTTTCATCCTCAGGACACTCAAGTGTACACCACACGCCATGCCATATATCCTCAGTATCTGAATCCTGGGATCTGTCTCCTCTGTTCCATATGGGGCAAGCTGTACCCCTAACTAAATTTTGAACATTCTTTTGCCCATTCCATTTATTATGATTGGTGGAATCTATTTATCCTGCCCACCGGGGTTTCTAATCCAAACTCCTTCATCAATATCAAACTCAGAAACACTAGAATTGTTCAGCTCCTGTTTGGGATGTTCTGGACAAACTTGATCAAGAGGAGTTCTCAGGCATCTTCCAAACATTAACCCAGCAGGTAATTGGCCAGTTGTTATGTGTTCCAATAATTTTACCAAAAAATACCAAAAAGACAGGTTTATTTGTATTCAATTTTTTTTTTGCAAGAGACTGTTAAATAACGTTTCTAAGTTTGTACAAATTGTTCAGCCTGTCTATAAGAGGCAGGAAAACATGGAACGTTTTTACATTTCTGGATATTATTTGAAGTCCTTAAGTTTCAAATTTCTGTGATCCGAATTGCGGACCATTGTCTGAGACTAGTGTTTACGGCAGTCCAAATCTCTCAAACATACTGGAAAGTATGATGATGGTTTGTTCTGCTGTAGTACTTGACATTCAAATAACTTCTGGCCACTTAGACTGAGCATCCACAGCTACTAAATACATTTATCCATCCACTGGTCTTGCAAAATCATTGTACAAGGCTCTGGCTACGTCTTGGAGGAATCCCTGGTCGGATTTTGCTCAGTCTGTGCACATGCATTGCGAGAAGCTACATAAGCAGAGATCTCTGTATCCAATTTAGGGTGCCAAATATATTCCTGTGCTACTTGCTTCATTTTTCCTACACTCTGATGCTGTCTTTGCAGTAACTTCAGAGCTAAAGGTTGGCGCATAGTAGGAATTATTAAACTTAAACCCCAGAAAACTCACGTTCCCTGCTGTAACAGAACCGCTGGCACCCCGACCGGGTACCTTCCGCTGACGGATGCTCCTAGTGCTTTCCGAGGTCTCCAAGCACTCCACCTGACACCATAACCACTGCAGACCCCACAAACCGCAGCAGCTTGGTTGGGGTCTCGCCGTCTCCACCCACTCTAGTCCCAAGACCAGGCTCCAGCTTCCAGTAGGTCAACCTCTCCGAATTCCAGAGAGCAGGAACAAGCTCTTAGCAGAGCTTAGTGATTATACCCTGGGGAGTATAGTGATTATAGCAATCCCCAGAGTGTAGTTCTCCAATCCCCCAAACATGAGCCAAAACTTCATGAAGGTAAAAGATGATCCGCTTTAATGCACACAAAAGGACTTTCTTTTATACAGGTTTTCAGGCCAGAGCCACACCCCTTGGACCTGGTGGTAAACTGTGACAAAAGGGACACAAACCAATGGGAACACTAATTAACAAAATAACACTCCCACACACACACACACACACACACACACACAGTAAAATTCTCCCCTCTGCCTGTGATATAATTACTGAACACAATGGGCTAACATTATCAGAGGCAGGAAAATATACAGTTATTCATAACTTTAAAAGTATGCATCACATTCACATAAAATATTCAGAATCGGCATACTCCAAATACAAACATATGTCAAAATCATACAAATTGGTCCAGTGGTTCAAAAGATAGATGGACGTCCTATTTGACCGACTGCAAGCATGGCTTGGATGTGGTAAGCCAATTATCTCCAGCATACAGAAAACATCTCTATTCACAACAAAAGCAAGAATACGCAAAAATACATAATTATATCACAGGCAGAGGGGAGGATTTTACTGTGTGTGTGTGGGAGTGTTATTTTGTTAGTGTTCCCATTGGTTTTTGTCCCTTTTGTCACAGTTTACCACCAGGTCCAGGGGGTGTGAGTGATGGGTGGGGACCCTAAATCAAAATAAGGGGGGAAACTTATGTCCTCCCCCCTGGCCCCCACCCCTGAGCGGGGGATGGGGGCCCTACATTAGAATGAGGGGGGGGAACCTAATGTCTCCCCTCTGGCCCCCACCCCTGAGTGGTGGGTGGGGGCCCTAAATACTAATTAGGGGGGGGGGGACCTAATGTCCTGGCCCCCACCCCTGAGCGGCTGGCGGGGGCCCTAAATAAAAAAAATAAAAAAAAATAAAAAACCTCCCCCAGGTGACTAGGGGTCCCCAAACCCCTAGTCACCCCACTCCCCCAAACTAACCTCTACCTACCCCCTCACCCTAAAAATAATGAGGGGGGACCATTTAACCAAGTACCTGGGGAAAAATAAAATAAAACTTACCATTTGATGTCTTCTTTCTTCTAAAATCTTATTTTTTCAGCCCCCAAAAAAGGCCAAATAAAAAGCCATAATAACTGACGCAATAAAAAAACAAGCACAAAAAAATAAATAAATAATAATACCATCTTCACCCGGTGAGGGCTCCGCGCAGACTGAGCTCTGCAGGGCGGGGGAAGGCTTATAAAGCTTTCCCCCACCCTGCAATTAGGCTCAGAGCACTCTGATTGGGTTTAAGCCATCCAATCAGAGTGCTCTGACAGGTAAATGAAGAGACTGACAGGCAAGTCTCTACATTTACCTGTCACAGCCCTCTGGTTGGTTTGAAATCCACCAATCAGAGTGCTCTGTGTCATTTTACACAGCGTGGGAAAGTTCTTTGGAATTTAAGTAACCAATCAGAAAGTTATGAGTCGGTTATTATGGCTTTTTATTTGGCCTTTTTTGGGGCTGAAAAAAGAAGATTTTAGAAGAAAGAAAACATCAAATGTTTTTGTTTTGTTTTTTTCAGGTACTTGGTTAAATGGTCCCCCCTCATTATTGTTAGGGTGAGGGGGGTAGGTAGGGGTTAACTTTTTGGGGGAGGGGGGGTGACTAGGGGTTTGGGGACCCCTAGTCACCCGGGGCTAGGGGGGTTAATTTTTTCTTTAGGGCCCCCATCTGCCGTTCATGGGTGGGGGTCAGGGGGAGGACATTAGGTTCCCCCCCCAACCCCCAATTAGTATTTAGGGCCCCCACCCACCGCTCAGGGGTGGGGGCCGGGGGGAGGACAATAAGACACTTGGTTATAAGTTCCTATGCTGTACGATATACCTCCAATAGTTCAACCCATGTGTCCCATTTTTATGTGTCTGGTGCAAACACTGGCAAAGTGCCAATCATTGTCCAATCACATGTTCCCTGTCTGGGCACAATTATAACATTTAGTGCAGTGTTATTACCTTGTATCTGTAACTGTCCCCAAATATCACTGTGACTCTGGAACATGGATTTCAATCTACATTTTATTCCTCCTCAACACATATCCGCTTCACTGGCTGATTCATCTATAACAACTCAAAATGGTTTCCAACTGTATTGAGCAGGGCAAAACCATCTGGCTGCATGTGGGGCTATTCGGATTGCAAAATTAGGAGATTTTTCACACTATTTAACAATGTCCAGATTTTGCTTTGTATCCTCAGAATGAACCTGAATTTGGTCTGGATTTTAGCTGGACGGTTGAAATGCGGACCTGACATGTTCAAATATGCGCCTGGTTGCTTCAATCTGAACCATTTGCCCACTGGCAATGTTAAGTCAGCGGGCAAAATGTAAACCATTGGCGGTATTGTTAAATACATTTAAAAAAAAAAAAATAATTAAACAAAGCCTATGGGGTCAATATGGCCCTCCGTATTACTAAAAAAGGAGGGTTTTAGACCTGTCTTATGCAGGGGCGTACCTAGAGCATTTGGCACCCGGGGCGGATCCTGTGCTTGGGGTGCATTGTGTGTATGTGATGATTGTCAATCTCTCCTCCCGCTCCAATTTCCTTCTCCTCCTCCCAATTTCTCTCCCCTCCTAATTTCTCTCGTCCCCTCCTAATTTCTCTCGTCCCCTCCTAATTCTCCCCTCCTAATTTCTCTCTCACCCTCCTAATTTCTCTCTCACCCCTCCTAATTTCTCTTTCTCACCTCCCATTTCTCTTTCTCACCCCTAATTTCTTTCTCACCCCAATTTCTCTTTCACCCCTCCTTTCTCTTTCTCAATTTCCCTAATTTCTTTCTCACCCCCTAATTTCTCTCTCACCCCCTCCTAATTTCTCTCACCCCCTCCTAATTTCTTTTCACCCCTCCTCCTAATCCCCTCCCTCCTAATTCCCTCCCCTCCTAATTTCTCACCCCTCCCCCTCCTAATTTCTCTTTCTCACCCCCTCCCCTCCTAATTTCTCTTTCTCACCCCTCCCCCCTCCTAATTTCTCTTTCTCCCCTCCCCCCACCTCCCTGTAGTGTGGCCGAGCCCTGTATAGTCCGCGGGTACAGGGAGCATCTGTTTCCTGAGCGTTTCCCTCCTGTCAGCCCCTCTCCTCAGGCTGCGCCCAGGCGGTGCGGTCCGCCCTCATGGACGCACCGCCCGGGCAAAGCTGCAGCCGCCTGAGGCTCACTACAGAGCGCATGGGGGGGGCGCCCCTAGTCATGGCACCCCCCACCCTGGTGGCACCCGGGGCGGACCGCCCCCCCCTTAGTACGCCACTGGTCTTATTTCTCCTCCTGCCATGCCTCCATGGACATAAGGAACAATAAATTGATGCGGACCCTGTTCAACTGAGTTTACAATCTAGAGGCATGGACGAAAAAATGCTGGGGTACCACTCAATTTGTTACAGTTATGATATTTACATATATCTGATTATTTGTTTGTGTCTAGTTCACCAATTTAGAATAACTAACTGTAGCAGTGTATCACGGTGGGGTAATCTCAGGGCCTGTAGAACTTAACCAAACATGTCACTTGCCATCTGTCAACGATCACTCCACGAAAAAAAGTGTATGAAGCGTTTTGCCAGTTTTCTCCTGAAAGCCCATCATGTCATTGGCCCCACGCCACAGATAATCAAATTTCTGGATGAACTGCAATCACCATTCATATTTAATACCCTTTGTTCCGCTGATCCTGGAGAATCCTGGGACTTGTAGTTCAGCAGTAGCTGGAGTTCTACTTGCTGGATCTTCCTAATTTCCAGCGACGTAGACCTGTTAGAACAGTACTTCAGAATAATACTAGCTACGTTGCCCAGTGACTGTGCTGAATGCTTGTTTGAGAGACCTTCAAAGAAGATATTATTCCAGTAAAAGTCTAATCTGGACACTGGTGGTTGTCTGAAGGTCATGGCTGCTGTCATTCAGTATTATCTCGAATACTCTGTTTCTGTTTTCAGTTCTTCATTTCCTTTAACACTGTAATTTTCTATTGCAGCACCCGTTTGTCCAAACTTCCTGGATGGGTGACCAAGGATGGCAATACACAGTTTGAGAAGGTAACGTCCCTCTAATCTGGGTTTAACCACAATAATTGAAATTAGATATAAATCGTGTTCCTGACCAGCACCTGCACAGATATCGAAATATTACTTCTTACTCTGCTGCGGTCTACATAATCTAATTTAATTGCAAACATTAAAATGTTACCATTGCTAGTATAAAATATTAGTGACACTCCAAACACTATTACAAATTGCGCCCCATAATTAAATTCTGGTTCAAGGCGGTCTTCTGTCCCTGTCACTTACTTATAACTGCAGCAATTAGCAGAAGTCTGACCGCCCCTAGTCTGGACAGAGCTTCATGTAAAAGCTGTAAATACAGGAATTAAAATGAGCGGACTCAATGAATATATTAAACTCAAGTTTGCTATATATCCCCATTGGAAATGGTGTCTTGGTTTGCTCACAATCCAACATTGTCGCGTTGAAATAATTTGTAAATTTAACATTGGCTGCTCTGAATGCAGCTGCTTCGTCTGTGTTGATTCTGCTTTTATTTCGATGTGGACATATCCACCACATAGACGTCTATAACAAATACGATGCTACATTATGTTGAAGAAACTGGCAGCAAATCTTTAACATAAGAGATAGATAGATTCTAATGTAGACTATGTTCCTGTAACTTGTCTTTTCTATGAATTCATGTAACGCTGTGGGGTCTTTATTTATTTGTAGGAGCTAAAGGAATGTTCTGGTCGAGTATTTGTAGACTCTGTGCCAGAGTTCTGTTTGCCTGAAGTAAGTATGCACCAAGCACGTGTTTTGAGTTGGCAGGAGGAGGTGGGGAGGGATGGATGGAATCGGGAGGTGTGACGGCTGTGGGAGGGGATATCTAAGAATTGACACTGGCAGTGCGGAACAAAGTTCTGGGCTGCCAATGTCACGTGTGCTGGGGGTGCAACTGGCCTCCAGCAGACACGTGCCAATTACTCTGGATGACACAGTGCTCATACTGACTCCTACCACCATGACCACTTCAAATCACTGAAGTTGTCATGGTGGTTGGAGTAACCCTTTAAAGATTTAGCAGCCAGGGCACACACTGCTTTGGAGGAGGGAAAACCTCGTTTCTATTTCTCCTTCTCTCTATGCTGACTGCCAGGTGCAAACTCAGGGCTTATAACATGGATTGACAGGGGGAGCTTGTATTTGCAAATGTATAAATCAAAGACCTAGTTACATGAAAAATCTCTCTAATCCAACTAGGCTTTGTCTAAAATATTAGCTGCTGTTTGACTGCCATCTGGCTTGTCTTGGGTTGAATTGTGGTTGGATAATAAAGCACATATCCCACGAAGTCCTTCTGGGGTTTTATGGAATAAGGTCAGGCCCCATAGACCACAATTATAGGCCTCTGATTGGTGGAGCATCTTCCTGGTAAAAAACAAAACAGGTTCAGCCTGTAATTGCCAAGAGCCCCTTTCAGCTAGATAGCTACAGGACATTTGATGGGATCTGCCTTTTTGGAATACTTCTCAAAAATTCTAAAATAAATATAATGCATTATTTATCTTTTGCACTAAAAGTACATTTTAATAAAGGGGAACAGATATGCTAAAAATATATTTTTATAAGTAATTTGTTGATGGTGTCTCTTTTGCTGTTAATGGCAGCTTTTTATTGTGTCTTTAATGCCCAGCTTCCCATCTACAAACCTCAGTGAAGAGGTCGGGGTTGACCAATAAATTTTTCTTTGTAACGATTGCTGGTTGCGGACTGTGCGGCTGTTAGAACTAGTCGTTAGATTAAGTGTGTGTGTCTGGCGTGGTGCAAGGTACAGCATGGCCGCTTCTCGCAGGCTGTGTGCTGCAGACATGTTTAATATTATGCTCTCTGGTTTCAGACTGAGTTGATAGATCTGTCTACTGTAGATGTGATTCTCATCTCTAACTATCACTGTATGATGGCGTTACCATACATCACTGAGCGCACTGGCTTCACCGGAACAGTCTACGCCACCGAGCCGACAGTTCAGATTGGCAGGTAAAATGGAATGCAAAAGTTGCTCATTATTTTATGTTTAAAAAAAAAAAAATCTGTCCTTGTTTAGCTTTACACATCTTTTCCTTATGAAAGAAATGCTGAAATTCAGCAAATAATGTATCATTGCTTTCACCTTCATTAAGATCCTGTGACAAACGATATGTTTTTAAGAAAAAATCACATGATTGATTTATTGTAAAAAAGGTTTTGTTTTTTTAAATGGTTTGTCAATACCGTGACGTAATAAATGTGTTCACCCTTACCTGGTTGAAACGGTGTTCAGATTTAACCAATCCCATTCCAGATTATGCTTAGAGGTCAGCAACCCACTTAAGATTAGCCTTAAATAAAATCACCTGGGTCTTCTTCAAAATGATGTAAATTATCCAAGATCTATGGAATTGAGTTTGTGGTTCTCTTAACAGACCATTCATCAGGAACCTTCCTGCAACTCTCGTGGCTGTTTCTAGATTATAAAGAATACCAGGTACAGCCAAACCTTTGAACGTCATTGTAGATGCCCTGGACATGAAGGCTTTTCATGTAGACGTCTATTAAAAGTTATTTCATATCCAGGTCTTGCCTGGGGTATCCATCAGAAATGCCATTAAGATAATGTGTACTTTAGTGGCTGCCTTACCAGGCAATCCGTGGGCCAAATAACACTCTAGATAGAGGTTGGCAGTAGAAAAGGGATTCTCGATTCCACGCCAGCATAATTTTGATGGATGTTGGAGAGACTGTAAAAGCCATGTTTGGGAACAAGCGAGCATTCTTAGGAGAATATTTGCACATTGCTCTGTAATCAAGTCTTAATTGCTGTTAATTACAGGTCAGTAAGGTTTTGTCCTCTCTGAATAAAAAGGTTTTTGGTACTAAATATAGCCTAAGAAGCATTGCTCAGTTTAGAAATAATTAAATTATGCCAACTTTTTACATTCTCCATATTTCCTCTGGGTCAGATTAATTCTCGCCTGTGTGACTCACAGAGGGGACATTGAGAAATGCAGAGTCTTCATAGTCATTAAATCTGTTCAGAATAGTGAGAATTATTCAGAAACTACTGATAAAAGCATCGCATCTGAATAATTTTCATTGTTTTAAATTGTTAGGAAACCTAGCTCCCATTCCAACTGGGACATGACTTTTAGTGCCATAAATTCCAAAACTTTAAACCAAAATATATATTGACCATAACCTGTTTAAATAACCTCCTTAGCCATTACACTTGGCAGAATGGTCTTTGCTGCTTTTTCGAAGCTGCCAGGGCAACCTTCCTAGGCAGGGTAAAGAATGAATATGTTCCTGGTTTGAATGGAGAACCAGAATAGGGCTATGCAGACTGTGAGGAAGGTGAGCAGGGCAGCATTGTGTCTAGATTGGAGTCCCGTTGTTTTGGATGTGATAAATGCTGACGGGGAACAGGGAGTGAGTTGGAGTATTTGCAGTTTGAGTGAGAAGCCGACAGTCAGTAATGTTGGTGGATGTGGCATGACTAGGTGAGGGATTGGACAAACGTTGAGAGAGCCATGAGTCTCTATCCCTGGTTAGGAAAAATAAAAGCAAAGCTGGTGCCAATGAAGCGATTGCCTTGGATCGTTGAAATCAGATTTAACAATTCTATTTGTTTATTTTTTTCTCCTTTCTGAGCTCTGCCACACCTTTTTCTATTTGCTCTCGGGCTGTAGATATTCGTTTTATCTCTGAACCAAGTGCTTCTTGTCTTTCAGACTCCTTATGGAAGAACTGGTGAACTTCATAGAGCGTGTCCCGAAGGCTCAATCTGCCACCATGTGGAAGCACAAGGAAGTGCAAAGGTACAAATATTTTTACACCAGATTTCTATTCTAAACTAATCCCGGGTTGTTTACTAAAGTGAGCATTTTTTTAGAAATTCAAACTGAATTAAAAATTTTAAACGTCAAAGTAGCTGTACTGGAAAAATATCTTAGATCTTAAAGGAACACTATATAGTGTTAAGAATGCAAACCTGTATTCCTAACATTATAGTCCATGAATAGAGATTTAGGTGACTGCCCCCCCCGAATGGCGTTTAAAAGCTATTTTGCTTATCTTTTTTCCATTGCCGCACTGGTGTCACCGCAGATGGCCCCATCTGCACTGAAATTGGAAGCACCTCTAGTAGCTGTGTGAGTGACGGCACCTCTCTCTGAAATAGGCATTGTTTACATTGCTGAGCCTGCAGTGACATGCTATAGACACCAGAATCACTACATGAAGCCGTAGCTGCTCTGGTGACCATAGTGTCCCTTTAAAGGGGGAGTTGTCTGGAATGTCAGATTTAAACGGTAGCCCTGTGGCAGTTTAATATTTAACGTTGTGTGTGCCAAAGCCCTCATTATATTGCCTTTATAACATTTGTTTTTCATTTATTATTATTTTTTTTTTATTTTTTTTTTACTTTTGTAAAATAAGACATTAGAACTGTCTTGTTAGATTATCTGATGTGTTAGACTAGTCCGCTTTCTGTAACCATTAAACAGAAAGGAAATTTCTAATGACATGCTTGTGATTTGAAAAGGGCTCTCTATAAAGCAGAGTGTTTCACATGCACTAATTTATGTAACATCGTTATCTGTTAATCCTTGTTACACAAATCAGAAATGTATTCAAGGATAACAAATTCTGGAGCTTTTCAAAAAGTTTGCAAAATATAGTAGAATACTTACATTGCTTCCAGGCATTGATTAAACATTTCCCCATATTTGTAAGTGTGAGTGGGGGTGTAACCAGGAGAGGGGCTGTTCTAAGACATTTCAGGTGACTTGCTAATAACAATTTATCCAACTAAAACGTAATTTAGAACAAAAATAGTGTATCTTATTCACACAGACTGATTTCTAAACACATTTATTGTAGTTTAAAGACACATTCCTGGGAGTATTATTGCTGTGGAGCTCTGTTATACACTCAGACACATTACTGGGAGTATTATTGCTGGGGAGCTCTGTTATACACTCAGACACATTACTGGGAGTATTATTGCTGTGGGGCTCTGTTATACACTCAGACACATTACTGGGAGTATTATTGCTGTGGAGCTCTGTTATACACTCAGACGCATTATTGGGAGTATTGTTGCTGTGGAGCTCTCTTATACACTCAGACACATTACTGGGAGTATTATTGCTGTGGAGCTCTCTTATACACTCAGACACATTACTGGGAGTATTATTGCTGGGGAGCTCTGTTATACACTCAGGCGCATTACTGGGAGTATTATTGCTGTGGAGCTCTGTTATACACTCAGACACATTACTGGGAGTATTATTGCTGTGGAGCTCTGTTATACACTCAGACGCATTACTGGGAGTATTATTGCTGTGGAGCTCTGTTATACACTCAGACACACAAACTATATGGAGCTCCTAGAAAAGGACAGAGGGACATTTGGGAGCTCTGGATTCAGGGACACTCTCACAGTTGTACTTCTTTAGTTGCAATAACAAAGCTAGTTATTAAAACTCCTTCCGGTCATTTTTCTCACTGGTACAGTGAAATATGAATACAAATGTGACTTGAGCGTGGATATTGAAATACAAAGAATTGTTTGTCTCCTAAAATTTGTATAATGCATAGATATCCAAAACATTCCAGAAAATTACATTTCTAGTTTCAATCTCTTTTTACATCTGGATGTAGATTTTTAAAGTCAAAACAAAGGGTACTTGAGTGAAATGTTGGGACATTATTGGTTTCCATGGTGATTGCCCCTTATTTAGAAACGTCCCCCAGAATAGCAACTGTTTGTGCCGTAATAAATCTGCCCCATACATCACACCTCTGCATTTATTAATCTGTACTTATTGTTAATATGTTATAAACCCTTCCCTGTGGACTTTTTGGGTGTAATGGATAGGGGATCCATGCACCCCGCTATGCCTGAACTGGATTGTGAAGTCAGTTGCTAAATCTTCAGTATAAAGTTAAATCAAGTTATGTGATTTTTCGATGTTGCAACACAGAGAAGTGATGATTCCCCTTTAACTAGATAGGAGACAGATTCTGTCCTAAGACGACCCTTTGTGCTAAAAGCACATAATCTATACTTTCCGACGCAATGATGGTATTCGCTTTTTAAAGTGATGGCAAGTACTTAGCAAACCTTTCCTGAAAGTTTATCCTGTGAATCAATGTTATTTGAAGCAATTCCCCGTGTAGAATTTCACCGGCCTGATAACCATGAAAGCTTGTTATAAGTGGTAGAGGTTTTATCAACTAATGGCGTCTGTATTAATGCTCTGGAAAGCAATTTATCCTTGCAATCCTTGGCAGTGGTTTACGGATCACTTTGTTTGTGCTAAAGACTTGTTTCAAGGTTGTCCGTCATTCTCTGCACATATTGAGGGATCGGTGGGCTGTATCAGAGAGGATACTGCAGTCAGAATAACTACTTAAAGGGGAAAAGCCACCAACGATGGTCTATAATTATTTATGGTATTCTCTGTGGAACTTGAACAATTGCTTTTGTTTTTCGTTCTGTTACCTTCAAGTTTTGCTTGTACAAACTCCTCCCAATGGGGAAAACCTACATATTGACCTAATGGTTATTTTCTGTCCAGGAAAACTGTTTCCAATTCCGTTCTGTTTGGCCATTATAAGGGATAAACTGAAGGGACTGATGCTCACAGTAACCATTACAAAGTTGGGCTTGCTGTGTGTGCTGCAGCCCCCTTCACCATCGTGACAGTCACAGCTCTGCTCTCTTTTAATGATAAAAGGTACACTATTAACGATACTCTGAGTACTGTAGGTTGTCATGACTTCATTGGTTCCTGTAACCATTTGTAGTGGTCTCCTTTTATTATTAAATTTACCCCTTCATATTACTGTAAAGTAAAGCTCATTAAGTATATAAATGCCAATAATAATGTAACACTCACTCACTGGTTGGAGTAGTGCTCCCCCCACCATACCTATAATTCATAAAGCATGTACTCACAGCGTGGAGGGAGAATGGGTCTGTCCCTGCACACCCACTGATCACTTTGTTAATGGGTTTTCTAAATTAAGCCATAGATGGGTAGAAAAAGTATCCTCTTTGTGACCAATCTGTGCATGGCCTGGATTGACTACAAGAAAGCCTATTACACAATGCCACACACATGGATGATGGAATGCTTGTCTCTCTACAAAGTCAGCAAGACATTAAGAGCCTTCATCGAGAACTCAACAAGTGGACAACAACTCTAGAAGTCAATTCCAGGACCATAACTCACATAAACTTCAAATGTGGCATATACCAAGGTGAGGCACAATCTCCAATGCTGTTCTGCATAGGCCTTAGCTAGATCATCAAGAAGAGTGGATATGGATACAGGTTCAAGAGTGGAGCTACCATCAGCTACCTACTCTACATGGATGACCTCAAGCTGTATGCCAAGACCGAGCGGGAAATTGACTCACTGATCCACCTAGCTAGGATATACAGCAAGGACATCGGAATGTCGTTAGGAGTGCTGGCGGATGATAACAAAAAGAGGGAGGATCATCAGGACAGAAGGAATTGAAGTTCCAGAAGGCCAAATAGAAGATGTAGAGAACAGCTACAAGTACTTGGGGGTACCACAAACAAATGGCAAACATGAGGAAGAGGCAAGGAGGATAGCGACATCCACATACCTCCAAAGAGTGAGACAGGCCCTGAAGTCCCAGCTCAGTGGCAAGAACAAGATCCAAGTGATCAACACATATGCCCTAGCAGTCATCAGGTACCCATCTGGAATACAATTTTGGACAAGAGAAGACCTGGTCACCATGGATGTCAAGACTTGGAAACTACTCATCCTGAATTCCACCTGCAATCTAGCATCCAGAGACTGTACATCTGACGGAAGGAAGGAGGTCGGGGCCTGATGAGTGTCCAGGTCCTGGATGAAGCTCAGAGCATCCACAAGTACATCACGAAGATGGCTCCCAAAGATGACCTGCTAAGGGAATGCCTGAGACAACAACAGATAGAGGAGGCCCCTTGGCAAGACAAATCTCTCCATGGGGTTTACCACCGACAGATAGGATTTCGTCATGTAGGCAACATCCACTACCAGTGGTTGCAAAAGGCAAGACTGAAAGACTGTAGTGAGGCACTAATCCTAGCACCACATGAACAGACACTCTGCACCAGATCAATAGAAGCAGGAGTCTACCACACCAGGCAAAACCCAAGTTGCCAATTGTGCAAAGAGGCCTCTGAGATAGTCCAGCACCTAGTAGTCTGATGCAAGATGTTAGCAGGAACAGCATACACAGAGAGACACAACCAAGTTGCTGAGATTGTGTACCGAAACCTCTGCACAGAATATGGATTGGACCTGCCTAAGTCAGATGGGCGTTACCACAAAGGGTAGTTGAGAATGACAGGGCAAAGATCCTGTGGGATCCAGACAGAGAAGCAAGTGCTGGCGAACCGACCCGACATTATGATGGTAGACAAGGAACGGAAGACCGCAGTAGTGGTGGATGTGTCAGTGCCTAGTGACTATAACATCAGGGAGAAGGTGGATTAATACCAAGGACTGAAAGAAGAACTAGAAAGGATGTGGAAAGGGAAGGCAGTAGTAGTCCCAGTTGTGATAGGCGCACTTGGGGCTGTGACTCCCAAGTTGGGGTAGTGGCTTCAACAGATTCCAGGTGGGACATCCGAGATCACTGTACAGAAGAGTGCAGCTCTTGGAACAGCGAAGATACTGTGCAGAACCCTCAAACTCCCAGGCCTCTGGTAGAGGACCCGAGAATGGGAAATAAACATACCACCCAGGAGGGGTGAGAATCTGTTTTATATCCTCTCTATATATCTATCTCTTAATACACATTGCTTGTTATTGACAGTCATTCAAACAAAACTGGTAAAGGGAATGCCTGTCAATAACAAGCAATATGTATTACGATGTTTTTGGGGTTTTTTCCCCCTCATTACGTGCATAGTAGAATAGTAATATGGGCTTAAAAAAAGCGATACGTCCAAGTTCAACCCTTGTTTATTATGTAAAGGTTACTGTTTCCTTCCATGGCCCATGTTAGAAAGTTCTGGTTGCTGACATGCTCTGTTTGTACATGGTGCCCCTTCTGTGCCTATTAAAGTGTTTTTTTGTTGTTGTTTTTTTAATATTTTTCTCTTAAAGAGAGTAAAGTGTTCTATTATTATTATCATTATTATTTTTGTCATTTATATAGCGCCAATAGATTCCGTAGCGCTTTACAATATTATAAGAGGGGGTTTTATGTAGGACAATTACAAGAAAACTTACAGGAACGAAGGCTTGAAGAGGACCCCGCTCAGGCAAGCTTACAGTCTATAGCAGGTGGGGTATAAAACGCGTTAGGACAGGAAATAGTAGTCAAATTAGGTGGGAGTGACTAGAGTGCTGCCCTTTAGGAGAGAGCAAGAGAGAGGTATGTGAGGCAGAGGTTACTCTGGGAGGCCATAAGCTTTCCTAAAGAGATTGGTTTTAAGGCACTTCTTAAATGATTGAAGACTAGGGGAGAGTCTGATGGTGGAGGGCAGACTATTCAATAGGAAGGGAGCCGTCCACGAGAAGTCCTGCAAGCGTGAGTTGGCCATACGGGTGTGAGCAGCGGACAGGAGAAGTTCACGGGCAGAGTGGAGAGACAGAGAACGGTCATACCTATGGATCTGTGAGGGTATATGAGGGGCTAGAATTGGTCAATGCTTTATAGGTATGGGTTAGAACTTTGCATTGACACCTATAGGATGCAGGAAGCCAATGTATGGACTGATAGAGGGGGTGAGGTGTGAGAGGATCGACTAGAGAGGAAAATCAGTCTGGCGGCAGCATTCATTAGACTGTAGTGGGGCAATACAGTTTTTGTGAAGACCAATTAGGAGAGGGTTATGTGGGAAATTACTAGAGCATGGACAAGCTCCTTAGTAGCATCTTGCATAAGAAAGGGGCAGATGCGGGCTATGTTTTTAAGATGGGCTCTACAGGACTTGGTAACATGCTGGATGTGAGGCTCAAAGGCGAGGCCAGAATAAAGTATGGTGCCAACACCACGTGCTTGCAAGGATAGGCTGATATGGATACCACTAATTTGAAGGGAGAGCGAAAGAGGAGGATCAGTATTAGGAGGAGGAAAGGCAAGGAACTCCATTTTAGAGAGATTTAGTTTCAGAAATTGGGAGGACATGGAAGATGGAATAGTCAGAGATGGAAGAAAGGCAAGCAGTGACACGTTGCAGGATGGCAGGGGAGAGGTCTGGGTCGGAGAGATCTATCTGGGTGTCATCATAAGGCACAGGTGGTAGTGGAATTCAACTGAGGTAATACGTTTGCCAAGAGTGGCAGTATAAAGAGAAAATAGAAGGGGACCAGGGACAGAGCCTTGGGGGACTCCAACCGAGACAGGACGAAGGGAGGAGGCATCATTAGAAAATGAGACACTGAAGTGGACCAGTCAGTGGGGGAATATTTTTGTTTCCATGATGACTTCTCCACATTCAGAATTTTGCTCCATTTTGTTCTGTCGATAAATACCTCTTTCATGGCTTTCTCTCTAAATTCCAGGCTGCTTCCTGCCCCCCTAAAGGACGCTGTTGAGGTATTTACCTGGAAGAAGTGCTACACAATGCAGGAAGTCAATGCTGCTTTAAGCAAGATTCAGCTGGTTGGATATTCCCAGAAAATAGTGAGTATCAAGTGGAGTTGCTACTGGGATTCATAGTCTCACTCTGTGTATTTAGTGTATATTGAGGGCCACAGCAGCTCTGCTCAGAAACAGTGAGTCGCGATTTCCAGTTTCTTTTTTACAAAGACCGACAATATATGGCTCTAGCTTGATAGCCCAATTCTACGGAGCAATACTTCAAATGGGTCTTCCCAAGAGGTTCCATCACACTGTGCAGTCCACCCTGATTTATGTCCCTGTTCCAATCAAAGGGCGATCAATAAAATGGGAAGAAATCTATACAACTCTTAATACTTATGTGCCTTTTTGTACCACCTCTTAAATTTACCTTTTTAGGAGGAGATTTGAAGACATCTCTTTCTGCCAGATGCCCAATGTAGAATTAGTCTGTATGTTTTGGTGAATTGCAAAATAAAGGGCTTTTTCTCTTCAAACCATACTATTTTAGCATAAATTCTTCAACTCCTTGTTAATCTACCATTTTCTTACCGGTTTAGTGAATAAATCTGTTATTCAAGGGGGGGAAAATAGGGGGAATGCTATTATTATATTGTTTACATTTTTGGTCCGTCTGTCTGTCACTTGTGTAGCGTCCACAGCCCAGTTTCCCCTCTTTTTTTTTTTTTTTTTATATATGTGGATACCAACTTGTTTGATCCTCACTTTCCTTGCTTTTTTCATCACTTGTTTGCCAGTGAAGTGAACATTTGATTCAGATGGCAGATTGAACCTCCTTACTTTTCCTATAACCAGGGCTTAATATTTCCACTAGCTATTGGCAAGTGAAAATCCAGCCCCAGTGAATCAGAATTCACCTTTGGCAAGTGGGCCATGGACCCTCCAGACTTGTAGTGGCTAGTAACTTTTACAGTCTGACTAATGGTTCTTCAATAAATGCCCTTAAACACAAAATAAGTTGCGATACTTTTGATCCAGCATTTGTAAGATAATAATGTTGGTTTATGTATTTTTGCCTCTGATCATTCTTTTCCTCCTTTTGGTGTCTTGAAGGAGCTGTTTGGCGCAGTGCAAGTTACACCTCTAAGTTCTGGTTACGCCCTTGGCAGCTCCAACTGGATCATCCAGTCCCACTATGAGAAGGTTTCTTATGTGTCTGGATCTTCGCTTCTTACCACTCACCCGCAGGTGCTAACTCTCTCTATTCATCCCTCCCAACTGTGTTCTGTATTCATTAATTTGCCGGTGGTTCTAAATAACTGCATATAAATGAAGTACATGTAAACACATGCTTAAAGGCACTCAATCGCAACCGTGTAATTTGCAACGGCCTCTGTACCTGAGAAAAGATTGCTACATGTTCCTGGATGCACAGTGTCTGAGAATAGATTGCTACATGTTCCTGGATGCATAGTGTTTCAGAATAGATTGCTACATGTTCCTGGATGCATAGTGTTTGAGAATAGATTGCTACATGTTCCTGGATGCATAGTGTTTGAGAATAGATTGCTACATGTTCCTGGATGCATAGTGTTTGAGAATAGATTGCTGCATGTTCCTGGATGCATAGTGTTTGAGAATAGATTGCTACATGTTCCTGGATGCATAGTGTCTGAGAACAGATTGCTGCATGTTCCTGGATGCATAGTGTTTGAGAATAGATTGCTACATGTTCCTGGATGCATAGTGTCTGAGAATAGATTGTTACATGTTCCTGGATGCACAGTGTTTGAGAATAGATTGCTACATGTTCCTGGATGCATAGTGTTTGAGAATAGATTGCTGCATGTTCCTGGATGCATAGTGTTTGAGAATAGATTGCTACATGTTTCTGGATGCACAGTGTCTGAGAATAGATTGCTACATGTTCCTGGATGCATAGTGTTTCAGAATAGATTGCTACATGTTCCTGGATGCATAGTGTTTGAGAATAGATTGCTACATGTTCCTGGATGCATAGTGTTTGAGAATAGATTGCTACATGTTCCTGGATGCATAGTGTTTGAGAATAGATTGCTACATGTTCCTGGATGCACAGTGTCTGAGAATAGATTGCTACATGTTCCTGGATGCATAGTGTTTGAGAATAGATTGCTACATGTTCCTGGATGCATAGTGTTTCAGAATAGATTGCTGCATGTTCCTGGATGCATAGTGTTTGAGAATAGATTGCTACATGTTCCTGGATGCACAGTGTCTGAGAATAGATTGCTACATGTTCCTGGATGCATAGTGTTTCAGAATAGATTGCTACATGTTCCTGGATGCATAGTGTTTGAGAATAGATTGCTACATGTTCCTGGATGCATAGTGTTTGAGAATAGATTGCTGCATTTTCCTGGATGCATAGTGTTTGAGAATAGATTGCTACATGTTCCTGGATGCACAGTGTCTGAGAATAGATTGCTACATGTTCCTGGATGCATAGTGTCTGAGAATAGATTGCTACATGTTCCTGGATGCACAGTGTCTGAGAATAGATTGCTACATGTTCCTGGATGCATAGTGTTTGAGAATAGATTGCTACATGTTCCTGGATGCATAGTGTTTGAGAATAGATTGCTACATGTTCCTGGATGCATAGTGTTTGAGAATAGATTGCTACATGTTCCTGGATGCATAGTGTTTCAGAATAGATTGCTACATGTTCCTGGATGCACAGTGTCTGAGAATAGATTGCTACATGTTCCTGGATGCATAGTGTTTCAGAATAGATTGCTACATGTTCCTGGATGCATAGTGTCTGAGAATAGATTGCTACATGTTTCTGGATGCATAGTGATGCACAGTGTTTGAGAATAGATTGCTACATGTTCCTGGATGCATGCATAGTGTTTGAGAATAGATTGCTACATGTTCCTGGATGCATAGTGTCTGAGAATAGATTGCTACATGTTCCTGGATGCATAGTGTCTCAGAATAGATTGCTGCATGTTCCTGGATGCATAGTGTTTGAGAATAGATTGCTACATGTTCCTGGATGCACAGTGTCTGAGAATAGATTGCTACATGTTCCTGGATGCACAGTGTTTGAGAATAGATTGCTACATGTTCCTGGATGCATAGTGTTTGAGAATAGATTGCTACATGTTCCTGGATGCACAGTGTTTGAGAATAGATTGCTACATGTTCCTGGATGCATAGTGTTTGAGAATAGATTGCTGCATGTTCCTGGATGCATAGTGTGTAAAGGAAATGTAACGGACTAAGTCTGCTACATGTCTGCATCCACCCCCGAGAGCCACTAACTAGCAGTGTTTCGAAGAACATGGTACTGTGAGTGCACGCATGCTCCATTTCTGCATTAGTCTCCTCCCACAGCGCAGAGTAATCGGTCGATATATAGTTTCCTTACTTGGTGAGAATCTGTGACTTGGAACATATTATATAAAGTCCCTTCCATGTTTTTTTACGACTCGTAGCCTCTCACAGCGTGGACAGAAATCCCTTTTTTCAGTTTAGACACCATTTCAGTGTGCACTGTGTGTTCTCCTATCCCTTACACGCTAGTTGGGGTTTCTAAACCTCTTCTTGGAGTATTTTAAGTGATTTATATATGGTTTTCAGATGCCTAATCCTGCTTCTCCAGTCTCCTAAGCCCATAGCTGTGTTTAAATCTAGCATCTACTCCACTTAACGTGCAAATCCCATTACCAGAAAGGTGTATAAAGAAATGTTATTCTTCTTATCCTGGTATCAAAATAATTTGTAGCCAACTGTTACAGAAGTTCAGTGTGCGGCTATCCAATCTCTGGTAAATCACCCGTGTACCTCCTTCCCAGCACAGAGTCTAGGTAATCGGAAAAATAACTTCTGATTCCATTTTATCAACTGAAGATTGTTCAGACTCCTCCTCTGTAGTTCCCTCTGGATCTTTCTATGGATGAAGAAGCTGGGTTTCCATAAATTCAGAAGACTCTGTTATCTGACCAACTGTGGCTCAAACTAACAGTGTTTGCACTGTGTGAAATTGCAGCAGGAGGCAAGTTAGGGTGAGCACCAATTGATCAGATAACGGTAGCGTTTGAACCAACATGACCGCTCAGCCTGATTAAAAAAAAAAAAAAGGGACATTTTCCCCAAATTAATGTACATCATTTAAAAAAATAAATAAAAAATGTACTTTCATAAAATAAAATTTTAAAAGGTAACAAGAAGTGAAAATGTAATGACCGTTGTCCTTTAAGTTCTAGCGCCTCACTCCGTACAGAACCGGCTGGTTTTTGTAATTGTTTGAACAACATAGTACTACTTAAATCCTGGCCAGAATGTTCCAAATCTGTGCACAAATGTTAAATATATGAACTGTTTGCCCACTGCTTACACCATTGTGAGCTCTTTGGGTTAAATTGCTCGTAAGCGATTTTCACCTCTTAAAGGGACACTGTAGACATTGTGTCTGCTTCATCTCCTTAAACTGGTCATAGTGTCTGGGGTCCCCTGGTACCCGTTGTCTTTCAGCATTAAACAGGGGTTTTTTTGGTTGTTTTTTTTTTAACTGTTTTTATGTTTTAATCCTAAGCGAGAGTCCCAAGCAGCCCATCCCATCTGTGCTGCTTTAGCTAATGAGGAAGTATTCACCTGAGCAGCAATGGGCCGCTGTGATAGGCTAAAAGCAGTCACTCTCAGCCAATCAGAGCTCCAACTGATGGTATGAATGGGTATGACTAAAAGGAAGTGTGTAATTTCTGCCTTAGCCACACCTCCAGTAGGGGCGGGGTTATAGGAAGCCAGGGAAACTTATTCAGTGTTTAACTGCTCTTAACTTCTCTAATGCCTGTTAATACTGAATAGAGGGACAGTGCCAGGGTACTCCATCCACTATAACCAATTCAAAGATATGAAATGCTTATAGTTACTACAGTGTCTATATAAGGTAAGACAGTGTGCAGGACCTCCAGGCACTATAACCACTTGATTGATATGAAGTCATTATGATGGCCGGGTATTTGAGGCAGTACAAGTTATTGTGTGTGTAACTTTTTGTACTGTGGGATAATTTGCTGTTTTCCTGAAAGTAGCAGGTGGTTGGGGACGACCCACTACTTATATCATTACGTCTGCGGTGGTCATGTGTCTATATGTGAGGTTACTATCACAGATACAAGTAACACTAGGGGGAAAAGAATTTACAATAAATTGTAAAAATCTGCTTTTAATCAATAATGCAATATTCTGTTGCACAACATTTAATGGGTAACAGATCTGAAAAAATGAAGTTAATGTTTATTTTGTTAATAATAGTTTAACCATCATATAGTTTGGTGGAGCACTTGGGAAAACTTAAAAACACATGGGGAGGATTTTTGTGTTTATTTTTCCCCTGTGAAGAATGTTCTTTTTAAAAAGTGCTTTTCCTCCCCCATTCAATCCCCTGTTTGTTACATATCCACCAGTGCGTAGTGTGGTACAAATAAGTGTGTCTAAATAAAATGTGTCAACATGTGACAGTCTCTTCTGTTTTAGGCCATGGATCAGGCATCTCTGAAAAACAGTGATGTCCTCATCCTTACGGGTCTCACCCAGATCCCGACAGCCAATCCCGACGGAATGGTGGGCGAATTCTGCAGTAATCTTGGTAAGCAAAACCCAGCGGGATTGGTTATAATCACCTGTGATAGAACTAGGGAGATGTTTAGCAGCAGACAGCTTTATGTCTGTAAATCAGGGTAAACTGAATTGGGGATTACCACTGGAGGGTAACCTCTGTTATTGCCAGGCTGCCATTAGATTCCTGATACTCCCAATGAAAATACATTCTGTGTTCTTTTCTGTCATTGGATTCACTAACTTTTCTATCCGATGTCCCTGTGCAGCAATGACCATAAGGAATGGCGGCAATGTTCTGGTGCCGTGTTATCCGTCAGGGGTGATCTATGACCTGCTGGAGTGTCTGTACCAATACATTGACTCTGCGGGACTCTCCAGTATCCCTTTCTACTTCATCTCTCCGGTGGCTAACAGCTCCCTGGAATTCTCCCAGATCTTTGCAGAGTGGTGAGTTTCGGACACGTGGTCACTGAGTCAGTGCTTGTCTGCTCTGCCATTAACTCCGCTTCCTAACACTGCAGATATGGACTGACATGATAACAGAATTAGAGTTGGCTTCTGAGCACGGCCACCACAATCTTGCTAATTTAGCCAGCACAGACACTCAGGTTTGTCATAGAGTTGAGGATCCACAGTATTCTGCATTTTACATTCCTGAGCTCATTACAGATTTCTTTTCTCTCTAATTATCCTCTGGTCCTGCCACTCAGGGCATATAATGCTGTATAAACACACATTGCACAAATATTAATACACCCTGGGATCATTCCACAAGGGGGAGCTGATGGGGTAGTGTACCTGTGTGCCTTATTCTAGGTCCCTGATCCTTGTTCACCACCATTAATGTAGCAGGGACTATTCTGATTTCTCACTGGAATCTTTTATTGGGAGTATTTTAGCTCCCTGGGGATCTGCTTAATTTATCTTGTGTATTAAAGTTACAGAACACTTTCTGTACCAGAAACATCTATAAGGTACTTGTAGAGTAAGGAGCTGCCCAAACTGGCAATCAAAGGATTGGATGAAACAAATCTATATTTTATCATTTGTAATGTACATCGTTCACCACCAGAATGCAGCAGAGTGTAGAATAAAGGGTTTCCTCTCATTCCTTATTAGGCTCTGTCAGAACAAGCAGAGTAAGGTGTACCTGCCGGAGCCCCCGTTCCCCCACGCAGAGGTAAGTCCTTTCTTTATTGAATTCAGGGCTCACGTGAAGATTATTACGCAGAGCTGCACTAATGCTGGTGGTTCTAAACTGTGTTGTAAGCATTCCATGTAAAATAATAGAACTGATATTAACTGGACCCTTAGAACTCTATAAAACCAGTGCTCGCAGTGTTTCTGGGGTCTGTCCGCTGCCTGGATCAGCCCAGCGATGGGCAGGAACACACTCTTCTGCTCTGTTATCTATTCATTCTGTCTGTGTTCCAGCTCATCCAAACCAACAAACTGAAGCACTATCCCAGCATACACGGAGACTTCAGCAATGACTTTAAACAGCCCTGTGTGGTGTTTACAGGACACCCCACACTGCGCTTTGGAGATGTGGTGCATTTTATGGAGCTGTGGGGCAAATCCAGCCTGAACACAGTTATATTTACTGGTATGTTAGTGTGCAGTGATCTAAACGCAGTGTATATTCCAGTGGGTATGTTAGTGTGCAACGTATATTCACTGGTATGTTAGTGTGCAGTGTATATTCACTGGTATGTTCGTGCCCGTGATCTGTGAGCAGTGTATATGTTGGTGTAAAGTAAGCTAAGCATGGGTATATTCTATGTAGCGCACACTATCCTATTCACTGGCACATATTGGACGTGTAGGAAAATGAGCATAGTAAAATTCACATAAAACAGCATTTTGTTATGCTCATTTTTTTTTTTTTTTTTAACTTTCCAGGGATTTTATTTGTGGGACAGTCTGTTTTTTAATCTTTATGTGTTCTGAAAATAAAGATTTGTATTACCTACCTGCACAAAGTTCCAGTGGATTTCATACCTACACCTTGTCACTGCATCCTGGGAGCAGCCTTGCAGTGCTTCCCAAGTGAGCCTGAATGTTTTGATCAGTACGTTCATACCTACACCTCGTCACTGCATCCTGAGAGCTTCCTTGCAGTGCTTCCCAAGTGAGCCTGAATGTTTTGATCAGTACGTTCATACCTACACCTCGTCACTGCATCCTGAGAGCTTCCTTGCAGTGCTTCCCAAGTGAGCCTGAATGTTTTGATCAGTACGTTCATACCTACCCCTCGTCACTGCATCCTGGGAGCTGCCTTGCAGTGCTTCCCAAGTGAGCCTGAATGTTTTGATCAGTACGTTCATACCTACACCTCGTCACTGAATCCTGGGAGCTGCCTTGCAGTGCTTCCCAAGTGAGCCTGAATGTTTTGATCAGTACGTTCATACCTACACCTCGTCACTGCATCCTGGGAGCAGCCTTGCAGTGCTTCCCAAGTGAGCCTGAATGTTTTGATCAGTACGTTCATACCTACACCTCGTCACTGAATCCTGGGAGCTGCCTTGCAGTGCTTCCCAAGTGAGCCTGAATGTTTTGATCAGTACGTTCTCTGTTTGCGAGTGACCATTGTACTTTTTTTATATTTGTTTATTTCTGATGGTTGTATGTGCTCTTTATCCCTCTTTTTATATCTGCTGATTTATTCCAAATTATTGTAAGTGCACTCTCAATCTGTGTGTGCGTTTTATCAATTCTTGGAGCGTGCCATTTAAAGGTATAGTACATATTATGCATGTAGTGTTTATAGTGCCTCCATGCTGAGCACAGATGGATCTCTGCAGAAATATCTGAATGTAAAGCTGGTGCCTATATACATAGACATAGGATCGAGACCTCCATCTAAAAGCAAGGACATGAAATAGTTGGTAGTACTTTGTCTCCCCCTCCCCTTATATCAAGTTCATTTTGTTCCCCTGCTAGCAGGATGATGAAATCCACTTTATTTTGGTGACTGCACCTAAAAACATTCCAAAGTTTGAGACTGTGATGTCACTTATGATGTATTTTGACAGTTTATGTATTTGTATTCTCTTTTTAGAGCCAGATTTTTCGTACCTGGATGCCTTGGCCCCATATCAGCCTCTTGCAATGAAATGTGTCTATTGTCCTATTGACACCCGGCTGAATTTCATTCAGGTTACTAAGCTTCTTAAGGAAGTACAGGTAAGACGCGTTTCATTCTTTAACAGAGCAGGATTCAAACCATTGTATACGGAAACCGTAATATAAAGCTTTGCTAGGGTCTTCTAAATTAAACCAGCAATTAAAGGAAAACCGCACGCAGAAATTACAACCTTTTTTTTATATCTGAAAAAGCAAAAAAAAAAAAAAACTCATGTGTTTTATGGGATAAGTAGTTTATTCCCAAGAGAAGTTCCACACATTCCTCCCGAGAGGATAGAGCACAGCGCTGCAAACAGCATAGTCAAAAAACAGAACTCATGTTACAGCTTGGACAAACAAGCATATAGTGTTTTTTTGGGGGGGGGGGTTTATATTTATTTTTTTTATCGATGATAAGATTATATAATTATTTTAACATTACGAATTGTGGTTCTTCATTACTGACAATCTGACATTGATTCACAGAGGGCATAGCGCACCCTGTGGTCAGTTTCTGCACAGAGAGTGGAGGAGACAAAACCCATGTTTCTCCTTCTCCAACACAGTGTGTGCCTTGGTTGTGCCAGGACTGAGCTGGATGTGATATCATTTAGCACATTTTTCTCTTTGTCTCTATTGTTTTGTTTTTAGCCACTCAATGTTGTGTGTCCAGAGCAGTACACACAGCCTCCGGCCTCCCAGGCTCACCGATCGGACCTCATGATAGACTGCCAACCAGCGCCCATGTCCTACCGCAGAGCTGAAGTCCTCACACTTCCTTTCAAACGACGTTTCGAGAAAATTGAACTCGTCCCAGAAGTGAGTTTTAGCAGTCTTGCAACTTTTCACGAGTGGATGGCATTCTATGGAGCTTGTAATGAGTGGGTGGAGCTGTGAGGTTTGTAGCGGGTGGAGCTTCTTGTGGGTGGAGCTGTATGAAGCTGGTGAGTGGGTGGGGCTGTATGAAGCTGGTGAGTGGGTGGGGCTGTGATGGTAGTGGGTGGAGCTTGTTTTCAGTGGAGGTGTATGAAGCAGGTGGGTGGGGCAGTGAGGTTTGTAGTGGGTGGGGCTTGTTTTCAGTGGAGCTGTATGAAGCTGGTGAATGGGTGGGGCTGTGAGGTTTGTAGTGGGCGGGGATGTGGGTGGTGCTGTCTGAAGCTGGTGGGTGGGGCTGTGAGATTTGTAGCAGGTGGAGCTTGTTGTGGGTGGAGCTGTATGAAGCTGGTAATGAGTGGCTGTGAGGTTTGTAGTCGGTGGGTGGGGCTTGTGGCTGGGGCAGTATAGAGCTTTAACGGGGGGCTCTATGAGGTTTGTAGTGGGTGGAGCTTGTCATGAGTGGGTGTGGCTGTATAGACTAGTGAGCTGCCTTGAGTGGTGGATTTGTAAGTGGACTGTATACGTTTTTCCAGGTTGTTTTTATATTGCAATAATTGGTGATCGTTCGTCCAAGTCAAAGCAACCGTAGCCTTTTCTTGAAGGGCCTTGTGCTATGTCTTATTTTCTGCTTTTTCATCTTGATTGAAGATCCTTCTTGTTCCCTTTTATTTCTGGATTATTTAGCTTGCAGAAACCCTGGTACCGGTGGTATTTAAACCAGGTATTTCCTTGGCAACCATTTCTGCTGTTCTGTATACGAAGGACAACAAGCATGTCCTGCAGGTAAGGTTTAATGGCTCCACCAACAAAGGTACCTGCGCGTGTATCGCTGAGATTGTGTTTATAAGCTATTTAATTACTCAAAATTAGCTGTGTGAACTTGAAGGGGGTGTTTGCGTATATATATATATTATCTTTATTTTATATCTTTTTACACTTTTATGAATAAACCGTGATCTGATTATTGACTTAAAAGTGATAATGTAAAGAGACAATCCACTGTTTAAATACAACAAAATGTCTTTGTGCACATATTGTGCATGCCCCACTTCCTAGCATTGCTAGTTAAGGTTTGTCGTCTGTCTCTGCCATGCTTGTAGTCTTTACAGCATAATAGCACCAGGAGGCACGTTCGTAATGTCCATCGTGCATAAATATTGCCTATTCCTGCTGCTTAGTAATTTTATTTTCACTGCTTCACTTCCTTGAACTGCGAGCTGCTCTGTTTTTAACCTGTTACACATTAAATACTTTGCAATTTGTTGCACTGAAGAATTAACACTGAAATGGTAAAAATCGAGTAAGTTCAGGATACTTATTGGCAGTTCATGCCCTTGGGAATGCTTTAAGCCACGTAACAAAGTGTTTACGGTAATTAAGAATAGGTTCAAGGTCGGCCTTCACAAAGTAGTTTGATATTTTGGTGTCTTGTTGGAAACCATTAGATTTACCAGACTATCTCCCCACAAAAATAAATTCTGATCCTTTTTATTTCTATATTAGATTGCTCCAAAACCCGCACAGGCCCAGAATCAATCTGGCAAAAAAAGGAAGAAGCCTGCAGAAGAAATCCCAGAGATCCAGCCATTTAAGCCATGTCTTAGTGGATCCATCCCCGTTGAACAGTTTGTGCAGACCCTGGAGAAGGTAACTGTAACTCTAGTAAAGGTCAATGTCCTCTGCCGCAGTCAGCCACTAGGACGCTGTCTACATTAAGTGTGGACATCTAGACTAGTGTAGAGGCAAAAGCTAACTTTTTATATTTTTATTTTATTTGAGGCATAATGTAAAATAAGATCACAATAAAAGCTGATCTACATCAGATCAACAGTTGAGAGGCAAACAATTAACAAAACGGCACGTAATTAAGTAATGATACTCTTGGGAGGAAGAAAAAACCCTGAAAAACAAGACTTGGATATATGGCTACGCAGACCAAGCACAAGCAGGAATCCCAGAATGCAAGGAATTACCGCTAGCGTCAGGAGATACATACACTCTTAAGATAAAGTGTCAGCCACACAGTTTTATATAATAATGCTAACTATTACTAGTCACTTGTAGGAATACCAAGAACCTATAATGGCATCATCTTAATTTATGAAGGTCGTTTGCTATTCTCATGCTTTTACTGATAACTATAACCACCAGGTATAGGCCAAATTAAACCGAATGGAAGAACTTGCAATATAGGATGTAATCCTCGGATGAGTAACTCCTCAGGAAGAACTAACTGTAAAAATTTAATTAAAATTTTTTTATCCGACACCCAAATGTGGAAAGCTGCTCTGAAATGACACTTCTCCGGGCCATAGTAAGAACCAACACCACTGAGCCCTCCAACCAGAGCCGTTGAGTTAAAGTTCCAATAGAGTCCCAAGACACTGAGATCCTCCTGAGGTTGTGGTGGTGTGCAGGGTTCTTGACCCGGAGGGTAAATAATGGGCCGAGGACGGTATAGCTGTGGTTGAGTTGAGGTAAGTTGGAGTCCAGGATTGTGGATACATTACCAAAATCAATCAAAAATATCATCAAGGGTTAAGATGTTTTGTTTCGCAATGAAGCTCATGAGGCCATATTGGAATTGACTGCGATGAAAGTGCCCAGGTTAAAGCATGTCTATATTGTAGACAAGCACTGAATAACACCTTCATTTTGGGGACTGGGATAACCCCCAACTGGTCAATAAAAGGGAAGGGGGGGGGGAGGCGCACAGGCAGGATTCCACAATCCTCTCCAGGCCGGGAAATCGGCCATGTCTCCTGTCAACAGACCTCACCAGCCAAACTAGGCCGCAGTAATGCGAGCCACGATGATGCCCCAAATTAGGTGCAATGCTGGACAGACTTGCAGCAGTCACTTTAACGGTGTGACCAATCCAATCAGAGGACCAAATGTGAGGCAGGTAGATCAATAAGTCGCTGAATATGCAATCTAGCAGAACAGCTACAGTGAAGTGTGTCTTTTCAGCGAGGCAGTCAGTCCCCACTCTTCCAACGTTTAACATTTAATGAAAAATTAAAATGGCAAATCTGGCTTTGTTTAGACATTTGCTTTCTGTATTTGTTTATAGGTTAGTGACATGGTGTGGAGAAAGTGAGGTTTGCAACAGATACTGGTTGACTTCATTAAAGTGGCATCCATTCATTGCACTATATTTAAAAGGGCATTTATAGCACCCTAATTACTATACAGCTCTAAACAAAGTGTTTTATAATTATTATTATAAATAATCTTGATTCTCCTTTCTCTGCTCAGCATGGTTTTAGTGACGTAAAAATTGAAGACACGGCAAAGGGCCACATTGTTCATCTGCAAGAGGCAGACACCCTTATCCAGTTCGAGGAAGACTCCACCCACATAATCTGTGAACACGACGAGCGACTAAGAGTTAGACTGCGAGACATGGTCCTCAAATTTCTGCAGAAGTTCTAGTTTCATGGTGAAGAATACACTTACCGCTGTCAGAGACCCTTTCTATGTCGTGTCTTAACCATAACAACCAGCAAGGAACGTACTGTCACACAGAACCTGTACTGCTACAGATTGTGTGATCAGTCCATACAGTGTAATAAATTAGATATTCAGGCTACACTGGAAACCGGTTTATAGATCGGATTTTTCCTCCCAAGGAGTGAATTTTTGGAATATATCGTTAGTTTAAGGCTACATTTTTTAGGAAGAAACAAACGTGGACTTCAGTTGGTACTAAACACCTACTTGGGTATTTAGATATTCTTTCCAATAAACACTGGTCTCCGATAGTGTCTTCTAAATTTCGTTTCCATATTTTCATATTTTATGTCGCTCAAAATAGTGTCAATGGCTTACAAGAAAGTGGGAGATCGTCACACTTCCAGAGTGTTTCTCACCTTGCGTGGAAGTGGTGCCAGGGATGAGGATGAGACCAGGAGAAGAGCTATAGTTAACATAATTTATTTTTTTTATATGTTTTGTGCAGCAAATGAACTGAGCAGCATTAAATGGACATAATCCGTTTTGGTAGGATATTTACAGTAGACTTTAAAGGAACTATATAGCTTTGGTAATACAAAACTGTATTCCTAATGCTACAGTATGCCTGTCCCTAACTTATTAGGTCATTCCACCTCCAGTGAAAGGATTCAAAAACCTGGCACTGCTCCCAGATCACTTCAATGAGATGAAATGTTCTAGGGTGCCTACAGTGTCCCTTGGATATAGGGTAACATCTGAGTGCCTTTAGGGCATCCTGGCAACATTCCCTGGAAGAACAGGTCTGTTTAATCACTGCTTACTTTATAATGAACAGGACCCGTACACGTTTATGGTAAATCGAGAAAACCCTGGAACAAACCTTGGCCATCAGAAGCAAATCAGTGTCTTTGGTCAAATCCTTACAATATAAAAATAGGAGGATAAAACAAAGTTATAAATGTAAGTTTGTTTTGTTTTTTGAAAGGGAAATTCCACTTTGTTTATAATTTTTCCACTTGGGTGATTCTGGCATTAATAGGTAAGATGGCAGTATGGGGGGATAGGGGTCCCTCTTATACATGGATCCATCACATTGGCTTCGATAAACTTTTTGCTGGATATTTAGATACAGCCACAAACTGCCTACCTTCATCCAATGTCTAACACAGCCCTATGCCAATACTGAAAGCATAACGGTGTATGGGAGGGCAGAATAATTCAATATTCGGGAAAAACAATAAAATATATAAAATGCCAGTTTTGCTTTTTCCCCTTCCTGTTCGCACTCCATAAGACAGTGCATTATTTTTGTCTTTACCTTTTTTCTTTCAGCAGAGTTCAGCTTGCTGTATACGGTACCAAGGGCGATCCCCCAGCAGTATCCCCTTTAAGTGACCATACTCAGCCTATTTGTAAAATGATATAATCTCCAAAAAGAAGCCATTTGCTTACAGGGTTACCTGTTTGTTGTCTGATTTAACGTTTTATCTTTTCGCTCAGTGAGATGAACAGACAGAGCAGTTTCCGGTTTACCTTAGAAACTAAGATAGATTTAGATTGGCTCCTGTATTAGGCCACTCATTCACTGGCGTTATTGTAGGACCAACCACCTAACCATTTCACACTTTGATCATAAAGATATGAATACAAGATAGACTTTAATAAAATGTCACGAGTTTAAAATAACTTTCTCAGAGATGTTGCTGATTGAGGTTTAACCCCTTAAGGACACGTGACATGTCATGATTCCCTTTTATTCCAGAAGTTTGGTCCTTAAGGGGTTAAACAGAGCCTTTCTTTTATAAAACAGTCAAAAAAAAGGACATTTCCCTTTAAGTAATGTTTGGACATAATCCTAGCCATGAATTAACCTTTTGGAAAGACTTAAGTTGTATGTACAAATCTGTCTGTTTTATGCATATGTTTTTTATTTTTTTTGTTAAACTTTAATATTTAGATACAGACTTTTTTTTTTTTGTAATTCTTTATTTGTGTTATGCATAGTATATCAAACATGCTAGATACAGACTTTTTAGTAATGTGTTTATATTTTCTTATTAATATTGCGCAAAATAATGGAACAATTTAATATTGCAAAGTATTTGTAGAATAAAAAGTTTACAAAAAAAATGTGTAGTTTTTCATTTAATTAGTTTACTTTTTATCTTGGATGTTTTTAAAACTTTCGACATTACATATTGGAAAATTCTGGCCGGAGATTGGGGAAAAGGCTATAAGGTGCGAGAGATTATTACGTTACATCATGTAGGTGTGAGCTGTATGTTGTGGACAGGTTGACACACTGTGAGGGGACTGCATCCAGAATCCCATGAACTATCATTAAAGGGACACTATAGTCACCTGAACAACTTTAGCTTAATGAAGCAGTTTTGGTGTATAGAACATGCCCCTGCAGTCTCACTGCTCAATCCTCTGCCATTTAGGAGTTAAATCCCTTTGTTTATGAACCCTAGTCACACCTCCCTGCATGTGACTTGCACAGCCTTCCATAAACACTTCCTGTAAAGAGAGCCCTATTTAGGCATTCTTTATTGCAAGTTCTGTTTAATTAAGATTTTCTTATCCCCTGCTATGTTAATAGCTTGCTAGACCCTGCAAGAACCTCCTGTATGTGATTAAAGTTCAATTTAGAGATTGGGATACAATTATTTAAGGTAAATTACATCTGTTTGAAAGTGAAACCAGTTTTTTTTTTCATGCAGGCTCTGTCAATCATAGCCAGGGGAGGTGTGGCTAGGGCTGCATAAACAGAAACAAAGTGATTTAACTTCTAAATGACAGAGAATTGAGCAGTGAAATTGCAGGGGAATGATCTATACACTAAAACTGCTTTATTTAGCTAAAGTAATTTAGGAGACTATAGTGTTCCTTTAAGTATAATGTTGTTCATTAAAATGTAAATTGCCAGGGATTCAAAGATTATTTAAAACTGCAGCAAAAAAATAGCCAAACAGAAAACTTTGCTGAATGGAGAATGTTTGTCTGCCCTTCGCTCTGAATTCCTGACAATTTAAACTTGTCATTGAATATTGCTGATAATGATGTATTATCCCCTTAACTAACAAGTTAATTATAAATAAATGTTCTGTTTTATGTGAAGCATGGCATGATGGGGAACGGACATCACTGGGCAGGGGAGGGCCAAATATATAGCTCCACCCCCAAGGTGCAGCTTCCTTGCAGAAACACAAAAAAGAATAACGATTCGTTTTTAGAATTTCACAGAACTATATGAATTTAAAGTAGTGATTCAAAAGTAACAAATGTACAATAATATAAGGAAGCATGCCAGATTTATCACAGAGTGCATTTAAAATTGTCATATAATAGACACCTGAAACACTGTTATTTTAGTTGCCTTTCATTTTATTTTTTTAATCTGTACTTCCTTTATACAGCCACGGAACGGCTAATGTGTTTTTACTCTTTGTGCAATAGTCTATCATAAAACTGCCAAACAAGCATTAAAATCAATTTTCCCTCTGCTGAAAGGAAAAACTAGCACATTTTACAATGATGGTAAAGTAAGTTCATAAAAACTCTCAGCCCTGGAGCAAAGAACCGAGAGAGAGAAAGTTTTAATGGATGTGCAATTCTCAACCTGTTCCTTGGGAGTTTTTACAAAGTTTCTGGGAAATGTTTCAATACATTTTTGTTTGCTCGTTTAGAAAGAGGAAAGAAAAAAGGCAGTTTTGCTTTAAACACGGTGACCTAAAAATGTTTTAGGCTGAAGAGTCCATTAATTGTCCGTAAGAGTTTGTACATCATGAATAACCAAGCTCTACCTTCTACCCTACTGGTTTTACTGGTTTTACAGCTGCAGAGACTAAGTCCCATTCGGCGATGGGACTTAGTCGTTTTTTCAGCCGTTTTTTTCAGCCTTATTTCAGCTGCAGAGACTAAGTCCCAATCCGCGATAGGACTTAGTCGTTTTTTCAGCCTGAAATAGACCGACCGCACAGCCCAAATCTATGGAACTGTTTTGGGCAGGAAAATGTGCTTGTGGTCGGTCATAAAGGGACCTCCAGCTAACTTTTTAACCCCTGGCTGGATTTGGCTGATTTTTGGTTATGTTTATGACTGGGTAAATGTCACTGACTCTCCATCCCCAGGTGCCGTCTTACCTATGACGAGGATACAATTTCCACTGTCTTCTCTCAATAGAAAGCTACCAATAGGCTGAGACCTTGTGTCTGCTACAAAGCTTCCTGATTGAACGCTTTGGAACTGGAGTGGAAGTTTAGGGGCAGAACAATTGAAATTGTTATGGTGGCCCTTTCGATACCCTGTGTAGATCATGGAATGTGCGCAAGAATGAATTTTTTGTATATTTTAATTTGTTTTGTATTACACAGCCATGTTACAGGGTTGCCAGTCACTCCATGTCTCCCCTAATAGGCGTATTTTTTTTTTTTTTTTTTTTATAAACCCCTTTCTGTCTCATTACATGAAAGCAGGTGAATTGTTTGTGTAGGACTCGTCTTAGAAGTTTTGCTTTGACCTGGCATGTGAGCTTAATTTTTGATGGCCAATGATGTGATACAAAAAACAACAAACACCAGTTATTTAAATGTGCGTAGGGATTTGTGATAATGCGCAAGTAACTTTTTTTTTTTTCCTCACCGTTGTTTTTTATGCTATATACATATGTTGAATTGACTTCCTCGAAAGGAAGCTGGTGGCACCAAAACCAACAGGAAAAGGGAAGTGGAAGATTCAAATCATAATGGAATGTAGATACTAGATCTGTAGGGAACATTTGTGAGACAACATTAAAAAAAAAAATTGCTTTCTCACCCCTTCTTCTCTATGTAAGATAACGGTGGAATCTCTGTATAATTTGAATGTTTCTAGGCACCTAATACAGAGTAATAACTGCACATATTGTACTGCGTTCTAGGCAGCCATTGATTTGAGTTTTACATTTAACAAAATATACTATAAAACGTCAATAGGACGGCCAATAGTGCTAACAGTGCGTGAATGTTCATTACGGGGTTATATGAATATAACCGCAAATTGGGGTTTATTGTCAAGTTAGAGATCAATATTTACAATACTTGTAAAGGTAAAACGAGTTTATTACCCATATAAATCAACTATAAAAGCAACAGTGAATATTCAGGCTTTCACAAAAACGGGAGCGTACGTTGACTACAATCCGTTTTGTATTTTTTTTTACACGAACTAAAATATATAATTCTCGGTAAAACTTCTTAACTATCCAAGGTCAATCCAGATACTATAAAAGTCCGTAACAAAAACTTTCTGTTGAATAACATGAATCCACCTTCCGCGTTACTGTCTCCCCAATGATTCCTTGTAACAATCGGTGCTGAAAGTTTATGTTGCAGAGTTTTATTGCAGATATAAAAGCAACGAGGGAAAACAATTAGAACATTCAAAGACTTTACCATCTATTAAATTCAAGATTCCTTTTTGTTGTAAAATGTATCAGGCCATTGGTTCTGATGTCAATTAATGAACGTGCCTGGGCTGGGTGCGATCCAACCACTGTTATGGTATTTGACTTGGGTTTGTGTTATTAGGGGGAAATGTTAAAAGATCGTTTGAGAAGAAGTCTTCAACAAGAAGTGAATTGAAAGCAAGTGCTTGAGATACCTAATCTGTGATAGTTTGCCCTTTTCATATCCCAACTTCCTCCCCCTCCCCAATCTTCTGTTTTATATGGTAAAATGTGCTCTGCAATTCTAGTTTCATCATTCCAAACAGTAGTAGATCCATTTTTTATTAATATAATTAAAAGGGCATTCCAGTACTACAACCACTGCAGTCTAATTCAGGAAGTACAGTGCAAGAAGGGTACAAGCAGGCGATGGGGCTGGTAACATTATGGGCTTTTTCTTTTTTTTTTAGGACTAAATCAACCCACTGTCTTACATCCTCCCTTTTTATAATTTCTTTATATTCCTACTACTAACCCTAGCACAAAAGGGTTGCACACTAACCCAGATAAGTTTGGCTTGGAAACTCCTGAATTATTGCCTGCCGCCTCCTTCCTGCAGTAGACACCCCATGTAGCCAGCAGAAGAATGCTACTGAGAAACTGCAGCCTGAAACTTCTGTATGCTTGTGGCTTTAGGATTAAATGCTCCCCCTTTGCCAGGCCTCTCCTACCTATGGGTGCAGTCCCATCAGAGGTGCTGGGATTTGGGTGAAGATTAGAACCACAGTTTTGTGAAACTGCTTGAAAAAGGTTTTGCAAATCACTGAGAGAGTGCCATAAGCTCTGTGGTTCCAGTGTTTGTGGTTTTCCTTTCTTGCTCTATGACAATAATCCAAAATCATGTCTTGCGGTCATACTCTTTATAGAGGTTACTCTTCAAAAATACATTATTTTCAAAACTGACACTTTATATCATGTTAAAAATATAAACAACAAGAGGTCCACATCCATTCTAGAATTGCCACTGCAGTTTGGGGAGATCGGACTGAGGAGCCAGACCTCTTGAGTGCTTACTCAAAGCATGTAAAGGTTATGGAGGAGTTAGATTGCATAGGATGTTTACTGTTAAGATTAGAGTTAGACTTGTGTTGAATTTAGTATTTTGGAACATGTTTATGCTTTGAGTGCTGGAGTTTGAAGGGTTATTTACAAAGTACTCACCCTCCTATGTCTTCTGTAGCCCAGTCAGATTGATGATATTAAATCTGTTATACAGCGTGTATTACTCTGCGTTGTCCTTGCTCCCCCCACAAGGCATTTCCAGTGTAAGAGGCTGTTAGCGGCAGATGGGAAGTGATCCCTTCCACTTCCTGTCCAGTCTCACACGCAGACACTGGAGGAGCTGGGACAGCGCTGAGTTTTACACAAAATATAACTGTTCCTGCAGCTCTGCTATAAAGGCTGCCTGGACACAAAGGACACTGGCAAAATCACCTGGCACTTATCTCTCCACACCAGTCCATTTAAGCTTAAATAGGTCCATTATAAGTGCTGAAAACAGCCTAGTGGTCAGGTGCCTACTTTACCTAATGAAAAACCCAGCCCTATTTGCATCTCTGACTGCTCTAGGGCTGCACTGTTCTGAGGGACTCCCCTCCCTGCTTTGTTAGATTCTCAC